ACCACTTCAAGCTTCAAACCCTAAAAAGACCACTAGGCGGGGAAACGACTGTCATCCGCCACATAGTCACACATCATGTGCTGGTCGAAATGGTTTAAAAAAAATCTCCGTTTTCAATAAATTGTGCTCTAGTGACCACTTCAAGCATCCTAAAACCTTCAGAACCTTCAAGTGACCACTTCAAGCTTCAAACCCTAAAAAGATCACTAGGCGGGGAAACGACTGTCATCCGCCACATAGTCACACATCATGTGCTGGTCGAAATGGTTTTAAAAAAATCTCCGTTTTCAATAAATTGTGCTCTAGTGACCACTTCAAGCATCCTAAAACCTTCAGAACCTTCAAGTGACCACTTCAAGCTTCAAACCCTAAAAAGATCACTAGACTTGAAAACGACTGTCATCCGCCACACAGTCACACAGCACGTGCCGGTCGAAACTCGAAACTCGGAATGAAAAATGACAACAAAAAAAGGGGCAATGGGCGGAGCCAGAAAGTGTAAAGTTTGAGTGGCGGTCTTCTCCAAAAATGGCATTGTTGTCCTTGGGGCCACTCATCAGCCTTTGTTGTCCCTTTGCCTTGGGTCAGTCGAATCAACGGTTTTTATATTACCTTTCTCGGAAAACTGCCCTTTTTTGGAAATTCGAAGGGAAAAGTCTGAAAAAGTAGGGATACTAAGGGTTTTGTGAAGACCCTCCTATTTTTGAAACGGCAAAGTTATATTTCAAAATAAAAATGATGTTTTTTCAAAAATTTTTAAAAGTATCATATTTTTTCTACAAGGTACCTATTGTAAAGCAAAAAAGCTCATATTTTTGAATTTTTCCGAAATTCTTACCACATTTATCATCTCATCATTGTCTTCCATTTATTGTTCATTCCTTTTTTTGTCGGTTCCTTTACCTTTTCGGTTATAAAAGGTTACTGTTTATTGCATCTTCAATGTAAGAGTACATGTGCAATCGACTTTCATTGATTTGACTGTGTTTAAACGGCGGCAGGAACTGTGGCTTAGGCAGAGCAGTTGTGAATTTCGCTCGTAGAACATCAGGTACAAGAGAGGTCGTAGGAAGAAGTACGGTGCCGGCTTTCCAAAGGCCGATGGCAGAGATTGAGCCTTTTCGCTGCATGCAGCTCCCAATTTTATCTACCCCGGAGGGATGAAAGGCTTGGTCGACCTCGGGGGGACTCGAACCTACGACCTTGCGGACGTTAGAAATGAGCCATGCCAGCTGAGCTATGCCGTTTGATGGAATCCTTATAAAAGGTTGAAAAAGGGGAAATTTTTTTCGATTATTTTCGATCTAACTGAAATATTATGTTCTGTTGAGTCATTCAATTTTGAAACCTTGGTAGATTTTTTTTCTTCAACCTTTTTCCGGTCAAGATAGACTTTACCTTCTTTCAAAATAAAAAAAAACTCCCTGATGAGATCAATTCCAGAAAAAACCAGAAAGTTTTGTAAATCCTTCTCAAAATTTGATTGAAAATTGAAAGTTGACAGAATTTCTGTTCAATTTTATCATGTCAAAGTCATTCAGAAGGAAGGATCTGAAAACCTCCAATCAAATCAATGATCAATAACCAAAAACCCACACTTTTCATCAAAAGTTATGCTACCAAAAGGTCCTTTTTACCTTATGAAAATTCTTAAGTCCCAACTTCCTAACTTTCTATGAAAATTTCATCCAAAAACTCCCAATCAGATCAAGTAAAATCGAGAACTATAATGGTAACTTCTGACGTCTCATTTTTTATTGAAAGTAAACACCTTCTTCTAATATTTCTGCTACCAAAAAGTCCATTATTCCATATTTGGCTTCATAAGTCCCAACTTCCCAACTTTCTAGGTATTTTGATCTAAAAACTCCCAATCAAATCAATAATCACAAAATAAAAACTCACACTTTCTATGAAAAATTATGCAACAAAAGGTCCCTTTCTCTTGTCCAAGTCCTTAAGTCCCAACTTCCCAACTTTCTATGGGATTTCGATCAAAAAGCTCCCAATCAAATCAATAATCACCAAGTGAAAACAAGACTTTCTTTCAAAAGTTATGTAATAAAAATGTCCCTTTCCCCTTATTCAACCTCTTAAGTCCCAATTTCCCAACTTTCTAGGTATTTTGATCTGAAAACTCCCAATCAAATCAATGATCACCTAGTAAAAACCACACTTTCTATCAAAAGTAATGCTACCAAAATGTCCCTTTTCTCTTATTCAACTTCTTAAGTCCCAACTTCCCAACTTTCTGTGCGATTCTCACCCAACTAATTCCCAATCAAACCAATAATAACCAGGTAAAAAATCAAAACTTATTTCAAAAGTTATGCAACAAAAAGATCCCTTTCTCTTGTCCAACTCCTTAAGTCCCAATTTCCCAACTCTCTACGGGATTTTTGTCCAAACAATTCGCAATCAGATCATTAATCAACAAGTGAAAACCTAATATTTATATCAAATGTATCTCTATCGAAATCTCCTTTTTCCTTATTCAACTTCTTAAGTCCCAATTTCCCAACTTTCTAGGTATTTTGACTCAAAAACTTCCAATCAAATCAATAATCACCAAGTAAAAAATAAAACTTATTTCAAAAGTTATGTAACAAAAAAGTCCCTTTCCTCCAATTCAACCTCTCAAGTCCCAACTTCCCAACTTTCTATGGAATTTTGATCCAAAACTCCCAATCAAATCAATAATCACCAAGTTAAAACCAACAGCCGAACTTGGCGAACTGCTTTTTTTCGGCGAACTGAAAGAAACAGGTCAATTCAAACGGTCAGACACCGTCATTCTCATTTTCTGTGTTTGATGTTTGCTGGAATTTCGAAATGATATCAGTTTGTTTATTTCTTAGTTCGTCACGGTCTTTTTCGAGTTTTTGGAAACCACAAAAAGGTAGAATCGAAATTGGAATTCGATTTTGAAGTAGGCAATAAAGGTTTCAAGGGGTTTTTAGTGGGTTTTGCCCTATTCTCTGCAACTTGAGGTTATTTATTGATTGCATTTTGAGAATATTTACAGTTTTTTTCAACGTCGGGGGGTTATTAATGTTGTTTTTTTGTTAATATCAAACTTCCATTTTTTTCCTTCAATTTTTTTCGATTTTTTTAACATTCATTTTGCAAATCGTCAAACTAATACAACCTCTTCCGTTAAAAAAATTTAAAAAAATAAAATTTTTTTGTCTTCTCTCGCATCCCAACTCCTCTCATTTTAGCGCACTATTTTTGCTACATCTTGATTTTCTCGTTTTTTTCATTAGAAGTAGCGTACAAAGCGGCATCTATAAATAAAAAAATTCAAGAAAAAAATCATCCATTTTTTTAAAAAAAGGGCGCCAAAAAAATTAACCAAAAATTGGTTGGAATGGCCCCAACAAAGTAAATTATGATCGAACCATTCAAAAAAATATTAAAAAAAGCAGAAATTTTATGTTTTTTTGAAATGACTTTCTCCGTGTAAAAAAATTAAAAATTTTCGTCAAATAAGCTGCTTTTTGTCGTTTGCACCGTGACATGAAATAACATACTCTCAAAAAAATAAAAAAATGAAATATTCTGAAAAAAATCCCATGATTTGAAGAACCATTTTAAGAACCAGTGCGAAAGTAAAAAATGTCGTCAAATAAGCTGGTTTTGTCGTTTGCACCGTGACATGAATTAACATACTCTCAAAAACAAAAAATAAAAGAATCCGGAAAAAAAATCCCGTGATTTGAAGAACCATTTTAAGACATTTTGAGCCAACTTTTTTCTCAATAAAACTTATAATCTCTTCCAAAAAGGCACCTTAACACCTTTTTTGGATCATTCTGATTTTATCACTGATAATTCATAGATATAATGAAAATTCAAGCTCTAAACGTTCAAACTTCAAAAATTTCCATAGAAAGGGCAAAACTTTCACTAATTGGCGAGAAAAGTTCGCGTCTGTCTGTAAACAACGTCACTCGGCTCTCATCTCATCTGATAAAACCTCCGAAAAAGGTGCCAGTACGCCAGTAAAATGAAAAAAGAAGACCCAAACAAGGTCAAAACGGGCTGAAGAATTCGTTCCACACATATTTTCTCTCAGTCTCTTCTAAATTTTTTTCGAATTTTTTTGAAGTCACCTGTTTGTTCTTTAACCTACCTTTCCATTGGAAGTTTGAGAAGAAATTAAAGAAATTATCAGAATCGAATGTTTTAGAAAAATTCTATAGAAGACTTTCTCCTGGATTTCTTTTCTTTCAAAAAAATGTTTCTTTTTAGAAAAAAAGTTCAGAGTGGTCACTAAAGAGGTCTCCAGAGGTCCATTCAAATGGTCACTTGAATTTTTTTTTTTCTAAATTTTTTAGTTTCATATTCACTTCAAATCCTCTTTTTTCGAGGCCTGAACCCTTGAGTGACCCCTTCAGAATCCACTTTTTTCGAGTCCTAAACCCTTGAGTGACCCTTTCAAATTCCACTTTTTTCGAGTCCCAAACCCTTAAGTGACCACTTCGGATTCCACTTTTTTTCGAGTCCAAAACCCTTGAGTGACCCCTTCAGATTCGACTCCATCAATACGGTCTTTAAGAAGTCTCCAGGATAGTTTTTCGCCTCAGTTTTCCACTCATTCTGAGAAAAAATGGCCCCTTAAGTGAAAGTTCGGAAAAAATTCCGGTTTTTACAAAATTTACTCTCCTTTTCAACACATTCTGTAGCTAATTTTTCAACTCATTTTGATTTTTTCTTGAAAAATACTTAGCCAATTCAAATAGACTCTTATTCGAGTCCAAAACCCTTGAGCGACCCCTTCAGATTCCAATCATCCAATACGGTCTTTAAGAAGCCTCCAGGACAGTTTTCCCCTCAGTTTTTAACTCATTCTGAGAAAAAATGGCCCCTTAAGTGTTTTCTCGGAAGTTTTTCAGCTCATGCACGTCTATTCTTCTTTTCAACCTATTCTATAGCCGATTTTTCAAATTCTCCTGATTTTTTCGTGAAGAAAACTTTAAAAAACGAACGTTTCCAGGATGCGCTGGGCGTGGAGATTGACGGTGCTGACGTCAGTCGCGGTGGTTCTTGTCGCCGGCCTCGGCAAGTCCCACAAGAAGCCGGCGTTCAACTGCACTCAGGCACCTGACATCGGTAGAGTTTCTAGCTTTACCGGGTATTGATCAAAAGATGAGGTCATGCTGATCAAAATGACATGAATTTGAAGCTCGTAGGTCAATTTGAAGCTCAGGTGTTGAAATTTGAAAAAGTGATACCGAAAACTTGAACTTTGGGGGATCCCGGATTTTTTAAGTTACCTTTTGGTATCAAAATTTATTCTAGAAGTTTCTTATGAACTCAAAAATCACAAAATACTGATTAAAAGTATATATAAACTTGAAAAATTTCAATATAAAGTTGAGATTTTTTTGACGTTGAAGGTCGGGCATCAAAGAATGGTTACTAGCTTCTAGTTAAAATTCTAAATTTTGTCCAAAGTTTTCTCAATAAGAAAAATCTGACAGGACTGATGAAATCTGAGTTTTTCAACTTTTAAATTAATGATAATTGTAAACTCCGACGGTTGACGTTAAGATTACACTACGAAAAAACGGAAATCGAGCCCATTTTTTTTTTCAAAGTTGTATATTTCATAATTTTCCTTGTATCTCAGTCAGCATAGATTGAAAGATGAGTTGATTGGAATGATGTAATTTCGAGGGTAGTAGGCCGATTGATGGTTCAGATAGGAAAGTTTGAAGGTCACATGCCGAAAATAGGCCTTGCTGTTCATATACCAACTCATAAAATCGTGATTTAAATCGCGAAAAAATTATTTTCGGTAGTCTAGCGACTCTCGCATGTCTGCGTCTCTCTGTTCCCTCACCGGTGAGGTCAGGAGAAGATGGAAATAGCACGTAAACATGAGAGGGTCGTCGAGAGATAAGGAGCCTTTCGAGTCGCGAAAAACGGACTATACCAAAACATCTAAGAAGGAAATTCGACATCTGCATCTCAAGTGACCACTCAAAAATCATAAAACGATTTTCAGACATGTTCCACGCGTGTATAATGATGCAGGATTGGGATAAAGAGGCCCGAAAAGCCATCCGAAAACGGCAAGCTTTTCAACAAGTCGTTGGTGAGTACTGTTATCCTACCATAGGTCTACAGTAATCTCGAAACAGTACCTCTTCAACTTGACCTGTTTGTATAGACTGTGTGCTTGGAATTTCACCAAACGACATTCCGCTGTGCAACTGCGCGCCTTTGCGAACCCCGGTCGCGCTTTCGACTTTTCTTTTATTAAGGTGCTCCACTTTCATGTGCTCCCACAGCAATAACAATTAATTGAAAGCGTGACCTAGATTCGAAAGACGCTTTGCGAACGCACGCAGCGGAACAGCGGAATGTCGTTCCGTGAAATTTCAAGTCGTGGCGCACAGACTATACTGACCGAACTCAAAATTCAGGGGCACCAGGAGTTCCAAACGGCGGGTTTGCGCCGGCGAATCCGCCAAGATTTGCTCCATCAGCTCAAGGCTGCATGAACATCCCGTGCATTTGCCCTTATATGGGGGTATTTCTGAGCTTTCCTATCTTTCCAAGCTTGTCCTTCAGGGAAGAATGACAGGGAATGGCTGTGTGTTGCCAAATGGTCAGCCGTACTTGATGGCTCTCCGGAAAGAGTACCGGATGATGACCGACAATGAGAGGACCCGTTGGAATAACGCCATTATTCAGTTGAAACGAAGTGGAGAGTACGACCGGCTCAGTGTTATGCATCGACAGGTAAGGTATTTAAAGGAGCGTTACAAGAAGGTCTCGAAGCGAAAAGCCTTTATAACAGAAACTTTTGTTCTCTATAACTGCGACTATGAATTTTGAACATATAGTCTCTTCAGATTTTAAATGTCAAGTAGAATGACGTCATTCGAAAACGCTCTGTGGATGGCTCGCTCTCTGATTGGCTTATCGCGCCATTAGTGGGCGGAGCTTGAGCGGAGACTAGACATTTGAAATTTGAACGGACTATATGCATCCCTGTTAATATTCCTTCCACTTTCCCTGTATTTTCCGAGCCAACAGATCAAAGTTAAGGTCGGATCAGCCTCCGGCGCTCATTCCGGCCCCGGTTTCTTGCCTTGGCATCGTGAGTACATGAAGCGAATCGAGATCGCCGTCAGAATGGTCGACCCAGGTGTTGCCATGCCGTATTGGGACAGGTAACCTTTTTTCTCTTCACTCAGGACTTCCCCTTGTTCCAGCGTCCTCGAGTCCTATCTACCCGATCCACGGGACTCAATAATGTTCTCCCCGTTGTTCATGGGCGAGACCGACGGCGCTGGTCAACTGGTTCGCGGACCTTTTGCCGGTTTCCGCACTCTTGAAGGTCGACCGAATATTATCAGGTTTAGTGGAGCATTCAACAAAACACGTTGAACATCTTCAGACGTCTCGGAACTGAAGGAAAGATGTTCTCCGAGGTGAACATCAACAATCTACTCAGCCAGAATGCCATTCAGAATGTTCTAGCTTTCACGGCTCCACAAACCGGTAAGGCCTTTGAAAGACTAAAAGTAATCTAACAGCTTATTGATGACATCAATGAAAAGGTTGACCATGCTCGTTCCAGCACTATGAGCTCCAAATTTCTATAGATCAAGTTCAAATCATAAATTTGGAGACCCAAATTTGGATGCTTCAAAGTTTAAACCTAGGTACCTATAGCTGTCACCGTACTCGAGAGCGAAACCACACCCCTCGAGAACATCAATTTTTTCAAAAAAAAATTATTGAATTAAAATTCCATCTTTGAACTCTTCCAACCAATAACTTTCTTCCCATTCACTAATTCCCAGGATGTCCATTCACTCCCTACTTTGGCGCCTTGGAATACACTCATTCTTCGGTGCACCTGTGGATCGGCGGTGACATGAAGCCACCTAGTACTTCGGCCAACGACCCAATCTTCTTCCTCCACCACACCTTCGTCGACTTCATCTGGGAGATGTGGCGCCAGTCGCGACAGAATCGCTTCGCCCGCGAGCAGGTGGGATACTTTTTTGAAGAGGCTTTCATTTGAGTTTTCTGTCCATGTTTTGTATATTCCAATAAGATCCAAGCGGTATGAATATGAGAAGACGACTGCTTTTTCGACATTTAGCAGCCTTTTTAAAGAAGTTTTGAAACACAAGTCGCATCGGGCGTGATTTCAAGACTTCATTTGTCGAGTAGTCACAATTTCCGCTAGAAACTCCGGAGTACAATGAAGAAGTGCTCATTGAACCAATATAACGACTCGAAAACCAAAAGAAAATTCACCATTCTCTTTCAGACCTACCCACCAGACATCGGAGCCTGCGCCAATGCTCAACACTTCAGCTACGCTCAAATGCGACCTTGGGACAAGATCAACCGCGATGGTGAGTTCAAAATCATGGAATGATCATGAATAACTTAAGCTCGCCGTAGCGCAACAGGTTGAGTGCCTGGCTACAGTCCACAGGGTCACAATTTCGAACCCTCGACCCAACCAAGGGGTTTAAGAAATGTTGGTAGTGGAACCATGACTTGAAAATCCCCAGCCATCCCGCACAAAGACGGATATGTCACTCGAGCTAGTCTATTGATGATAATTACATATCAGGATAGGACTTCGGCTGATCGAAATTATTCTTCTTCTTTCGCCTTTTCACCGCTTGAGAGGCGTCGGCACCCCAGGTCGATAAGCCGAAGCCCTATCCTGATGTCAGTGGAATGGCTCTAGTGACATATCCGTCCTTGTGTGTCAAGGCTTCGGAGCCGTGGTTTCCCACTACCAACATATCTTTAACCCCTTTGGTTTGGGTCGCGACGGGGATCGAACTTGTGACCCTTTGTACCGTAGACAGGCACCCAACCTGTTGCGCTAACTCTGTTTGCCAATTAAAGAACCCATTCCAAAAAAATGCCAACGGTTGAAGTGTCGATGAGACTTGATTTAAGGCCTATCCAACGCCTACACCGACAATCTCTACCACTACTCGCCACGACCGACGTGCACGCGTCAGAATCCAAACTGCGGAAGTCCCTACCTATTCTGCGACCCTCGCGGCAACCCTCACTGCGTTGCCAAGGTCAAGATGAACGGACTTTGCCGAGGATTCGAAGGCCTCGACGCGTGTTACCAAGGCTCCTGCGTCGCCGGCTGGTGCCGTCCAGCTCCATTCCAAGCGGTGAGACTTTTTTCGTGGAATGAAGGGAGCTTGACTTTGAGTGACGCGATGAGAACTAATGGCAACGACTTCGTTATTACGATAGCACGTCTCTCAAAAACTTGAACCTTACCATTGCGATGAAGAAGCCGGGGGGTGGTCGAAGTTTTGAAAAAAACCGTGAAAGGCAAAAACTTGAAGTTATATATGACTTTGAATAAGAGTGTCCAAAATACTTCCTAGCGAAATTCTGGCAAATTCTCAACCGAACACCACTTCCACTGTGAAATATTCAAACTATGACCGTTATATCCAAATACTCGGCTTAGACTGTCTCAAGACCTATTTAATCAGACTTGATAGCCAAACAACGATGAAGCTCTCATAATAATCAAACTTCCTTCAGCCGGCCCAAACAACAGCTCTGACAGTACTCCCACCGCAGCCGACGACTCCCAGACCGACGCCTCCTCCAGCTCAACCTCAGACAACACCAAGACCTTCTACAGCCACGTCACCTGCTCCAGCTCAACCAGTCACCAACAATTGCTACAACGAGGATCCTTGCTGCGCCGCCTGGGCTCGCATGAATGAATGTACGACGAATCCCGCCTACATGGGAAGATTCTGCCGGCGGAGCTGTCACTTTTGCACGAATCCTACTGATAATCAGACAGGTCAGCTTCTGATGGCTTTTTGAAAGTTTACTTGCTTGGCAATTTAAAGTTATAGCCGATTCAAGCTGAGGGGGCGTGGCGTAAAAACACTCTCTTTTCTTTTCGCGTCAAGACCCTTTTTTTATGGCTCCAGCCAGCCGTGAATCAGATGTAGCTTAAAATTTCATAGGGAGACAAAAAAGTTGATATGGGTGTTTTTATAAATTTTTACTATTTTCAACCTTCTCAAGGATCCAAATGAAATTTTTAAAAAACCTCAATTCCAGGCTGCCACGACCGACACATCTCCTGCGCCTACTGGAGGTCCCAGAATTTCTGCACCCGACGTCGTCAATGGATGGCCGAGAACTGCCAGGCGTCGTGCGGCCTTTGCAACTTGTCCGAGGCGCAGCTTTGTCGCTCCGTCGCACAGCTTTCTCGAGCTTAAAACTAGAATTCTTCACGAAAATTTGCTTTCTCGAAAAATGTACAGGTTGCTGTAGTTTAATCGCCTCGAGACCATTTTACCAAAAAGCTCCTCGGACCTTAGTAACGCGAAAATTCTAGGGATCACTTAAGAAGGCTGACGCTACTAAAGTGGTCCCTAGAAATGATTAGAAAGGTCCGATTCCCGTTACCAAGCTCCAAGTCCGAACTAAAACTCCAAAAAGCCCTAAAAACTTTAAAAAACAAAGCCCTACGGATAACTTTTTCTTATTCTTCCTAAATTTTCAATAACTTTTTCTAAAATTCACTGCTCATGACTCGAAATACCTGCCCACTTGTCTTTTTCCAGACTTCTTTCTATTTTCCCACCCTACTGCCTTCAAAAATCCTTATTAAAGGACCATATGCTCCTTTGAAAATCGCCATTTCGGGTCGCCTGTATTTCTTTTAATGTTTTCCTTTAACTTGTCATTTTATCACTACGACGGGAATATTTTGTTGTCCAGCCAATTTAATTATGTGATTTTTCTCGAAAATGTATTTGAATAAATATTTTAAGTTTTATATGGAACAAAAAGTGGAAAGGGGGAGAAAAACGTTTATACACGTTATTTTCTCGAAATTCAATGATGAACACGTTTTTATTTCAAAACGACGTCATTTTAAAGAAGATTAGAACTCATTTTGAGGACGTTATTAGGCAATTTACAATTACCTTAAAATACTGATAACATGGAAGCTCATTTTAGCGTAGGGTTCAGAATTTTCTCGAAAAATTTTTTATGGACTGGAAATCGATCCCACAAAGTCGCTATCTGCGCAAACTTCTACTTTTCGAGATATGATTTTTTAAATTTTCCATCCTCAACCATGTGACGCAGTTTGGAAGGAATCTGGCCGCGCCACGAACCATAGCATGGCTGCTTGGAGCCTGGTGCAGTGGCTAGCGTGTTAGCCTGCGGGCCCTGCGACGAATGATCGAACCCTCTTGCCGCTTACTTCTTTTTGCCATTATTTTTTTCAAGTATTCTGATGAGAATTTTGAAACTGGATGAGTGTAACTGTTCTAAATAAGTTCGATAGCCATTTTTTCTGATGGAAAATTTTTGAAGGTCATTATTATTGATCTATATTTCTCAGCTGAAACGCTCAATAATTTTTTCATTCGTTAAAAATCGATTTTTTTCAAGTCTCGCTTTAAAAAACTGTTTTTTGAATTTCATTCCTTTGAGCGATTGACATGATCAATACTCTTCAAATATTAAAACGAGACAAATTACAAAAAATTTAAAAGTTGGATGTTTATTAGGTCAGAAAAAAACAGTCATACATGAAGCTCGGTGTGAATAAACAGGAAAAATTGACGATTCGGGGGTTCAAAAATGGTTCAAATTACAGGAAAAAAAACCCGAAAACCCATTGTTATAACAAGTTGGCACAAATCGGCCACGGTGGTTTCTTTTTTTCAGAGGAAATTTTTTGAGGGAAGATGAGGATTCATTCGGATGAGATTACGGAGGCTGCAAAGAAAAATTAAACAATCAATCAATAAATCAATCAATAAATAAATGACAAAGCTTTTCAAGAGGAAGGGAAAAATGGAAAAAAGTACACGGTAGGTGGTAATAACTTGTTCAATCCCGTGAAACGATTTTGCGGATTTAAAGAAAGAAATTCTAAGGAAATTATTGATTTTTTCATGCAATATCAAGAGAAAAAAAAAATCATACCTGATCAAAAACGTTACAAAATACGAGGAAAAGTGTGTTTCTTCGACGAAAAATAAAAAATGGACACGTATAAGCTGCATCATTCTTGTAGTTTAACAATCATTTTTTCAAAAAAGAAAATTGCAAGAAATTTGAGGATCACACTCACCGACAGGAAAATCAAGGTTAAATATGTACATGAATTGATTAGAAAACGAAATTTGATTAGAATGAGAAATTTCGAGAAAAGAAAAATGCAGGGTTGGTACACCGGCGCATGTAAAGGTTACATGTAGACGATTCTCTTGCAGAAGATTTCCTTGTAAACGAAAAAAGGAGCTTCTGGGGGAGATTCACGTAAAAAAGTGCAAAGAAGACTGATAGTTGATTTACAAACAGGCTGATGATTTTTTTAAAGGAGCATGCGCCTTTAAAAAGGTCACAAAGCTGTTGTGAATGAACTATGGTCTTCGGACACCAAGAACAAAAAATTTACAACAGATAAATCAACGAAAATGCAGGGAAAATCAAGTTTTTCAGGTTTCGAAGCGGACTTTCTTCTTGTCGCCCGCGGGAGTCTTGCGGGAAGGCTCCACGTCTGTTTGTATCAGGGGATCGTTGTCGATCAACTTGTGGAGGTCGGAGTCGATTCGTCGGTGTAGAGGCCGGATTATCGTCGGCTGAAAATATCCTCTGATTATTTTTATTTAAGGGAAAGAGTTCGAGATAAAGATTATAAAGAAACAAATGAGGGCTCAGTGTGTAGCTTGGCGTTTTCAAACTGAAAAATTCACGACGAACCCTCTGATATCCATCCTTGATGTAGAGGACGGCGATGGCGACGAGAATCAGCAGGGAGACGAGGGCGAGCGTCGCAGCGATCGCCGTCACCCAGACGGACCGCGACTCGTCCTCCTTGAGCTCGTCGCCTTGGGCGGTCGAGTCGACGGCGCACTTCCAGATGGCGAGGCAGCCGAGGTAGCCGTCGGCAACGTCGCTGTCGCCGGCCTTCTCCAGCCAGCCGGGCAGCCATTCCTTGCCGCAGACGCATTGCCAGTTGTTCGCTGGAAATGGGAAGGATGAAATAGGAGTCATACCAATCAAGCACATTTCAAAATGATTTGCGACTTTCCTGAGGTATTCTCTGGAGCACCCTGGTCCTAGAAAACCCGAAAAATTTCACGCCTTTCGTCTTTTTTTTTGAGTTTCAACGTCCTTATCTTGGCGATCTGCCATTGCAGTGGAGAAATGAAGGTTTTTTACGTCATAGCTCAACTAAAAAGTGGGAACGCAATTTTTTTTTCTCCCTGTCATTGGATCAGAGTACTTTAACGGAAATCTCAGTGAAATTTCACAAAAAATTTAAAACTGGATCTTTAACATTTTTTTTTGGACGAAAGACGGAGGGGGGGCTGACGGAGCTACGGAATAAAAAAACAAAATTTGCTCTTTGGCTTGAAAATCCAAAATTTTTAACGTAACTCTACGATTTATTAGTAAATCAATCTTTTTCTTTTTTCTTTTTCAAACTCACACGAAACATCAATGGCATCGATAGTCTCGGGGGCGAACGAGTCGAACGTGTGCTGGTTGAGGAACTTGAGCTTGTTGTTGTTCAGGTACAATCTCTTCAGGGAGATTCCTTCGAACGCTCTGCCATCGATCTGGAAGTGATCATTGAGGAAAGAAAAGTCTAATTTTCATCAGAATATAAACAGGATCCAGCAGGCCTGAGTCGGAAAAATTGATCAACTACAGTCTTTTCAGATTTCTGATGCCACATAAAATTCAACCTCTGAACAGACTAGACTAGTAAAAATTTCAAAAAAACGCCGCACTTTGATCTTTATAAGGAGAATGGCTCGACGCGTTGCGGTCGCGCTGCGGTTTGATTTAAAGCTTCAAAATTTCCGACTAAAAATCGTATAATGCTCTAAAAGGCTCTGTGGATGGCTCGTTCTCTGATTGGTTTATCGCCTTTAAGGGCGGATCTTGCGCGACAATTTGAACTTCTAAATCTGGACGGACTTTTTTGATTAAATGCAGCTGACTCTAGTTTTTCTATGTCAAAGCGCGCAAGTCGTTTCTGGTCGGGTGAACCTTCATCACAACTTCTACGTGTTACGCATACCGCAAGCAGAAGAGAAGGATCAACTATTTTCAAAGCTTCAGAAAAAAATCCCATACATGAGCAATCTGGTTATGATCAGCAGCCAGGGTGACGACCGACTTGGGCAGTTCATCAGCTCGGATGGTCACTAACTGATTGGCTGATAACTGAAGAGTCGTCAGCTTTTTCAGTGGCATCAGATAGGCGGTTCCATCTGAAAGAACTCCTTGACTTCCAGCTGATTCCAAGCTTCAAACTACTTGTGGAGAGGTCGGTGATATGATTGTTCTGAAGGGACAAGGACTGCAAGTTCTGGACGGACTGGAAGGCTCTCGGGGAGATGTGGCTGATGTTGTTGGACGCCAAGGCGATGCTCTCCAGTCTCGTGGAGCGGGACAGGCCGAACAGGTCGACGTCGCCGATGGAGGTAATCTGGTTGCGGTCGAAGGACAGAATGCTCAGAGCTGGCAGATCGCGGAGGCTGACGCTCTTCAGGGAGTTGATGCTGTTGTTGTTGAGGAACAGCTTCTGGAGGTTGTCCAGGCCGCGGAGTTCCACGTTGGCAATGTGGTTCGTGCCGAGGTTCAACGTCTTCAGCCGGCTCATTCCGGCGAAGGCAGCCCAGTCGATGGAGACGATCTCGTTGCCTTGGAGCTGGAGCACCTCCAGAGATTCGAGGCCGGCGAAGGTGTCTCTGAAAAAAGAAACTTGGTAAAAATAGTATAGGCTGTCTGTCGCGTGTCTGCGTCTCTCTGTTCCCTCACCTTCGAGGTCAGAGAAACATGGAAATAGCACGTAAACATGAGAGAGACGTCGAGAGATAAAGAGGGCGCAGAGAAGTCCTACACTTTCAAAGTCGCGAAAAACGGATGATTCGTTTTCTTTCTAGACTATTTCAGCCATTCAAGGACCAAACAAAGCTTAAAACGGTACACCATTATTCAAAACAGTCCGACCCCTCTGTGCTCTCTTTTCTCTCACCGACGAGGCCATAGAAACAAAAAAGAGATCGCCAAGTGAAAAGAGAGCGCAGAGAAATCAGAAAAATTCAGGTCCTACATTTCTTAATGAAACTACTGTAACTAGGTGCAAGATTTCACGCAAATTTCGAATCTGCGCTTTAAAACTGACATAAAAAAGTTATAAACGCTGAAATTTACAAAAGGCTAAAAACAAATTGAAGACCTTGTTTAAGTTTCGAAAATTCCGGTCAGTCAAGAAAAATGAAACTCTGTAAATTTCTCTTTTTGAAGTTGTCACTTGTAAAAAATTGAGAAAAGGTCTATCACGTCTCCTGAAGTAATGACAAAATCCAAAAATACTGAGGAATTTTTTCGGGCAAAAATCAATACCAACTTGGAAATGGAAGTGATCTTGTTGCCAATGAGGCTGAGGGTCTTCAAGGAGGTCAAATTGGCGAAAGTTCCCGGCTCAATGACGGCGATTTCGTTATTGTTGAGAACGATCTCGGTGAGGTCTTTACAGTCTTCGAAAGTATTGGCGGCGATGCTCGTCAGCTTGTTTCCTGAAAAAATTTCATAGTTACGGTTCTTAGGATCTCTAGAGTGGTCCCTGTAGGGGCAATCTTAGGGGCCCTTGGAGAGTCTCCACAAACGATTACTTCATTAACCCCTATAGGGTCCACTAAACCTTGCAGAAGGGTCCCTATAGGGGACATGCTTTTCATGAAGTTTATGCGAAGCATTTCTATGCGAGAAACTAAAAAATAATCGTTTTTTGGATAAAATTGAACGACCCCTAATGGGACCACTTATACTTAAAGCTTAAGGGTCAGACTCTAAACCCCTATAGGGACCACCTTGATTTTACCCCTACATGTTTTATCTCCTAACCCCTATAGGGACCACTCTAAAATTCCTAAGGGAAGATCAAGCTTTCGAAAAGTTTTTAAAATAAGCCATATAAAGATAAAAACGTCACATTACTTCTCCTAATATATTTTTTGAGGAGTCATATCAAAAATCGCAAAAAAAAAAAATTACGAGCCGCCCGTCCTCCTTATCATGATCATAACCTCAAAACTGAGTTCCAGAACCCAGAAAATTTAAAAAAAAATATTCTTTACGCCTCGAAACTCACCAGAAACGTCAAGCTTCTGAAGGCGTGTCAGCCCCTGGAACATGTACTTTTCCAGGTTTTTGAGCCGATTGTTGCGGAGGGACAACTTCCGGAGCCGCGAGCCGACGACATTTATCGATTCTTCGCGGAGCACCGACAGGGAACATCGTTCGATGGACAATGATCTTGGCTTCAGCTGAAAATATTGAAGATAGTCTATTTTTCTTTAAAGATGATATGGGCAGATAGGCGAGGGTAACTTTTAGCGTACGCGACAGGTATTTCGATTCAAAAAAAGCAATCTTGTAAAAAAACTTCAAAAAAAGGTAATTTTTCATACTTTCACTCATCCAGCTAATATTCGAAAAAGCATACAAAAATAAAAAAACAACTATCGAAAATTTTAAAAAAACGTGTTTTTCCAAAAAAACTAATTTCAATCCATTTTTCATTCAAACAATACTCGAAATCCATACAAAAAACAAATAAACTATCAAAAACTATTAAGCAAGAATAAAAACATGAAAAAGAAAATTTTTGATTTAAGTTTCCAAAGGGCCGCGCCGCGCACGCAACAACTAAATTTTGCCAATTTTCAACTCGCAAAAAAAATCGATTATAACTATAAGACTGTTCTGTAAAATCCGAACATTCGTGAAGATGTCAGCCGGCAGAATGTTCAGAAGAGAGTCGCGGATTCGAATTTTCGACACGGACGTCTCGTTGAGCACTCGGAGCGTTGCGAAAATGGTCGGGAGACTGGAAGCGGCACATCTGGAAAAGTATCAAATTTATAAAGTGCATTTTTCCTTGTGGCATTTGAAATAAAATTACTTCGTTATTCTCGCGGTCATTAAAAGGATATTATATTGAGTTCGTTGGAAAAATGAAATATCAAAAAAATATCCTTAAAGTTTTGCATGTAACGCTTATTCTTCTGGTGCAAAGTGAGAAGAACCGCAAGTTTAGTGGCCACTAAAAATGGTGCTAGAACTTCTTTAATGCCCTTTGAACGCATTATTTTCTCTCTACCCATCAGAAAAAAACTAAACAAATTTGAACAAAAAGAAGAAAAATTATAAAAAAAGGATCAAGAAAAATTTTTTTCAATTTTAATCGTGCGGATTTTGCATTTTAATCATGCCTCCCTTGCTTTTTTTGCAATTTTATCGATATCTTGAAATTAAAAAAATTTTTCTCTTTCAACAATAAAAATAGAATTCAATTAACTATTCTATTGAATAAATTTTTTTGTTAGTTAATTGAAGCAAGAATTGATGTCATAAATTACCGTTAACGGTTAAAAAAATCTTAATTTTTCACGATAGTCTATAATTAAAAAAATAACTCTGATATTTTTTTCAACGTTCTCAATAGACTACATTCTTACTTTCCTTGCCAATATTAGATTCGAAAATTCGCAATCTCAGCAAAAAATCCCAGAAACTGATAATTTCTATCTTTTTTAAAAATCACCCTGCCCATATCTTATCACAGAATCGCTGATGTCTGCATTTTATCAGCTGGAACACGCCAATATTTGAAATGTTTTTGAAAAATTGGGAATCAAACTAGGAACTGGTCATTTTTGCTATAAAATATATAGTAAATAATAGATTTTTTTTTGGAAGGTGAACCAATGAAAAAAAGTTATAAAAGTTTTTCCGTCTCGAAAATTTCTCACACTTTTTCTCAAATCCAGCTATTTTTCGATAGAAATCCCGCTTCATGTGATTTTCGCCAAAACAAATACCAAATCCAGATATTGTTTTCTGCCAAGAAATGACCAAAGGCTAAACCTCGCCCCCATTTGAATGTTTGTTCCATTCGAATTGAGGTCACAACTCTTCCAAACACCAAAAAACGGGGAACGGAGGTTCTTTGGCATGTTGGTGCAGAGTTCATGACAAATTAAAACCTTTTTTTAAAAATTATCCTGGAGAATCAACTTCAAAACATTCTAACATCCCCTTTTCTTCTTATTCTCACAAAAAGGGGCAAAAACGAACTCAAGACCGACGCCCTGAGCTTCATCGTCGTCGAAGCAGGAGCACGGCTCCGAGTCATTCTCGGCGGCTGCGCGGAATGCGGCCTCGACCGCGTCGCATCTGACGATGCTGGCGTCGGTGACGGCGGCGGCCGTCGCCACCAAGACGGCCAGGAGCAAGGGAATCGTCGACATACCGTTGACCGTCCTTCTCATAAAATGGCAAAGTTTGTAGGTTCTGCAAAACATTTTTTGACTTTTCTGGATTCGAAAAAAAAAATGATCAAAAAGGAAACGAGAAGAGGTAGAAGGAAAAGCTTCAAGTTGAAAAATAAAAACCTAAATGTACAAAAAAAAGGGGCAGGAAGTTCGAATTAAAATCATAGCCGCAAGAACAAGGTAAAAAAGAAATTTAAATAGTGAATTATCAAGGTTTGAAGCCTCAGTAAGGTTCTGAATTACATGACGTCATACAAAATTTTACAATTTCCAAAAAAAAAACGAAACAAAAATCCCGATTAAGTAACTGAAAAAATTCAAAGAGAGTATAGACGTCACGAATGAATGAAAAAATGACATCCTGAAGAAAAAAAAAAATGAAAAATGACGTCATGAATGAATGAAAAATGACGTCACGAACAAATGAAAAAATGACGTCATCGAAAAACTCTGAGAATACGTCTGCACAGAGTGACAGCTCAAAAAAACTTTTAAAGGCGCAGGGGGTGGAGTTTGTGACTAAATCGTTTCGAAACCAATAGTTTTGTTGGACCCTGCGCCTTTAAATTCCTTCTTGGGCGAAAAATTACTATTTTTCCTTCAAATTTGTTCCTGGAAGCAACCGAAGGCATTGGCGAAGCAAATTTGTTGAAATACATGTTTTTTTTTTGGGGAAGCTCCGCCCTGCGCCTTTAAACTTTCTTCCGAGCTTGAGCCATTGGAAAAATGGTCCTGGAGCGAGAAAATAAGAGATAGTGCCTGATTGGTGGAAAGCGCAGACAGTGTCGCGTTAAAGCTAGCCGTGTATCGTCTCGAGCAAAGTCGGAATGGTGAATAATGGTCGCTAAAAAGAGGCTAAAAAAAGGCCGCGGAAAGGTAGCAAAAAGGCAGCAAAAAGGTAGCAAAAAGGTAGCAAAAAAAGGCCCTTTATCGAGCTTTTCTTCTAGGATTTTAAAGGCTCAAGAAATGGTGGAAAAATGGTGCATAAGGGCCGAGAAAATGGCTCAAAGGGGTTGTGAAAAAGGAACATTTCTGAGGGCCTTTTCCGACTTTGCCTATGATTCAATACAACCAACAACAACTGTAAAAGTCAAAAATACAAGCTCAAACGGGAAAAGATAAGGAGGAAGGAAGATATTATTTCCAAACCCCAACAACGGGCCGACGACACCTGCTGGTACGAGTTTTCGGTTCGTTTCAACACACAGAGACACACACTTGCGCGCCCGCGACGCCATTTCCAACATCAGGCAGGGGGAAAAAGAGGGAACATTTTTGTGCAGTGAGGGGCAGCAAATAGTAACGATTCCGTGACGTCATTCTCATCAAGTACTGACCGGAAAAGAGTTTCCTGGCTTTAAATCGATAAGTATCTGCTAAAAAATTAAAAAATCAAGAATATTTAAATTTTAATTGAGATCTAGTGACGTCATCCACATCAAGTACTGCCTGGACAACTGGCTTCAAATTAATTAGTGATTGCCGAATAAACAAAAATATTTCAACTTTAATCGAGATTCCGTGACGTCACTCTCATCAAAAGGACAAGAGTTTCCTGGCTTAAAATCGATAAAAATCTGCCAAAAAATCAATAATATTCAAAATTTAACATTCTCATCAAGTACTATCTGGACAAGAGTCCCTTGCTTTAAATTGTTAATTAAAACAAAAAATCGAAAAAAATTCATAATTTGGTGACAAAAACGTGACGTCATTCTCATCAAGTACTGCCTGGACAAGAGTTTCCGGGCTTTAAATTTATAAGTAATTGCCAAAAATTTCAGTAAATTCATAATTTAATCAAGATTCCGTGACGTCATTCTGAATTATTACTGACCGGAAAAAATTTATCTACACTCGAATTTTTAAGTATGGATCAAGGAAATCGAAAAATTCAATAAGTTAGAGACAAAAACGTAACGTGACGTCATTCTGATCAAGGAATGCCTGGACAAAAGTTTCCAGTTTCAAGGCTTCTAAAATAGTGAAAATTCCCAGACGTTTTTCTCATTATCTACTGAAGTTATATGAATGATCATTTCAATATTATCTTCTGACTAAATATTAGATTCAATAAAAAAAAGCTTCTTTCAAAAAAAAAACGTCGGGAATTAATATATCACAAAATAGATTGAATTGCTTAGTTGAAGGACTTCTGAATGAACTTTAGAGGAAATAATTCCATGAGAAGTTCAAATAACCAAATAAAATCATAAAAATGCATCTATGCTTTTTTAATCTATATATTTTTCTCAGAAACAGTACCATAGAGCGGAAAATTACGAAAAAAAAAACTTTGAAAAAAAAATATTACCTCAAAAAGCTTTCGCAACTTTGCACAAAGCTTGCAAAAAACTCAAAGAACACGACAAAAAAAATCGATCAAGGTCAGAAAAGTCTAGCGGCAAAATGGTGAGGACTAGAAGTAGGGCACGGAGACCTTGAGGGATGTAACTGCTTCTCGAACCAATAAAAACCGACAATTCTTAGCCTTTCGAGAAAAAAGAGCAGTAAAAGGTCGTGATTCGTACAAAAAACAAAAAAAAAGCGATTTTTCGGGAACTTGTCCAAATATTAGCATTGGATTAGACAAGGGAAAAGTGAGAAAAAGATAGAAATCCGCTCAAATTTTAAAAAAAGTGAAAAAAGTGAAAAAAACTTTTTTTGTAATTTATTGTAGTAAATTTGAACTAACACAGATTGAAAAAAATTATTTTTAAAACATTTATTTGAAAAATAAGACCTAATAATCATATTTTTTTTAGATGAATATAAAAAAACCAGAAGCTGAATTAGACCCACAGAAACCCCCAAATAAATCTTTTGGCCTAAAAATCATCATAAAAAAACGATTTTAGGTCAAAAAAAGGAGCTTTTGATGACCAAAAACTTTAAAATTTCAATCAAATTGATTTTTTTAATATCGAAGCCCAATTAAAATTTTTTTCAAAAAAACAACTTAGTGTTCAAAAAAACGATAGAAAAAGTGAAAAAAATGGCCAAAAAGCAAAAAAAGAAAAAAATCTCGAAAAAGTCAACAAAAAAATAAGCTTAAAAAGTCGAAATAGATCCACTGATTAAAAATTCAAACAAGGACTTTTTTTCAATTGATTGCAAGGAACAGGAACAGAGGAAATCTCGGTTATTTCAAAAAATCTGAGTACCCCGTTTCTCTATCAATATTTAAACGAAACTGCTCCAAATCAAACGTTGGTACCTTCAATATCAAGAATTTCTAAATTCCACAGAAAATTTTCAAAAAACTATCAGTCGAAATGTAGCTCTTATTCTAACGATTCAGACTTGAAAGCATGAAAAAATGACCGAAAATTGACCCAAAACCAAAAATTACAAGAATGAGCTAGGCTCTCTAATGAATCAAACCGTCTCGTAGTCAACCAAAAAAAAATTTCGGCAAGTTTTATTTTTCAAAGTTATGCATACACTTCTGGTACGAAAAATCTGACGGACCAAACCGTCTCAAACCAAAAAAAGTCAAAAAAATATGAGCAGAAACTCAAAAAAATGACAGGAAAAAAATCAAAAAAATATAGTGAAAGTAGTGAGAGCAAAGTAGGGTCGGTCTGAAATTTCGGAAATCTGGATTCCGATTTTTCCGAATCTTGAAAAGATGGTAGAATAGTTTGAAGGGTCATACCGTCTTAACTTCAAAAAAAAGTTCGAAAAAATAAAAAAAGTACTTAAAAAGGACAAAAAAAAGTAAAAAAGCGAATAAAAGTAGCAAAAGCAGAGTAATTCTACAGCTAGTAAGTCTGAAATTTCAAAAGTCTGAATTCTGATTTTTCCGCAGCTTGAAAAGGGCCGAACCGTCTTAATTTCAAAAAAAAATTCAAAAAAATTTACTTGAAAAAAGCGAAAAAGTAAAAAATGAAGCATAAGTAGGTAGCGGAGGAGAGTTCAGTTTCGAAATTCTGAATTCACTTCCGGAAAAGATGGTAGAACTATCTGACGCAGCAAACTGTAACCGTACTTAACCTCTAATATTTTCAAAAAAAAATAATTAGGTACCTAAAAATCGACGAAAAAAAGTAGAGTAAGGCTAGTAAGTCCGAAGTTTCGAAATTCTGAATTCTCTTTTTTTTTTCAAAACTTGACAAAAGACAAGACCGATCTTACGGACCCAGCTTTCTTAACCACAGAAAATCTCGATAGAATAAAAAATGTGCCCAAAAAACCGGCGAAAAAAAAAGTAAAAAATGAAGCATAAGTAGGTAGAGGAGGAGTGTCGAAATTTCAAAATTTTGAATTTACTTCTGGAAAATATGGTAGAACTATCTGAGAGACCAAATCGTCTCCTACTTGACTCCGAAAATGTTCAAAAAAAAGGTGCCCAAAAACCGACGAAAAAGAGTAAAAAAGCGAGTAAAAGTAGCAAGAGCAATGGAGAGCTAGTAAGTCCGGAGATTCGAAATTCTGAATTCACGTCTTTTTTTTTCGGTACTTTACAAAATGGTAGAAAAATCTTACGGACCCAACCCTACACAGAAAATCTCGATAAAATAAAAAAGGCACCCAAAAACCGACGAAAAAGAGTAAAAAAGCGAGTAAAAGTAGCAGGAGCAAAGGAAAGCAAGCAAAGTCGGAGGCCTCGCCTCGTCGAAGGCGGCGGCCATGGCGGTTGCCGGTGCTGCCCGGCGCCTGGTATGTGCGGCCGTCCGGCGGGAGAAAAAGGGGGGTGAGCTCGTCGTCTGCCGCCCTCTCGCTCTCTCGCACGCAGCACAAAAAAAAATAAAAAGAGAGGAGAGAGGCCAAGGACGTACTCCGACTGCGTACGCCCATCATTGGGGGGGACCAATGTGGACTTTCTCTGGTGGCTCTCTCGTTTTACCATGCTCTCTAGGTTTTTGGAGCATCTGTTCGCAATATTTTGTCAAAAATTCCTAGACTAGAAATTACTTAAGTGACCACTACGGACTTTCTCTGGCTGCTCTCTCATTTTACCGTGCTCTCTAGGCCTTGGGAGCATCTGTTCGAATTTCGATGTTTTATCAAAAAGTGTCTTCACTTAAGTGACCATTATGGAGTTTCTCTGGCTGTTCTCTCATTTTACCACGCTCTCTCTCTCGTTTTACCATGCTCTCTAGGCCTTGGAGCATCTGTTCGCAATTTTGACGTTTTATCAAAAATTTGTACTTTTCAGTGACCACTATGGACTTTCTCTGGCTTCTCTCTCATTTTACCGTGCTCTCTAAGCCCTTGGAGCTTCGGAGCATCTTTTCGCAATTTCGGAGTTGTCATCAAAAAAGTCCTGGACCAAAAACTACTTAAGGGACCACTATGAACTTTCTCTGACTGCTCTATCATTTTAACATGATCTCTAGACATTTTGACCATCTGTTCGTGATTTTGATGTTTTATCAGAAAATTTCTATACTTAAGTGGCCATTTTGGACTTTCTCTGGCTGCTCTCTCATTTTACCATGCTCTCTAGGCCATTAGAGCATCTCTTCTTAATTTTATCAAAAAGCCTAGACTAAAAACTACTTAAGTGACCATTGTGCCCCCTCCCCTAGGACTGCCCCTCTAGGGACCACTCTGGAGCTCCTAAGTCTTTTTCAAGCTTCCGTAGAGCTCATCTGTTCACAGTTTAGTGGATTTTTCCATCAAAATCAACCAAAAATTACTAAAGTGACCACTGTGAGCTTCTCTGGCTACTCTCTCCTTACTAAACGCTCTCTAGGTTATTAGAGCTTCAAAATAAAAATCAAAACCTAACTTATCAATAGAGCGCATTCTTTCATGAGACGCGAGAAAAAATCTCAGGCTTCAAAAAAAAGTGTTTCTCAGAAATCAAAAATTCTCAACAGAGCACATTTTCCAAAAAGCGTTCACAAAGATCTTCACAGTAGATTCCAAAACTACTTGAAACATTTCACGAAACCGCAAAACCAACATTTTAAAACACATTTATTCGCAACAACAGGCATCGGTAGTTGAAACAGATCTTGGATGGTGATTGGTGGAATAATATCTGAATCGGTTGAGAAAATCAACTCTCGCCGAGTTCCAAGCGGTCATTAGATTCATAAGTTTTTCATCAGAAAAAGTTGTGATTGGAGTTTTAGTTTTTTTGGGAGGGTTTGAACCGCATAAAAAGCAACTACACCGCCGATTAAGCTTGGTTTTTGGAGGAAGGATAAATGTGCGCATTTTGGAGGTTATACGAGAGGAAGGATGCTAAATATGGGTGAATAGAACAAAAAAAAAATGGATGGATTATATATGTGTAGGGAGAAAAAAAAGGAAAAGCTGAACTGAGAGCTCAAAATTGGGCCGTCAACTGGAGTAACGGAAGGGAAATTTCTTCAAGTTTTATTTCGAATGCAGGGCGGAGGAGGAGAATTGCGATTGCGATGCGATTCAAATTTTGCGACGTTACAAGAAGAAAATTGGGAGATGGACGGACAAGATTTTTGTCGTTTTGGAGAGGAACTCGGACGTCGAGTTTCCTAGAAGCTGAGGGAATCAGACTTCTTTGCTGGTTTTACCGTTGCTCGTGTGTGTGCAAATTGTGCGCGTTTTCGAGGGGTTACGGTAATAAATAGATATTTCTGGGCCGGGGGAGCCGATGATTGGGAGATTGGAGGAGAACAATGATATTTCAATATTTCGATTCTGTTCTTTGGGATGGGCCTGGTCGGATTTCAATCTTGGGCTTTTTCTTCAAAAATTCATATTTTTCATCTAAAGTTGAAACTTTTCAAGATTTCTATTATTTGTCGACTGATTTTTGTCGGCTTTGTCCTTGAAATGAGTTTGCTGAAACGTAGCCGCGGCTGGTTTTGACGTCAAAAAGTCCAAACTCTCAAGTCCGAAAAGGCCCAATGGATACATATTCACACACAGAAAGAAGAAAATTAATTACAGCTTAAGCTCAGAACCCGCACACGTTTTGTTGTTGTTATATCCTCATTGATTTCCGCGAAATCGAGAATATTTACCTAATCTCAGTGTCGAAAATGGAAAGTCTATCGAGATTTTCGCGGAAATCAATGATACGAAACCCATTTTCAACGTTCAACATGATCAGAGACCCTCTAGATGGGGAAGCGATAGAAGTATTGGTCAGGAAACTTTTTTCAAATGGGGAGCTGTGGAAAAATGGCCAAAAAATCGGTTTTATCAATAGAGCGCAGTTGCTGAAAAACTGGCGGCCATTTTTTCACATCCTGGGAAAAAGAAAAACAGATTCCCGTGTGATCAACACCGAGAAGAGAAACGTTTTTCGAGTTTTGGAGCCTTCTAATTAACGAGAATTAATTACATGGCAGTGCATTTGATTATAATTTCAGGGCTCTGACTCTGTATCGATTCGCCGTTATCAAATCAGAAAACCGTCATGAATGATGAAGAACCAACGAGACATTCGGATTTACAATTCTCAATATTAACAACATACAAATTTAGACAAAGGGCCAGCCGACTCTGATTTAGATGCAATATGATTTGAGAGAAACACGATTACAGAACACAAAAAAGGGGATAAGAAATGAACAAAGAATGGGTTAGACAACGTAAAAAAAAAAGAACAAGAACATTAAAGAAGAAAAAAAAAAGGCTAAACAACATAAATCTTTGATAAATTCTCTGCGAGATCCTAGTCCGAATGATTGGACGGAGGCGAGTTTTTGCGTCCTGAAATAAATTTTTTTGAATTTTTCGTGATTTATTTGACTTTTTTAGTTGGAACTTGAAGATTTGTGGCCGCATTTGGAATGTCTCAATTATAAAGAACTTGAACTTGAAGCGTTTTGGCCGCATTTGGAATGTCTCAATTACAAAGAACTTGAATTTGAAGCTTTGTGGCCGCATTTGGAATGTCTCAATTACAAAGAACTTGAATTTGAAGCTTTGTGGCCGCATTTGGAATGTCTTAATTACAAAGGACTTGATTTTAAAGCTTTGTGGCCGCATTTGGAATGTCTCAGTTATAAAGAACTTGAATTTGAAGCTTTGTGGCCGCATTTGGAATGTCTCAATTATAAAGAACTTGAATTTGAAGCTTTGTGGCCGCATTTGGAATGTCCCAATTATAAAAAAAAACATGAACTTGAAGCTTTGTGGCCGCATTTGGAATGTCTTAATTACAAAGGACTTGAACTTAAAGCTTTGTGGCCGCATTTGGAATGTCTCAGTTATAAAGAACTTGAATTTGAAGCTCTGTGGCCGCATTTGGAATGTCTAAATCATAAAAAACTCGAACTTCAAGATTTTTGTGACCGTATTTGGAATGGTTCAATTATAAAGAAATCGAGCTTCTGCTCTTTTTGATATGATCCAGCGAAAACCCTTTGGGTCGGGTGCAAAAACTTACATTAAGCTTTTATCAAAGCAACGTATCTGAGTTACAAGGGACAACAAAAATCTAACATTTCCTATTTTCCTGGCCCAAATAGCGTCGCGTACGATAAGATAACTCGGCGCAACCCGTTTTTAGCCGGGTGCAAGTGAAAATTTTTCTTAAAACACGCATTTCTACTACAAAGCGCTTTTTTAATGATTTTTCTGATAAAAATATCATTTCCCATTCCTCAAAATGATTTATTTTGTTTCAAACCGTACCTTCATGCCTCTTACGGCCGTCGTGAATATTAGCGCGCTGGAACTCGTTGATCAGCTGTCCCAGACGCATCTGAACGTTCTGAGAAGCCTGCACCGTTCCAACTATTCGCACCGTCGTGTTTTCCTCGTCTAAGAAATGGAGAATGATTTTTTGGAAGGGGAAATTGAAAAATCGCACCTTCCCTAGCCGAATGATCAGCGCTAGCACCCGCATTTCTGTCCTCATCGGGAATTTTTACCTGGAAAGATCAAAGTTGATTTTTTTTTTCAAAGAGCTCAGTGAATATTTTTGAAAATAAATCCGTTTAGGCTATTTTCTTACTTCTTTCTTCCTTGGACAAGCCCACAACTTCTCTACCACACTCCCTTGTTTACGCGCTATTTCGCTATTTCTATGACCTATCAAAATAGAGAGGAGAGAGCGCAGACACGTCATAATTTCCCAAAATGACGCATTTTTTTTTGGTTAAATTATTTTTCAATCAAATTCCAAAGGGAATCAACAAAGTCAGTGTTTCAAGGTGCATTAAAGGACCTTACAAGGAAGCTCATATCACTGGGAATTTCCTAAAAAATCGTCAGAAGGACCTTTTTTTTGAAAAATTATTAAAACACGGACATTAACCGAAGCTCCCGTGATTCGCTGAAGCTCGCGAACATTTTGCCCGCCTTTGCCGATGATTCGGCCGACTACACGTGATGGCACCGTCACCTCGGTGCGGAGTTTAATCTGAAACAGGGATCTTTCTTTTTGTTCATTTTCGCAATTATTTTTTCCCTCTCAACCTGTAAGATCATATTGGAACTTCTTTATAAGCGTGAGTTCAATAGATTTCGACTTTGAGAGCCCCTAACTTTTTTCACAGACCTCTCTGGCAACTTTTGAAGACAGATTCGGAATCAGCGTGAAAAACTACATCTAGTGAAGTTATTCTTCAGAAGTCCCACTTTGAGCTGAGACCATACGAAAATCATATAACGAACCTCTTCAATACCCTTCTGATCCTGTTCTGCGACACGCGTGAAAATCCAAAACTGAGCCCGATACTGTTGGATGTCGCTACCAGTGATTGTGATGAGACGGTCATCTTCCTAAAAAAAAAAATCAATAAAATAAAAATTTCATAGATAGACAAAAAAAATCAGAATAACTTTTATTGATTGAAAAAAGTTCGTGAACTCTGCTAGAGTTTTTAAAGGAGCATAGGGGAATCTAACAAAGGTCTCAAAGTGAAAAATCGTTTAGAGTATCATTTTTTGATAATCGAATCACTCTGCTACTTCAGCGAGGATAACCAGGATCTTCTTCAATTTTTCAAAAAGTTATTAATTTCGAAAATTCACTTAATTTTTTTAAATAACTTGCCCTTTTTACTGATCCATCTTATAACTTTTTTCCATTTGCTAAAAATTTTCTAACATTAAAATTAAAGCCGTTGATTTCCAAGTATACCAGAGGGTTATGATCCTTTCTACAGTATTTGAAGGAGAATGACGAGATTTATAAAGGTCTCAAAAGGAAAAGTCGTTAACAGCATCAATTTTCTACTGTCAAATACTCCTGCTTCTTCGGCGATAATAATCTTCTCCTCAAAGTTTGAAATTTTCGAAAATTCACATAATCTTTAAAAAACGCGACTTTTACGAGCCCTCGGAAGTGTTTCCAAAACTCTAATTCTGGTCAAAATTTCCTAAATTTCAAATGAAAGCCGCTGGTTTTGAAATTAAGCAGAAACGACCAGAAGGCTATGAAAATCCGAATGCAGTTATAGTCCGTTCGCGCGACCTGACAGAGGTCAGAGAAACATGGAAATAGTACGTAAACATGAGAGAGACGTCGAGAGACGAGGAGGGTGCAGAGAAGTCCCGCCCTTTCAAGTTGCGGAAAACGGACTAATACGCATTTTTTTTTAAATGAAATTCCCAAATTTTCTACCCTCTTCCAACTGTTTCCTTGGCATTAACAGGAAGAAAAAAATATTTTTTTTTCTCCTCTGAGCTCTTCCCTTCATTTTCCCGATCCCGCACCTTTTTCTCGATGCCGCCAGGAGACCCGGGCTGGCCCTTCTCCTCGTCGCTGCTCTTCTCGGCGCTGAACGTGCTGCTGTCGCCGGCGGTGGAGTCGTCGAGCAGATGGTGGTGTTCGTCTTTCGAGTCGGAGTTCTGCGACTCCTCGCCGGGCTTCTTCGCGTCCTCCTTCTTCTTGTCGCCGCCGTCGATGCGAATGTTGGCGCCCGAGTTGCGCATGATGTTCCGGATGTTGGCTCCCTGGAATGGGTCTTCTTTTTTCGTGGTTTCTAGGGACGTTTTAGGGTTTTTCGAAAGATTTAATAAAAAATTGGATATTCTTGTTCCTCACGGTTATACATTGGCTGGACCCCAACCCAGTTCTAGGTATTTCAAGCCGACCAATAAGGTAAACCCCTTCAAGTACCACCTCTACGCGGTGATGAGGAGACAACGCCATTTATGGCGGCTAACGGTACACCGGTCACGCAATTCGGCTTGCTTCTGCTAACAGAATGGGCGGTCTTTTTTAGCCCTGGCAAGGCAAAAAGGATAATAAGACCACAATTATGCTATAACACGTTCAAGACCACGGATGGAACTTTTTCGCAAGAATACCAGTCAACCAGGACGACAACACTGGATGACCGATTGCATAAGATCTCCTGGAAAACGTGTGGTCCACGCTTCGATCAATAAAAGGCACTAAAAGGCAATAAAAGGTCGAAAGCGAAGATGGACCATCTAAGTAAGTAAGTAAGTAAGTAATAAGGTAAAGTTCTAGAAAACTCTCAACTTTGGATATTATCGTTTTTTTTTTCCCTAGTTTCAAGTAGAAAACTCATTTCAAAGAAAAAAACCAAAAAAAATAAATTTTTTCAAAAGCGGCCTACCCCGCAAAAAGTGCGGCCTACTTAATTAGAAGGCTGGGGTGGAATCAAGCCGGTGTATGGGCCCTACTAACTTTCTCAGCGTTTTTTTTACGTCCACCATTTTCCACAAACCTTGGATCCAATGATAGCGCCGACCATGTTATTCGGGACCCACATGCGAGTCGTTTTGATCTGCTGCGACATGGAAGGCATCCGTGGCTGATTGTGGAGCAGAGCGTAGGGATCCGCGACGGGGCCCATGATTCCGGGCATCATCGGGTTGCCTTGGATTCCTTGCAGGGAGATCTGAAATAATTCAATTCTCCTAGAAAAAAAAAGCTGCACTCCTCGGCTAAGTAAAAAAAACCTTGATCCAAAGAAAAAGGTAAACTCTTTTAATAAATTTATATCGCCTAAAAGGCGCCAAAACCTCTTTTTACCCAGTTTTCTTAAAATAGAAGCTTTAAGCCCTTGAACTGGATTAATAAGTTACCTTCTAGAATTTCCAAGAACACCTCCAGAACCTGGAAGGCCTTTTTTCAAAAAATAGAGAATCCTTGAAGGCTGGATTTTCAGAATCAGGACCATTAAGAAAAAAATCTTGTCAGTTTTCCAAAAATTAGAATTTTCCTTCCTTATAAGTATCATCCGATTTTCAAAACTTTTATTGTTTTATATTTTTCTCTTACTGTACATGCTCTCACTTTCACTATAGACATGGATTTTCAAGAAAAAAAATCACTAAAAATTCGAGGGCTTCAGAAAATCCTCACCCTGTTCTGCAGATCCAACTCGTAGCTTTGACGGAGCTTTGCCGAAACTTTCTGCTCGGCGCTCGATACCTCAATTTTACCCTTTACTCTCCAAAAAAGGTATATTTAAATACATTTTCAATGGAAGCTCCTTTGATGGTAATGGTCCGTTCGAGTTGAAGGAAGACGTCGCCGTAGGGGGCGCCGAACGGCGGAAATTCGGCACTTCGGTTGTTTTGCTCGCTGGAAAAATCATCAATAAACTTTGAAATTTTATTACAAATCCTACTTTTTCTTCCATTTCAAGTGACAAAAAAATACCTCTGAAAAACATACTTGTGGCATTTCCTAGTTAAACTTTTTGATGAGAAAAAAACTTTTCTTTAGTTACCAAATTGTTTAGTTAAAAAAATATTGATAGAATAAATTCAATTTTGAAACTCAAAAAAACTCAAGCTCTTCCAGTTACTGTAGCTCATCGTTTTAGGACCCTTACCATAAAGTAAGGAAAAGTAAATTGAAACTTGGGAAAGGCCCTAGGCTAAGTGAAACTACCTTTACTACTGAAAGCACAAAAAAAACATTTTGGGGTCTTCTAATTTTTTTGAGGCTCTTACAACGGAGCTTCAATATCAAAAACCACCATAAAACTATCTAAATTCAATTTTTCCCATCATAACCTAATTTTCAATCAAAAAGGTCAACTACAGAATGGTCACTATAGGGAAAACCTTAGGGACCCTTGGAGGGGCCTCTCTAGGGACCACAAAAGCTTGCAAGTGGTCCCCATAGGGGTTTTAGTTAGTGGCCCCTTTAGGGGAGAAAGTCGATAATTGTTATGAGCTCTATGCGAAGAAACATCTCCATGGGAAAAAAAGAATAAATAAGCGTTTTTTGAGTGAAATTGAGAGACCCCTATAGGGTCCACTTAAGCTTCGGGGGCTAAGGGGTCAGATCTTGAACCCCTATAGGGACCACTTTTTCGGCCGCCATAGGGCTGTTTTTCCCTTAACCCCTATAGGGGCTACCCTGGACTTCCAAAGTTGAAAAACAGCAAGTATCAAAAACATATTTCCAATCTGAAAATAAATGAAAACCCTTAAAAACTCACTTGGAAACCGAAATATTGGTGCTGGTCTCGTTCATGATCTTCTTGATCGTGGCGCCTTGTTTTCCGATCAGCCGTCCGACCAACTGATTATGGGCCCGAATCTTCAGCTCCACCTCGTTGTTCCTTCAAGAAAAGGTTATTTTTTCAATTTCCAAGTTCATCTACAATTTGTTCTCGTCCTTGCCCAGTTCGCGGTGGACGACTTCCATGATCTTGACGCAGGCCTTGGAGCAGCACTCGAGCGACCCGATGATCGAGATAATCTTGAATATTTCATCATGAAAACGGGGGATTTCGCGACACAAAAATGCACTTTTTCCGTGTTTCCATGGGCGTCCTTCATCGTTCTCTGCACGTCGACGACGACGCGGGCCCGGGATTCCTTGGTGATTTCGCGGATATTCGCACCGCCAGAGCCGATTATGGCGCCAACGTAGCGAGAGTCGATCACGATGCGGAGTGGGAGGTCCTGAAGCGAAAATAATTTTTAAAAATCGCCGAAAATCTTGATTTTAAACTGCAAATTTCATTGAAATGAAGCAATTTCATTATCAAAAACGTAAATGGACACATTTTTTCATTCATTTTTGCAATTTTGGGCGAATTTTTCTGTTCAAAACTGGACATAAGCTCAGTTTAAGGGAAATATACCTTATCTCTCCTGAAGGGGGAACCCTAAGTTAGCCCCTAAAGGAACCCTAAGTTAGCTCCTAAAGGGTCCCTAAGTTAGCCCCTAGAGGAACCCTAAGTTAGACCCTAAAAGAACCCTAAAGTAGCCCCTAAAGGAACCCTAAGTTAGCTCCTAAAGGGTCCCTAAGTTAGCCCCTAGAGGAACCCTAAGTTAGACCCTAAAAGAACCCTAAAGTAGCCCCTGAAGGGTCCCTAAGTTAGCCCCTAAAGGAACCCTAAGTTAGCTCCTAAAGGGTCCCTAAGTTAGCCCCTAAAGGAACCCTAAGTTAGCCCCTAAAGGAACCCTAAGTTAGCCCCTAAAGGAACCCTAATTTAGCTCCTAAAGGGTCCCTAAGTTAGCTCCTAAAGGGTCCCTAAGTTAGCCCCTAAAGGGTCCCTAAGTTAGCCCCTAAAGGAACCCTAAGTTAGCTCCTAAAGGGTCCCTAAGTTAGCCCCTAGAGGAACCCTAAGTTAGACCCTAAAAGAACCCTAAAGTAGCCCCTGAAGGGTCCCTAAGTTAGCCCCTAAAGGGTCCCTAAGTTAGCCCCTAAAGGAACCCTAAGTTAGCTCCTAAAGGGTCCCTAAGTTAGCCCCTAGAGGAACCCTAAGTTAGACCCTAAAAGAACCCTAAAGTAGCCCCTAAAGGAACCCTAAGTTAGCTCCTAAAGGGTCCCTAAGTTAGCCCCTAGAGGAACCCTAAGTTAGACCCTAAAAGAACCCTAAAGTAGCCCCTAAAGGAACCCTAAGTTAGCTCCTAAAGGGTCCCTATGTTAGCCCCTAAAGGAACCCTAAGTTAGCCCCTAAAGGAACCCTAAGTTAGCCCCTAAAGGAACCCTAAGTTAGCCCCTAAAGGAACCCTAAGTTAGCCCCTAAAGGAACCCTAATTTAGCTCCTAAAGGGTCCCTAAGTTAGCTCCCTAAAGGGTCCCTAAGTTAGCCCCTAAAGGGTCCCTAAGTTAGCCCCTAAAAGGAACCCTAAGTTAGCTCCTAAAGGGTCCCTAAGTTAGCCCCTAGAGGAACCCTAAGTTAGACCCTAAAAGAACCCTAAAGTAGCCCCTGAAGGGTCCCTAAGTTAGCCCCTAAAGGGTCCCTAAGTTAGCCCCTAAAGGAACCCTAAGTTAGCTCCTAAAGGGTCCCTAAGTTAGCCCCTAGAGGAACCCTAAGTTAGACCCTAAAAGAACCCTAAAGTAGCCCCTGAAGGGTCCCTAAGTTAGCCCCTAAAGGAACCCTAAGTTAGCCCCTAAAGTAACCCTAAGTTAGCTCCTAAAGGGTCCCTAAGTTAGCCCCTAAAGGAACCCTAAGTTAGCCCCTAAAGGAACCCTAAGTTAGCTCCTAAAGGGTCCCTAAGTTAGCTCCTAAAGGGTCCCTAAGTTAGCCCCTAAAGGAACCCTAAGTTAGCCCCTAAAGGGTCCCTAAGTTAGCCCCTAAAGGAACCCTAAGTTAGTCCCTAAATATGTTAATAGAACTATTGAAAATTCCTAAAAACGAAAAAAAAATCTTTCAGTTCTAAAGTTATCCCTTTAGTGATTCACTTTCAACTAGCTCTTTTTCATGATTTTTCTCGATATCCTATCATTTTCCCTTAGCTACGTAAACTCTTCAAATCCGGACTTGAGTCGGCGGGGCGACGACATTCTCAACGCTTCTCGGGACGACGCCGGTGGTCGTGGGACGACGCGACTGATGGGCGTGTTGCTGCTGCTGCTGCTGTTGGAGATGCTGGAGCGACTGGAGGGTCGTGTTGGGATGGTGCTGCTGATGGGCCTGATGATGGTGCTGGGCTTGAGCTTGATGCTGCTGGGCCTGGTGCTGCTGGGCTTGGGCTTGAGCTTGGGCGGCGGCGTGCTGCTGAGCCTGCTGATGTCCGTGGCCGGTGGCGCTGTGGTACTGATGAGAAGAGGTGTTGTGTTGATGCTGGGCACCTGCAAAAAAAAATCGAGATTTTTATTTTGCTTCAAACTTTAGAACTCAGTCATTGAATTCTGAATTTATAGGTTCTCCTTAGAGCTTTGGGCCACTATAGAGGCTCGCCAAGGACAACTTGGAGAGGACACTAAAGTGGCCACTAAACCCACCTCTATAGTGGCCACTATTTTCCGTTTTAGTGGCCACTTCAGTGGTTTTTCATACAGTATTCCTTCCAGTAACTCTGATAGTTTCAAAACAGACAGATTGGTCCAGTTATATTGATCCATTGACCCCTAAAGTGGCCACTAAAATGTTTAGTGGTCTAGTAGTAGCACTTAGACCTCTATAGTGGCCACTAAAACGTCAAAACCCTATAGTGGCCACTATAAATTTTTTCAGGACCATTGAAAACAATCAGAAAACCTCGTAGGGATTCCAGAGTGGTCCCTACAGGGGTAGAACCAAGGTGGTTCCTACAGGGGTAGAGTTAAGGTGGTCCCTAGAGGGTTCAGGATCTTACCCCTTGGTCCTGAAGCTCAAGTGGTCCCTATAGGGGTCTCTCAATTTCCTTCAAAAAACACTTGTCTATTCAGTTTTTCTCATGGAAACGCTTCTTCGCATTCCTAAATGGACCATTTTTTTCAAGCTTTATTGCCCCCTCTAGAGGTTGGTGAAGTGGTACCTAAGGTTGCTCCTACAGGGGTCCCTCTGGAGTTCCTAAGAAAACAGGAAGGAGACCTTGAAATTTTGCTGAAACAGGAGGCTTTTCTCGATTTTTCTTCTTAATTTTTACCTTTTACCTTTAATTTTCCCATAAATAAAATGATTACCATGATCAAGCGGCGAGTTGGCTGAAGCGGGCTGAATGGTAAAGTGTGAGTAGTGGTTCTGCTGGGATTGCGTGGGCAACGTCGGCTGCTGGTAGTACATGTGCGAGTTCGAGCCGCTCTGCGGACCCTGAAACTGGCAATTTTCGATGAAAACTTGTCAAATTGATAATTACAGGGTAGAAAACTATGACATTTGTTAAAAGGTTGAAAATGCCTTTAGTATGACATTTCGGCAATTTTCATCTAACCAGAAGAGTAATTAATGGTTTGAAAAAAAATTTCAGAAAGTATACTTTCGTTTCTCAGAATGACCTAAAAACTGTAAAAAAATTTTTATGAAGAGTTTCATGAAAGGAAAAATTTTATATTTTTTTGAAAAAAATTTTTTTTTCGGCTGGTTTTTTTGGTCTATTTCCATGTATGGCAGGCAGAAAAAAATGATTTGTATAAGAATTTTTTTACCGAGAATTTTAAAAAGCCGGAAAAAGCTAGTTTTTAGTTCAAAAAAATGACTATATTCTGTTAAATTTTACGTCTTATGTAAAAAAATTAAAAAAATTCAGAAAAAAAGAGCAAAATTTGTAATAAACTAGTTTCTTCTACACACTTCACGTATTTTGAAACTTCCCTTTTCAAACCGAAAAGGGGTCCCTACAGGGGCAAAATCATGGTGGTCCCTAAAGGGGTTTAGGACGTGACCTTTAGGGCTTGAGTGGTCCCTATAGGGGTCTTTCAATTCATTTAAACAACACTTATTTATTCAATTTTTCGCGTGGAAATGCTTCTTCGTATAGGGTTCATAAAATTATTAATTTTAAGGACCACTTTTTGCAAGATTAGTGGCCCCTATAGGAGTTGGTAATGTGGTCCTAGAGAGGACTCTCCAAGGGCCCCTATAGGGACCACTCTGGAGTTGCTAAGAAAGGCGCAATTTTTCATAAACTATTATTTTTTTTTCTCCTCGAACTTTCCCTTTCAAACCGTACCTGCGAGGAGTACTGCACGTACTGCTGATGATTCTGTGCAGCGCTGGCGGCGGCGGCAGCATGAGTTCTAGTCGGCTGATAATAGTCCATCCTTTCTCGGTTCCTCGATTCGACTGGACCGAATTATCTAACTGCGAGACGAGAGTTGGAAGAAGAAGAAGAACTGGCGACGGTGGCTGAGAGCGCTCCCGAATTACACACACGCTTCGGACCCTACGATCACTATCTGGAAGGAAAATCAAAATGAGGACCGAAATGAAAATAGATTTTCTTCGCGGAGGCAGTTTAAAGGTTGGGAATTCGGAGTAAAATTGAGAAATATAATGCGGAAACTATTTTTAGAAGGGCATGTGTACCTTTCACACACAAAGTACCTTTCAAAAAAGAAAAAAAAAACGCCTTTTTAAGACCTTATCTTTTAAAAAATTATCATTGAGAAGCTCGTAAAAATAGAGAAGAAATTAAAGAAGAAAAATTACGAAAAAAAGAAAACTATCTTAAAAAATGTGACCTTAGACTGGGAGCAAAAACTTTTTTTATTGTTAGATTTTTTCACGGCTATCCAGGATATGAACGGAACTCCGAATTCTAAAAAAATAGTAATAAATGGAAAAATTACTAAATTCAATTTGTGACAAAGATTTCTGAAAACACAATTATAAACTTTTTTTCGATTCTTTAAAAAAATTTTTTTGTTTTATCAAAAAAAAATTTTTCACGGCTATCCAGGACATGTACGGAACTCAGACTTCTAAAAAAATAATTAATAATTAAAAAAATCACTAAATTTAACTTATAAAAAAATTTCTGCGAACACAGTTACATATATTTTTTTCGATTCTTCAAGGAAATTTTTTTGGAAATTATACGTGATCAGAAAAAAATGTCTCACCCCTTTTTTTAATTTTGTGAGAATGTTACGAAAAAGTTTGAAATAACTCAAATAACGTTATGAACTTCATATTTCTTAATTTCTCTTTTTTTTCTAGTTCCAAATATGAAAAATGAGAAGAAAAAAACTAATTATAGAAAGTTCAGTTAATCGAGTTTGCGCGGCTCAATTTAGAAGGAAGCTCAAGCTACAAAAAACTCATCAATTTCAAAAGCTTGATATAATTTATCCTGGACTTTCTATCAACTAAGCTTATAAGGAAAAAAGGTAAATGGCATACTGCCAAGTAGTTAATCTGATTGGATAAATTAAGAAATCCTAAATTTCTTCCTAGAACCCACAAAAAACAAACGCAAATAAGCAACGAGAAAACTTCAATTTCGGGTCTAAGTTCTCGGAAAAACTCGATATAACAACGTAAACAGGCAATTAATATCTATTAATTATTACAATCAAGCCAGGGAACAACAATCAACAGAAAAATGCTGCGAAGCAAAAAAGGGCGAAAAAATAGGCCAAGTTCAGAAGGCCTTTGGGAGACCTTAGAAGTGAAATTGGAAGGTTCTTTTAATGCTCCGAAAATGTTTAAAAAATGTCTTTTTTGTCGCCTTTCTGAATTTGAGAGCCTTTTTCTCTTGAGAAACTTTTTACCTCCTCAAAAGGACCTTTCCAATCAGAAGCCTAAAATAGGCGCTAAAGAATCTTAGCTCGAATGAAATCAAATATAACATCAAGTTTTCGAGTATCACAAAGTAAAAGAAGCTATTGATTTCTATCAATCAATATCAATCAACGGAAAGAACGAGAACCGCAGCAGAAAGCTAGAGAAATCACTTAGAACTTTTTGAAACACTAAAAAAACCAACAGCCACTGAAAAAGGTGAAGAGACTCAAACTTTAGAACAAAGTCTAAGTGAAAATTAAGATGAAAAGGTTGAAAAAGTTCTGATAATTGAGACCATTCGAGCAACAAGGAAAGGATCAAAGCTATATTTCCAAAACCAATTCTCAGAAAAGTTCACATCTTGACTATTCTAGAATGGCTCAAATAAACCAGATTGAGAAATAAACAAAACGAAAAGCTAAACAATAAGACAATGAGGACACAAACTTTGACTTCAGACTTCAAGATTTTCAATGATTTCATGGAAAGGTCCAGTTAAAAAGATAATAAATTTTTGGACAAGCCAAAAAGGGAACTCTTTTAGATTGGATCAGTATGAACCTTTAGAGGAGAGTCTCAAAACTGATACTAACAGTAAGGATAGAAAAAAGAGGAAAAGTTTTTTTGAAGGAAGGTCAATTTCCGGAAAATCGGCCAGAATACTTCTTGATGTACCATCTGAAAGTTTCAACCTGCACAAATTCCTAGTTTTCGAGAAATAAAAGCCCCAAAATGGCCTATTTTCATGGATTTCTTTGACTTGAAAACGAGGAAGTTATGTCGGTTCAGACTTTCCTTCATCTGGTACATCTGGGAGCGTTTTGGCCCATTTTCAGGTAAATCCCAAGCGCAAAGTAAAATGACCTTCTTTGTTCACTGTTTTTGTATAAAGCTCAATCTTTCTGAAACTTACTAAGCTGCCTTTTTTTCTGGATTCTGGCAGAGTGTTACAAACAACAGGCTTTTCAATTGCAGAAAGTTTCAGAAAGATTAAACTCCATACAAGAAAGTTGTGACCAAAAACCCGTTTTTCTGAAGCATTTTCATGCACTTTCCTCTTGAAAAAATCTGAAGAAAACACGGAAAAGGACGATTCTGCGAAAAAAATAGAAGATAAAAAAACAAAAAAACAAGCGATTAATTGCTATCAATTAAGATCAATTAAGCAAGGAGAATCATAGCGAAGGAAGGGAGAAGGAGGGGAGGAAAAAAAGCGGCGAGAGCGAGGAACGGAGAGGGCGGCGACCGCGACGCGTTCCTCTCTCGGGTCGCGCGCCGCGGTCAACACAACACAATCGCTTGCGTTTTTTTGCCCCCTCCTTCCCGGCGCGTTGGCCTTCTCCTCACTTCTTCTCCGTCCACCGGCCGCGGCTGTAAAAGAAAACATGGCGCGAAAAGGCTGCCATACGGCGGCCGGCCCAAGCCACTACAAACACACCAACGACGCTCACACTCACTCACACACATACAAACACACACAAAATCCGTTCGTTCGCACTCAAGAACGCAAAAACGCGGCGGCGGAGGCCGAGGTTTGGGAGGAACGGGGAGCGACCGTAAAGTGCCTCTGAAACGTTGGCTGGCCGCTGAGAAACCTCCTCCAAAACAATGGAGATTCCTCAAGAAAGAAATAAGCTTCGGAAAAGTGACAAAAATGGAAGAAAAAGCCAATATTTCACTAGTTCATTCAAATTCTTGAAATGAAAAAAAATGCCTTCAAAGTGATGAAAAAAGAAAAAAAGGACAAAGTTCAAAAGGATAGTAATATTTTATAGACGATTCATGGCTAGCTTGGGACGCAAAAAGGCGTGGCCTGTCTGCACTCTCCACCAACCTGGCACTGTCTCGTCTCTTTTCGTGGCAGGACCCTTTTCTCGATGGCTCAAGCCAGCCGTGAATCAGCTATACAAGTTCATTCAAACTAATTTCTTGAAAAATCTTCAAAGTGATAAAAAAAAGTGCGAAAAAGACGAAGTTTATGATGAAAGCTATATTTTATATGTTCATTCAAACCAAAATTCTTGAAAAAAAAAAAAAATCTCCTTCAACTACAAAAAAAAGTAAAGGAGAAAGATAGTTGTAATTTCAAAGTTCATTAAAACTACCATGTACAAAAAGGTTAAACAAAAAAATCAAAAAAATCTATTTTAAATGAAGGTAAATAAAAAAATTAGACCTTTTTTTGAGCTTATCCCGACCAGTGTGTACAATAGTTTCAAAAAAATAAATGGATTCTTTAAGAAAAAGACAAAAAATGTCTTGTAAAAGTGATAAAAGTGGCGCGACGAAAATGCTTGCTGTATTTTACAAGTTCATTCAAACTATTCTCTTAAAAAGACAAAAAAAATCTCTTCAAAGTGATAAAAAAAGTGCCAAAAAGACGAGAATTCTTGAAAAAAAAGAGAAAAATCTCTCTCAACTACAAAAAAAAAGAAAAAAGATAGCTGTGCTTTTAAAGTTTATTAAAACTAGCATTTATGAAAGCTTCAAAGAAAAAATATATCTTCTATATAAAGAAAAATTAAAAAAATTTATAGACCAATATTTCGAGTTTGTTCCGAGCAGTGTGTATAAAAGCTGTTAGAATAAAAATAATGGATCATTCAAATAAAAAAAAAAAAACAATTCTTTTAAGATATGGAAACTACAAAATAAAAATGTGGTAAAAATCTATGGAAGCTTGAAAATGTCGAAAAAAAGAGTTATGATAAAGACTAGGAAAATTCAAAAAATGTCTTTTGATATTATCGAATAATTTATAAATGAATCTCTATTCTACTGTCGTACTCAAATGGATTACGAGAAAATAAAAGTGAAAAATGTCAGAAAGTGAAAAAATATCACAAAATTTGGGAGAGTCAGAGATAGTTTCGAAATTAATCGGTTCTCAAAGTTCGTTGTTGAACAGATATATATTGAAAAAAAACGACAAGCTTTTCAAAATTCCTTTCAGGAAAACATCAAAAATATTCGAATTAAATTGTTTCAATGCGTCACACAATAACAAACGTGTCGCCATTGCAATCATGACTCAGTGAGAATTCCAGAAAAAGTTCTAATTGAATTTGAATCAAAATGCCTTGAATGAACAACCAAAAATCGAAAAAAATTCCAGCCGAAGCACGATTCGTTGACCTCAATTTTTGGGGCGACGACCGGAAATAAACATTTACTCTTCTCACTTCTACGAGAGTGTATCTTTTTTTCACTACAAAATGGTTGCAGAAGGAAATTTTGCAAAATTTCTCATTTTTCTTTATGAATAGAACTTTGAATCAATCAAAAATTATGTACAAGCAAACTTTGAAACCTATTTTTCTACGCAAAAGTCTTTTCCGTAGCGTTTTTAGAAAAGCGTGGACAGATTTCATAAATTTCATTCAGACAAAAAGCCATTTTCAGCGTTATTTCAGTTCATAGAAAACTTTTAAAAAAAAGTCAAAAAGCTATTTCGAAACGAGTTTGAACGAAAAAAAATCCCGCAATTATAGAAAACGGAAACATTTTCGAATTCCTGTTTCACAGATGCAAAAAAAAAAACTTAAAAGTCGATATCAACAGCTGTTGCAGAATGCTGGAAAAATTGGAACTACACAAATTAGTTTTTTTAATTAAATTACGTACACCGCCAAAGTCCAAAAAAACCTAAAGACTTTTAAAAAAGGCTCAGAGGCTCCTTTTTTTCTTTACTTCTTTTTGAAAAAGAAACTTTTTAGGAGAAAAAAAGAAGCTAAAAAGGGAGATTCAGAAAAACTTTTGACACCTTTTTTGGAAATCAAAAAGAATCTTCAACCTTTTTTTTTATTTCCGTGTGTTTCAAGATTCAAAATATTGTTAAAAACGGATTTAAATATGAAAAAGAGTTCAATTTGTCGGTAAATTGTTGAGAAAAAAAAGCGAAATAAAAAATCGGAAAACGTTTCAAAAAAAAAAAATAAAAACAACTCTCCTACACTGGTAGCGCTAATGAGAAAAATTTTTTTAGTGACCACTATAGGGTTTTTCAATTTTTTTGTAGTTGACTGGGAAAAATTTTCAGTGGCCACTATAGGGTTCTGACGTTTTAGCGGCCTCTATTGTAGTCAAATTAGTGGCCACTTAAGGGGTTAAAAATTAGTAGCCACTATAGAGGTCTAAGTGCTACTACTAGACCATAAAAATTGTAAGTGACCACTTTAGGGGTCAATAGATCAACATAACTGGTCCAATATGTTTGTTTTAAAACTATCAGAGTTACTGGAAGGAATACTGGATCAAAAACTACTGAAGTGGCCACTAAAACGGATAATATTGGCCACTATAGAGGTGAGTTTAGTGGCCACTTTAGTGTCCTCTCAAAAAATTCCTTGGCGAGCCTCTATATGCGTAAATACCCTGGAAGCTTGGAAGCCATTAAGTGATCACTTTAGCGGCATTAGCGGACTTGAGTGATCACTTAAGGGTTAAGCAACGTCTGGAGCCCTTACGGTCTGCGTTTTAGAGAGAAAAACTTATAGAATCGATTTGGAAAATGCTAAAATTCGTTTCAAATCTTCAAAAGTTTCGATTCAATAAAAATTTGAAATGAAAAAAGGGAACGATACAGTTTTAGAAATGGAAGAAACGGAACGACGAAAATATGGAATTTTGGCTATAAAACCAAGAAATAAAATCCATTTTCAAAAAAACGATAAAAATTTTATTATTCACCAACGATTAAATTTCAACAGAAAACAGAAAAATAACAAAACCTCTAACAAGAGAAAACAACAAAATGATAACAATAACGAAATTTCAATAAATCCTTTTCTGGGCCTTCTGAATAATCGGCAAAAGTCTTTTATAGCGGGTTCTTTCGATGGGCGGCATGTTGGTGGCGAGCATTGCAGGACTGAAAAATGATTATTTCAATGGAATAATGTTTTTGATTTAAAAAAATACCAATTTTTTTCTCGGCAACATTGTGCAACTTCGTCATGGCGAGAAGAGTTTGGGTCGCGTTGACAATATTCTCCGAAATTATCGTTCCAGAGATCTAAAACTCACTTTCAGAACAATTCAAAAAAAAAAAATTCAGACTACAAGGGTGCAAAGTTCAATAAATTTGCTGTCATCTTATTACGGTTTTATAAGCTATTTTTTCCATTTTTCTTTTATATTCTCGTTTTGTTTCTGCCTGTAAATTAGAGTACCCTAGAAAAAAATATTCCTACAGGAGATATCAAACTAATTTTTTTCCTCACAATCATAAATTTAGGTTTCACGAACCCCTAATAGAAAAAAATTTCACTAATAACAGAGAAAAAAACCTTAAAAAAACAGCAAAAAAACAAAAAAAGTTTGAAAAATTCGAAACAAAAAAATTCAGTTAAACTTCTACAAGGTACAAATAATTTTTTTGTTAAATTTATGAAATTGCCCTTTTTTTCCACTTCAAAAATTATCTATTTAATGTTTGATTTTTGACTATTTATTTTTTTCGTTTCTATAAAATTATTTATTTTTTTCGATGATTTTCCAAAAAGATTGCTATGTTAATATATTATAAACATTTGCTAAGATTTGCTATAAAAACTTTTTGAAGACAATTTTTTTAATGACCTCTAGAAAAAAACATTAAATTTCTGAAAAACCTGTGAAAAGAAGCTTTCCGACGCCTTCATTTGGTCCGCAACTCTGGCGACGTCATGGATCAACTTCTGCTTCTTTTTCTCAGTTTCCATGTTCGCCTCGTTCAATCTGACATAGTGCTGAACGCTGGTCAGCGTTTTCGAGTACAGAGAGCTGAAAATTCGTTTTTCAGAATATTCTGGTCCTTTTCGAAAAAAATAAATATATAGAAAAAAATAATGAGAGGAAAAAAAAAGCCAGCGAATTTTCGAACGGCGACTTTTCCGATTTTTTCGTATCGATAGGGAATTTTCCGACGAATCTCTTTTTTTCTTATTTTTTTTTTTCATCACTTGCATACTTTACATAAGAAGATTTAAAAACAAAGAGTTTATCGAGAAAAAAAGTCGGAAGAAGATTCGTCGGAAGTTCCCTAGCGATATGAAAAAAATCGGAAAAAGTCGCCGTTTGAATTTTCGCTGGTCTTTTTTTCATACCACCAGAAAACCGGCAAGAAAAAGTCCCAGAAACACAAAATGATCTAAAAAAATTTCCAAAAATATATATATCAAGTTAATGAGCGCTCGGAAAAACAAAAAGAGAAAAAAAGTGAATATTTTTAATTTTTCTGGATTCTCTGGTTCATTCGAGAAAATAAACATAAATAAAAATTCGGTTAAAAATTTATATAAGCACATAAAAAAATGAGCTCAAAAGACTCCAGAAAATCTAGCCGTTAATACAAGAAAAAGCTGACAAAAAAAAGTTGAAAATTTTCAGCGACAAGCTTTGAATTTTATTCTCACCACATTACATTTGAAGCACATACAAATGGTCGAAATTTTTACTTTTTAAATTTTTTAACCCTTATTTCTCTGCCCAACTTCCAAAAAGTACCAAAAAACTGCAGTAAATTGTCGAGTCGTCGACTTTTTCGCCTTTCTCAGGGAAACGTCGAGTAAATGAAGGACTTTGACGAGGACATCGAATGATTGGGAAGAAGTGACTCTCATTTCGAGCCAACGATCCGCCGCCAGTTTTCCGAGGCAAATTTCCACAGCAAATGGCTCAAAATCGCTGTCCGCATAGGCCTAAACGGACAAGGATCATTGAAATTGAGTTGAGGATTGATGAATCTTTTGAATTTCACTCACAAAAACTTAAAAACTATTAAAATACCTAACTTCTAAAAATGGTAGTGACATTTTTTGGCTTGGCTTTTTCGATAAACTGATTATATTAACCTCATTTGAGACTTAAAAAAACTTTGAAAAAAAGTAGTTTTTCCTTATTAATCCGCTAAAGTTCTGACAAAAAAACCTAGGATTTCAAAAAACTCTGTTATTTTTTTACACTTTATTCGAGTATCTTCAAAAAATGTCACAAAAATCCGTTTATTTTCCTTTGAAATTCACGTTTTTTCGCCATGGGAAGAACAAAAATTATCCCTTAAATGAGAAAATCGATCCAAAACACGTTTCGAATCAAAAATAATCGATCCTACTTATGTTTCAAAACTTTTTGAATGCAGAAAGTCTTCTATGAAACTTCAGTTTTCAAAAATATTCCCAAACTTTTTTTCCCAACTTCCTGTCCTTACCTCCACGACGCAGGCCAAAAAGTCAATCTCGGCCCGATCCTTGCCTTTGAGATTCTGCACAAGTTCCACAATATGCTCTAAAAATGGACATTTTCCAAAGTTATCTATAAAAAAAGTCTGACCAAAAATGTCCGGCAAATATTTTGTCACGAGTTTTCGGGACACAGAAAATGGCTCTATTCGCGATCAAATGGCCAAGTTCCAGGGTTGGATCGGCAGCAAGGTTTTCGAAAAGTGAAACGAACTGAAAATTATCAATTTCGCTGAAGTTTTGTAATAAGAAAAAAGTTGAAAAATTAATAATTTTGACACGAATAATAATCTTTCCGCGTATTTTCTTCACTCGAAGTGGTAGCTCTCTCAGTCGGCCGAGGCTACCCTAGAGTGTACACGGAGTCCGTGCCCGAGCCCCACCATCACCGCCGTGCCCGTACCCGCGAAACTGAGGGATCTACTTTTGGAAGAACGAGGCGAAGGACCGTAAGACAATGCTTTCAATTCATTCGACTACACGTTTTGACTTCTTTTTCGCCAAAGGCGGTGTTAGTGCCGCTCAAAAGAGCACTTTTTTCACCGCCTAGTCGATTCCATCTGACTAAAACAACCAATAAATATTGATATTGATATTGATTGATTAAAGAAGAAAATTAAAAAATGTAAATTAACGGTTGAAAAAATAAATTGAATCTTTTTTTCCCACTAACTCATTAGTTCAAGACTGAAAGAATTGCCAAAAATCAATAAAACTTATTAAAAAAAAATATGGAGCTTAACCCTTCAAAAAAAATATATAAAAATCCTCATTTTACTAGAAAAACCTCCTAAGAAACAATTTCTACATAAAATTTTACAACCTCCTCAAATGCTTATTTTTCCGTTTTTCCACTAACTCATTAAACACTAAAAACTACCAAAAACCACTAAAACTACTGTAAATTCTAAACAATCTTTAAAAAATAGTAAAATTTACATAGTTCTCAAAAGAAGCATCTCTGAAGATGAAATCCAACGATTCCGGCGATTTTTCAGCGATGTATGACAATCGTTCGACAGTCAAAATGCTGAAAAGCAACGGTTTTACACAAATTTCCGATTCTCATGTCACTTTTGTAGCCGCGAATCCCAAGAATCCGATTTTTGATCGCTTCGCAAAACCATCAGATGGAATTCGACTGCTCGTCGTATCACGATATCCTCGCTTCCAGGTTCGATTGAAACCTTTCCATCGAGGATTTTCTTGACGAATCTAAAAAAAAAAGGAATTCATGAAGTCTATAGGTTGTAAATTTTTTTAAATTTTTTTCACTTTTTAACTTAAATTTGTGAAAATATTTCTAAACCTTTAGCTTTGCAAAAAAAGTCTTATATTGAATGATGACAGTGAAAACCTCAATATAAAAGTCTCGAATTTTCATGAGGAATTCATGAGGAATTCCGTGTATTTTCTTCACTCGAAGAGGTAGCTCTCTCAGTCGGCCGAGGCTACCCTAGAGTGTACACGGAGTCCGTGCCCGAGCCCCACCATCACCGCCGTGCCCGTACCCGCGAAACTGAGGGATCTACTTTTGGAAGAACGAGGCGAAGGACCGTAAGACAATGCTTTCAATTCAATCGACTACACGTTTTGACTTCTTTTTCGCCAAAGGCGGTGTTAGTGCCGCTCAAAAGAGCACTTTTTTCACCGCCTAGTCGATTCCATCTGACTAAAACAACCAATAAATATTGTATTGTATTGTATTGTATTGTAATTCGAAAAATTGGTATTGAACCTCAAACTTTTAAATAATATTCTTTTTGAAAAAAATTTTTAAAAAGCGTGAAAAAAAGATTTTAATGACCTTTCTGATCATAAATAATTTCTAAAAAGAAATCGAAAAAAATGGGTCAAATTTATTCACATTCATTCCTATTTTTTTGTCTTTAGTGCGACGGAAAAAAATTGATCGGATATTTCAATTTTGGCGCTGCCAATTTACGCAAGCCATTTTTGGTGAAATTCACGATAACTACTTATTTCACAGAGATATTCGAGAAATTATTTTTCACAGGTCTAATTAAATAACTAACTGCTTGCCATTTCAATAAATATTTCAAAAAAACAATCTGAAATCATTTTTAAAAACGATTTTTTTCGTATTGAAAAAATGAATTCAACACCAACTTGTGCAGATTTTTCAAGGACGACTGCGCAATCTGCCGCAATTTCTCCTCCGATTTCACTTGTCTCAAAACTTCCAAAGGGATCGTGTGATTCTAAAAAAATTTCCATTAAAATTCAACCTAGAATAAAAATAAAAACTTCAGAAATCGAGTTCTGCTTGCTTGCTTCCAGAACGAAACTAGCTGCATTGGAAAAAAACAGGGGAGATCCAATCCTAAAAAAAAATATAACTATTAAAAAAATGAAAAAAAGAAAAATACCTTGATGAATTTTCAAATTCTCCTCTGTAGCTAGTAATAACCGTTGAGTTTTTGAGAGGATCGAAAGCCTGAAAAAAATAATATTTTTTTGAAAAAAAGTTAATTTTTTTTACATGTTATAATTTAACTAATACTGCGAAATTTTTTTGAAGTTTGGTAATTTTTTTCGTCTGTTCAATCGATTTTCCGGTAAAAAAACTGGCAAAACTGTTAGTTGAATCGGGATCAGGACCTTTGAGGAATTATTTAATTTCATGGTTGGATCAAAAAAATATGTTTTTTTAACCCCTGAATAAGGTGTAATAACTCACAAAAAAAACTAAACAATTATTAAATTTCCAAGAGAAAGGCCCTGGAGCGATTAGCGAAAAATGATGCTAAAAATGCCCTTTTTCAAGTTCTTCAAATTAAACTCGTAGAATCATCTTTATTGAAATATTTTGAGCCTTCCTAAAAACTTCAATCGAAATTTTAGGAAAAAATAAGCAAAAAAATACTTTAAAAGAATAACTATAACAACCTTCAAAAAAATTCAAAGAAAATCTAGAAATTTCAATCATCAAAACTCAAGGCTCACATGGAAAATTTCTACGCGGAAAAAATTTTTTTCAAAAAAAACCTACCATTCAAGAGATTCCGTGACTTCGATCTCTTCCAAAAGATTTTTTTCCATGACATAATCATCTAAAAAAGCTCAAAATATACATTTTTGCATGATAAAACTACCCAAAGACGAATCAAAAGTATAAAAAGAGACAAAAGTGTTCAAATTGGCGCAAAGACCGTTTTTTATCTGAAAAAAACATTTTTCAACACGAAATTTGAAATTTCTACAAACCCTAAAATCCAGCACAGAAATTGGAGTACTGCAATTCAGACGTTCCCCTTCCATTTGAGATTTTCTAACCGTTGCGAGAAATTTTTCAAAAGCCGTGGAATCGCTGAAAATTATATTAGAAATTCTATTAAAGATGATTAAACCTTGACAAATGTTCGATAATTTCCATAAAAGTATTGAAAATTGAAGATTCGTTGTAGCAAAGCAAAGCCATCCTCAAAGAAGACGTCTGAAAAATTATTTTTTTTTTGTAAATCGAGAAAAAACCAACCAAAACTACTAGAGCACTGGATCCTTCGAAAAAATTGAGCAATGTCAATTTTTTTCAAATAATCGAAAATATTTCAGAGAATTTGGAGAGAACTTCATCTAAAAAAACTTATTTTATTTGATTCCGAATCACAAAAAAATAATAATGACCAGTTTTGAATTTTTTAAAACTCGCTGCGCCACTTTCTTCAGCACTTTTTTCAACAAAGGGGCAAAATTTTGGTCTTCTTCACTGAAAATTCAAAAAATTCCTCTTTTTTTTCGACCAATTTTTGGTTTACCTTCCTTCTGAAATGACACCAACCAAATCAATAATGGCGGGTGACAAATAATCATCCTGGGATCAATGTTTTATAAAAAAATATTTTTTATTTTGAACCTCCTCGTCTAGAAGTTCAACAACGTTTGAAAGATTCGCAGTTAGCAAAGAAACTTTGTTCGTTATTCCCCACGACAGCAGTCTTTTCGTTAACATTTCATTCTGAAATTGAAAATTGCGTTCAATTTTGAATTTTCCGTTGCCTTACCTTATCTGAACCCAAGTTGACTTTCAATAAGACTTGTACTAATCGATTAAAAATCGTTATGTCGAGTGCGTGGGACAATCTTTCCAGGTGATTTTCGGTTATTGTTGAAATCTGAATTTTATTCAGTTTTGAGATTTTTAGAGTATATAGTCTTCTAAAAATTCATTTCTAGAGTGCAAAAATGGTCTTTAAAAAAGATTTTCCTGTCAGTTTTTCTTTTACAATTTCCAGACACGAAATTTTAGCAAATTCGATGAAAAATAACCATTTTCTCAAGACCCTTATCAATGGAATAATTGGAATTCTTCAAAACAGCTCGAATTCCTTTGTCTTTTTCGGCCAAATCGTCAGTGATAAGCAACGTGAGAAGCGCAATCACTGGATCCCTTCTCATCGGCTGAAAATTCAACTTTTTCGACTTATTTAAATCAAAACAAACCGCCGTAACAAAACTATTCCACAAGCTTGAAGTATCCGAATCGCTCAGATAGGCCTCAGAAATCAAGAGAAACTTGAAGAAACAATGGGCTACGCATCTCATTTCCACTGAAAAAGAACAAAACAAAAATAAATACTTAAAATTTCTAAAACCTAAGAGTTCTTTTTTCCACAAGCCCTGGATTATATCGGGCATGGAACTTTTGACAGATATATGTAGTTTTTTTCATAGCCAGAACCAAGCAAATTGGCATGTTGCAGGAATATTTCAAATATCGCCACTTCGTTTCTAAAATAATAATAATTCAGAAAGTAATTATCTTCTTCCACCTGCAAAATTTGTTCTCTAATGATCCTTGCAACCCTTTGACTATTTTCTCATAGCAATCCAACGCAGAAACTGAACCCAAAACAGGAAAATACGTCCTTAGAAGCTCAGCGATAGGATCACAGAGGAAAGCTTGATTTCCCTGCAATTTTAATTTTGAAACTTCTCATTTAATTAGTAAAACCTTCGAAGAACAACATTCGAGAACTGCTTCGAATACATCTGCCGGCCTTTGTAACCGTTTCAATTGCTCAACTAGTGTTTTTGCGCTTTTGTCGTCACCTAAACAAGCCTTGTGATTGATAAGAGTCCTTTACAGTACTTGATAATGTTTGAGAGACAAGTTCTGCGATTTGAGCTTTGGAACTCGCAGGCGGATTCGCCAGAGCTTCGGCCAAAACATTGTGAAGCTTGCGTTTCTTGGTTTCTGGAGGAACCATCGGAACCTGAAAAGAGGCTTAGAACATGAAATCCCAATAAAAAATGAATTAAAAAACAAAAATATTTTTCTACTTTCAAAATGGGTACTTCAATTGGATAAGCCGCGCGAATTTTTTTGAATTTTTATTTTTCTGTTTTTTTAGACAATGTTTCTGTCATTGTACTACTAAAACGTTGCAAAAGCTTGATAATGTTGATGAAAATCATTATGAGAACAAATTTTGCGCAATGAAACTGAAATTATTCGTGGTTGAACCGGCGGTTCCGCGGCGGCAAAATTTTCGGTGTGCATTTGCGCGTATCGGTGTTTACATAATGCAAACAGCGCGCCAAAATCCAGCGGCGGAGCGGCGCGACGCTCTCCAGTCCTTTTTGTTTATTTCAAAACGATTTTTTTGTTTTCTCGAAAAAATAGTGTATCTTTCTGCTTGAAGTTTCAATAGCAAGCGTTTTCTCAACGTGAGGTTCACTGACGTTCACAATCAAAAGTCCTAAACGATAGCTTAAGAGCTCAAAAAAGTATCTGAACCGTCTTTTCCATGATTCATGATTTTCCGCGTGCTGAATCTGAAAATCCCTTGATATTTTTGAGCGTTTTCACCTTATACTCTTGCAGAGATGTCTGACGATTCTAAACACGAAGACGTCGAAATGGAGGAACCTGAAGACACAGTTTTTAACATCTTAAATAGCTTTCCTTAGTTATAAGTTCAGAAGGAAGAAAGCTATGATCAAGGCGAAGAAACTGGGATGCAAGTGGACGAGGAGAGCCCAAAATCGTCGAATTCTTCTGGTTTTCAGCTACTCCTCAGGGTTTTTCAGATGGAAAATTTTCAGGAGGCGTTAAATTCGAGGCGGATTCTTTTAAACGTTTCGAAATGTTGCTCAAGAAGACGGAAAATTTCTCGCACTGTCTCAGCGTCGGAGACGTGGCTGCAACGAAAGGTGAGAAGAAATTTGGGAAAAAATACAGTTTTTTTTTTCAGCTCCCGCGGGTGATAAAAAGAAGCGAGGTCGTCCGCAAAAAGGTGGGGTCGAAGGGGATCACCGGCATAGGAAAACGGAACAAGTAAAACAAATTGAAAGAAAAAAAAAATCAATATTTATCTAGGAAGAAGACGAAGAGCTTCTGGAAGCGGCCAAAAAAGAGGACAACCTGGTTCTCTTTGATAAAAGTCCGTTCTTTATCGAGAATGGTGAAATGAGGTTTTTATACATCTTTTATTCGTTTTAAAACAATTTTTCCAGAGATTATCAAGTCCGAGGTCTGAACTGGCTTATAAACTTGCAGCACAACGGGATCAACGGAATTCTCGCCGATGAAATGGTACCTTCTTTTTATGGAAACCGATAAAATGTCGCTTTGAAGGGTCTCGGAAAGACGCTGCAGACGATTTCGCTCCTCGGGTACATGAAGCACGTGAAGAATATGAGCGGCCCTCATTTGGTCATCGTCCCGAAATCGACGCTAAAAAATTGGGGAAATGAGTTCGCCAAGTGGTGTCCCACGATCAAGACTTGCACTGTCATTGGTGATGAAGCCGCTAGAGTGAGTTTTGAAAATAGTTATAGCTTATTCCGGCAGATTGTCACTATTTTTGATGACCTCTGAGCTACAGGACCCGGCGTGTGCCTTTAATATAACGGAATACTTTAAAGTTTAAAGTATCGAAGTTTAGGGACAGGAAAAGGTTCAAAAAGACATTTTTATAGCCTGTTCAGATTTTGAATGTCAAGTTGTCGCTTAAGCTCCGCCCCCAATGACGCGATAAACCATTCAAAAAACGAGCCATCCACAGAGCGTTTTCGAAGGAAGTCATTGTACTGAACATTCAAAAAATGAACTATAGAGCCTATTTCAGACTTTTCTTCATTGTAAATTTTTTCAAAAGGTCAAAAGAAAACAAGGTGAGAAAGGCATGAAAATTCTGAGAAATCCAAGAAAAAGAGCCTTTTTTAAACAATGTTTTCACAATATTTTGAAAATTCGGAACGCCTTAAAATTACTTTTGAAATTGAAGTAATTTCTCACACGGCATCCCTATTGGGGCGTGGGAAGGTGAGCGAGGCGTCAAAATTTCAAAAAAAAAAAACGTCTGAATTTATCAAAAAAAGTAAGTGCGCGCTCCGGATAAAATAATGTCATTCTACGTCACAAATTACATGAGTATTTAATGTTAATAACTTGTTAGTTCGATCGCCTTTGGCTGCGTACTTGAAATTTTAATTTTCGCATCAAAATTTTTTTTTTTGACGTATTCCTACCTCGTTTGGGAACGCCGTGAGCTCAATAATAGTTTTTTGATTGCAATTTTGATTAAATTTGGCCTCTGAGCTTTTAAAAACGCCCGTAAAATGTCTTTAACAACACTTTTAAGCGTAAAAGGAGCCTAACTAGGAGGTTCTGTGTAAAAAAAGTTTTTCAAGGATCCTTCAATGGCTTTAAAATTTTCTCAAATATCGTCTTCTTCGTAAGATTCCTATTTTTTTTTTCAGAACGACGTGCTCCGCGACATCGTCCTGCCGATGAAGTTCGACGTCTGCTGCACGACCTACGAAATGATGCTGAAAATCAAGAGCCAACTGAAGAAGCTCTCCTGGAAATATATCATCATCGATGAGGCCCACAGAATCAAAAATGAGAAGAGCAAGGTGAATTTGCCGTTTCATCGCCTTTTAATCCTCAAATGAAAAAAGCTAATTAGGTATTGGGATATTTTTAAAAAAATAAATGAATCTAATCAAAATTTTGAAGCCGTTTTCAAAGTAATTCCGCGAAATTAAAATTAGCCGTCAGAGAAAGAAAAAGACAACTATATTTTGGAGAGTCAGAAATAATTTCAAATATAGCGGGGAAAACAGGAGAGGTCTCCAAACAGTTTATTGGTCGCATTGGGAATATTTCGACGCCTTTTTTTTTGTTTTTTGTAATCAATTATCTTGTAAATCACCTTTATCGATTGGTAAATCATTTTTATATTTAAAAGCTAGCCTGATAAAACGAGATTTTTTCAGTTTTAGCGGAATAATGGGCGAAAAATAGAGGGTATGAAGTCTTTTTAGTAACACATTTAGCGATGAATAATGGCCTTTCTGGGTGAAAATTTTCAAATTTTTCATGATATTTTCTGTAGACTTTAACCTTGTTTGACAGTCCTTTTGAATAAAATAAAAAAGAAAGAAAATTTTTTTTCGATTGAAAATTTTGAAAAATTTTGAGTATTTCCTAATGCCGTATTTAATTGGATTCCGCGAATTTCAAAATAGCTGTCAGAGAAAGAAAAAGATAACTAATTTTTGGAGAGTCAGAGATAATTTTGAATTTGGCGGAAAACACGGGATAAGAGGTCCCCAAACAGTTTATTGGTCGCATTGGGAATGGCTCGATGTCATTTTTTATTATTTTTTGCAATCAGTTGTCTTTTAAATCATTTTTAATGGTTGAAAATCATTTTGACAATTTATAACCAGCTTGATAAAACGAGATTTTTTCAGTTTTAGCGAAATAGTGTGCGAAAAATAGAGGGTATGAAGCCTTTTAGTCATTTTTTACACATTTGCGATGAGAAAAGGCTTTTTTCGAGTGAAAATTTTCAGAATTTCCATTGTTTTTTTTTGTAAACCTTTAACTTTGAAATGTTTGACAGTCCTTTTGAATAAAATAAAAAAGAAAGAAACTTTTTTTTTCGATTGAAAATTTTTGATTATTTACTATAAACTGTTTCAAAACAGTATGAGATAAATTCGATAAAAAGCAAAAATGTACATTTTCAGCTCTCTGAAGTGGTCCGAGAATTAAAATCGCGAAATCGGCTCCTCATCACCGGAACCCCACTGCAGAACAACCTGCACGAACTCTGGGCTCTGCTCAATTTCCTCCTCCCCGACATTTTCTCCTCCTCTGAAGATTTCGACTCCTGGTTTTCGAATGATTCTATGGCCCAGAATGAAGATATCATCCAGAGGCTTCATCAGGTAGAAATTAGGGCCAATGAATATCCGAAATTGGGTTTTTCCAAGGCTCAGATTCAGGTATTTCAGTATCTTCTCATGAAATAAGTATCCCTGAACCTGAGGAAGGGGCCACTAGAGTGATAATCTTGATTTTTTCAAGTAAAATTTCTATGAAATACCTTTCTAACTTGGCCAGGTGGAAGATAACACCAAAAATTAAAAATATCATTTTTCCAAATTTTTTGTGTAATTTTGAGAGTTTTCAAGCGGATGAAAGACCTCATTCTGAGAAAATTTTCAGTGGCCCCTTGAGGGTTTTGACGTTTTAGTGACCACTATAGCAGTCGAATTAGTGGTCACTTAAGTGACTAAAATTCAGTTGCCTTTTTAGAAGTCTCATTGGTAATACTAGACCACTAGAAACTACTATAGTGACCACTTGGGCGCAAATAGTGGCTTCTATAGAGTTGATTTCAGTGGCCACTTTAGTGTCCTGTTCAAGTTGGCCTTGAGAAGCCTCTCAAGTGGCCGCTAGAGTTTTTCCAGTGTTTAGAGGTCAAATAAATTTCAAGTGATCGCTTCAGGGGTGTTTGTTCAGAAAAAAATTTAAGTGGTCACTTCAGGGGTGTAAACATGTGTCTCTTCCGAGGTACTTTGATTTTTTCGGAAAATTCTGAATTTTTAGTGCTTCAGAAAGAATTTTTTTAATAGAATTTATGCGTCTGAAAAGCATTGAATGGAAAAAAATATCCCGGCTTTTTAAAATCAAAAAATAGAAAATATTTTGAGGTTCTCCAACCTTTCCTGTTGCGTCGTATCAAGTCGGATGTCGAGAAATCGCTTCTTCCTAAGAAGGAAGTCAAGGTGGATTTTTATTTTTTCCGGAATAAAATATCATTTTTCTTCAGGTTTATGTGGGTCTGTCGAAAATGCAGCGCGAATGGTACACGAAGGTTCTGATGAAGGATATTGATATAATCAATGGAGCGGGAAAAGTCGAAAAAGCCAGGTTTGGAAAAATTGAGACATCAATAGCGGGAGCAGGACGTTTCTGATCATTTCTAGGGATCACTTCAGTGGCGTCAGCAGCTTTTACTCTGTTTTGATTGGCTCATGTACTGAGAAAGTTTTTAGTGGCCACTATAGAGGCTCCTCATGGACTACTTGAAAAAGGACACTAAAGTGGCCACTAAACCCCCCTCTGTAGTGGCCGCTTCAGTAGTTTTTCATCCAGAATTCCTTCCAGTAACCCTGATTATTTTAAAACAAACAGATCGGACCGGTTATGTTGATCCATTGACCCCTATAGTGGCCACTAAAATTTTCAGTGGTCTAGTAGTAGCGCTTAGACCTCTATAGTGGTCACTAACTTTAACCCCTTAAGTGGCCGCTAATTTGAATACTATAGTGGCCAATAAAACGTCAAAACCCTGTAGTGGCCACTAAAAATTTTCCCAGTAGTTTTCCTCGGACGTCGGCAACGCAAACCTGAGAATTTCTACGGATCCTTTTATTGTCGCCAGTGCCCTTAAGTAATCCCTAAAACATCTTAAACCGTCCATTACGCATTCGGATTGCGTTACAAAATTTTTCAAAGTAAAAAAAAATGATTTTTTTCAGGTTGATGAACATTCTGATGCACCTCCGAAAGGCCTGTAACCATCCGTATCTGTTCGACGGAGCCGAACCCGGGCCGCCCTACACCACTGATCAGCATCTGGTTGATAACAGTGGAAAAATGGTCCTGCTCGACAAATTGTTGGTCAAACTCCAGAAACAAGGTTTGGAGTAGGAGTATTCCACTAGGGAATTAGGCCCTTAGAGGTACCACTTTACCCAGAGGTGGAGGATGGCTGCCCTCTGGCCGCCCTGCCTGCCAAGCCATAAACGCCCAAAAGGCAGAAATGACTTTTTCAAAAGTCAGCGTGGCGCGACGGTCATTTGTATGGCGATATCGCCCTAGCATTTACAAAAACACAAAAACACGAAAAAATGGTGGTATGAAAAAAAAGATCAGCGAAAACTCGAACGGCGATTTTTCTGATTTGTTTCATATCGCTTGGGAGCTTTCCGACGGAGAATTTTCGACTAATCCTTTTCAACTTTTTTGCTAAATAAACTCTTCGTTTTGAATCCTCCCATATAAAGTAGGTAGTTGATTCATGAATAAAACACAAAAAAGTAGACCAAAACTATGTTTTATGAACCGAAAAATATAAGGGAAAAAAGTCAGAAAAAGATTCGTCGGAAAGGTGGCCGTCGGAAAGTTCCCTAGCGATTTGAACAAATCGGAAAAAGTCGCCGTTCGAAAATTCGCTGGTTTTTTTTTCATACCGCCGGAAAAATCCAGGTAGAGAACTGTAAGCCTTCCACTCTTAACGAGGTGGCCTGGCGTAATAGGATTTTTTTCAGTCATTTGACTTTTTGAAACCAAATGAATCAAGAGAAATACTTTTTGCATCAATTTCATAGCATCTCAAAAATTTTTTTTGTCGAAATAGTTCTCTAGTGAGATTGAAAAAGGTAGCCTTTTGACCCGTTTCAGTGACAATTCCCTGCTGAAATAACTGTTACAGTAGATTAAAAAAACGTTAACACAAGTTGCGAAAAATTCAAAAATTTACAAAAATTGATAATGATTAGTTCAGGGCGTTATCGCCACGTACTTGACCTAGTTGCCAAAGACCACGTAAATTAATGGCTCATTTCTATCGTTTGGCTTTTTGGCTTGGCTTGGCCGCCAAGCCAAGGGCTGCCTTCCCAATTCTCCACCTCTGACTTTACCTACCCATACAAGAGCCATTAAAAGTTGCAAAAGTGGCCATTATAGAGGATTTTTTTGAACTTAAGAGAATAAACATTTCAATACGAAAAACAGAATAAACTAGCGTTTTTCAATGAAACAGTTATAACAAAAAAGTACCATTTTTGTTTTTAACTTTCAAATCTGAAAAAAAAAATAGAAACCCCATATAGGGACAAAATCCGCTTTAGGGACTTAGGGGTCCGGCTTTAAATCCCTGTAGGGACCACTTGGCAAAGAAATCAGAAGAAGGGGGGAAGGTGGCTTGCTTGTCGCCAGTCATGCTCATCCCATGTAAGTACAGAAAAGATTCTTAATTTTATAAGAATCAGATTGAATGGTTGAAAACATCCTATCTCTAAATTTTTCAGGGTCTCGTGTCCTTCTCTTTTCGCAATTCGCCAGAATGTTGGATCTCTTTGAAGATTATTGTTGGTGGAAAAAGTGTGTTTAATATATGAGAAAATGTGAGAACAAGAAAAAAAAATCAGGTACGAATACTGCCGCCTCGACGGAAGCACGGCTCACGAGGAACGTCAGAAGTCGATCGACGAATTCAACGCCGAAGGATCGAAAAAGTTCCTTTTCATGTTGACCACGAGGGCCGGAGGTCTCGGAATCAACTTGGCGACGGCCGACGTCGTCATCATCTACGACTCGGATTGGAATCCCCAGTCGGATCTGCAAGCCATGGACCGCGCCCACAGAATCGGACAGAAGAAACAGGTTGGGCTTGGGATTATTTTGGCAAAAGGGATGTTAGAAGTGTTAAAAAAAATTCGCAGCTACTGGTTCTGTTGAAATATTCATCAATTTTCTTACAGAAAATATTTCAAAAACAGTTTTAAGTAAAATTTTCGAACCCTGTTGGGAAAATTTTTCCTGGCCACTATAGAGGTTTCTCAAGAAAATGGCCGCTAAACCCACCTCTATAGTGGCAACTATTTTCCGTTTTAGGGCCCCCTTCAGTAGTTTTTCATCCAGTATTCCTTACAGTAGCTCTGATAGTTTTAAAACAAAAAGATTGGTCCAGTTATGTTGATCCATTGACCTCTAAAGTGACCACTAATTTGACTACTATAGTGGCCAATAAAACGTCAAAACCCTATAGTGGCCTCTAAAAATTTTCCGAGGAGTTTTCCTCGGCCACCGGCAGTGTAATCCTGAGCTTTTCTAGGGATCCCTTTAGTGGCTTCAGCAGCTTTTAGTTGTGTAGATTGCGAATGACTTATGTAATATTAAAGTCTGGTCACTCGGACATCGGCAGTACAATTTTGAGCATTTCTAGTGACCCCTTTAGCGGCGTCAGTACTCTTAAATGACCTCTTAAATGTCTAAAAACGCCCGGGGCTCGCCCATTTTGCATTACCAAGTTTTTCAAAGTAAAAAAAAAATGATTTTTTCAGTTGGGTGGAATGAGCCATAACTACCGTGAAATAAAGATTTTTCCATCAACTTTCAATGCTTCATCAATCTTATCTTTAGGTCCGCGTGTTCCGTCTGATCACTGAAAACACGGTCGACGAACGAGTCATCGAGAAAGCCGAGATGAAGCTGCGGCTGGACTCGATCGTCATCCAACAAGGCCGGATCGCCGAGGCGCAGAAAACCTTGGGCAAGGACGCCATGTTGAACATGATCCGCCACGGCGCCGAGCACGTCTTCTCCGCCAAGGACTCGACGATCAGCGACGACGACATCGACACGATCCTCAGCAAGGCCGAGGTCAAGACCGCCGAACTCAACGCCAAACTCGAAAGCCTCGGCGAGAACAACCTCCGGAACATGTGCTTCGACACACCCGGCGGCGATAACTATACGGTAGGCTATACGGTATCTCCGACTCGACGGAAATCCTCTCAGGTCTACTCCTTCGAGGGCCAGAACTTCAAACAGAAGCACAACGACGCCATGGGCTCCTTCTGGATCGAACCGCCGAAGCGGGAACGCAAGGCGAATTATCAGGTGAATAAGGGATATTTTAGGGCAGTATGGTTCATGATAACTTCTTGGGATGGCTTATGAAGCATTGAAAAGAGTATAAAAATTATGAGCTTGAACATTGTTCATTTTGTTTCAGTAAAAAAATTGACAAAATAATTACTTGAAATAGGAATACCATTTTCTCCCTCTAGGGACCACTAGCATGCTCCCCTGGGGGGGCTTTTTAAAACCCCTCTAGGGACCATCAGCATGCTCCCCAGAAGAGCCATCAACTCCAAACCCTCTAGGGACCACTAGCCTGCACCCCTGAAGGGGGCACTATTTGAAGCTCCTCTAGGGACCACTTGCTATGTGTCTATCTACAGGTGACAAAAGAAAGCTCCTCATAAAGGTAAAATTCAGGTGGTTTCATTCCTAAGCTTCTAAAGCTCAATTATCCCTAAAGGGGAGCCTTCAAAGGTCATTAAGATCTAAGATTACCCCTGTAGAGACCACTCTGGAGCTCTCAAATTCCGATACCGTTTTTTTCAAGAATTTTCTTCTCATTATGACTTTTCAATAATTTCTGAATCTTTTCATTTTTCAACTCGACTAGATAACCAGCAATAAGGCCATTTCCAGGTTGATGCCTATTTCCGCGAGGCTATGCGAGTCGGAAACGCCTCGGAGAAGCAATCCAAGGCGCCGAGGCCGAAACTGCCGACCGTCTACGACTTCCAGTTCTTCCCCCGTCGACTCATGCAACTGCTCGACCAAGAAATTTACTTCTATCGCAAATCGATCGGCTACAAGGTCAGTTTTGTGACGATGGAAGGTTTGGGTAGGTTGTGTGGAATGATTTTTGTACCCTACTTACGAAAAAAGTGTAGAAAAAAGAGCTGAAATTTCAATGATTTTGAAGTTCTGCAGTCCTTAAAGACGCTATGACAGTTAGAAAGCAAAAAAGAGAAAGAACTAGAATTTTTTTATTGAAATTCCGATGACAATGGGATGTTTCAGAGTTGGGTCAAAATCGTACTATGACAGTTGAAAATTCGAAAAAATAGAGTAGAAACTAGAAATTCAGGGAATTTTTACGGAAATGGAACTTTCTTCTTTTTTATCGTGAAAGGAGAGTGTGAGAAAAAATGGAAAGGGCTAGAAATCTCTGGGATTTGGAGAGAAGGGGTTTTTTTTTTCATAATGAAGCTATGACAGTTGAAAATAGGAACTAAAAATTTGAAAATTTTTCATTTTTGATGAGGTTCTATATGAAGCTATGACAGTAAGAAGTACACAGAAAACGTAAAAATTAACAAAAGATACATTATTGATAAAATGGCTCTCAGCATGTCCTCCAATCACAGTTCTCCTACATAAGGGGCTGGCGAGCCGATCGGCGAGTCGATGTCGTCGATCGCGTCGCCGGCGTTGATCATACCGGCTAGCTGGGATTTTTCAAAAGTGGACACCTTAAGTCGGGAATTTTTTACCTTGACTTCTTCCTCTAAACTCGTGTCGGAGCCCCAGACGCTTCCTTCGTTCATTTCCTCTTCGTGTAGATCTTCTGGGAATCGAACCAAATACGGCTTTTTCGACGAGTTTTTCAACGGAAATATGATGTACTGTGTGTTGTGGTAGTTGGAGAGGTCTTCCAGACAGCTTAGACTGAAATTTCCAGTTTTTGATGATTTCTAGAGAGTTTCAAAAAGGGTTTTTAAAGTTAAAAATTGCCTCAAACGTCGGTCCAGCGATGAAGCACGACTATCAGTGGATTCAGAGATTCGATTCGCAATTTTTGCTGGCTTTACTATTGTCGGAGCTTTTTCTTCGCGTTTAGTCTGTATCACGACTTCATCTTGAGCCTCATCTTCTACGTCAACTTCGGCATCGATTTCATCAACATAATCGTCTCCGTCCTCTTCTTTATCCTCTTGATCGATTTGGCCTTCCTCCTCGCTCGAGGTCGCCGCTGTTCGATACGGCGGTGGACTTTTCTGAATTTTATGTAAGGCTGATAAGAAGAGGGCAAAAGGTGTACGGCTGAGATGTTGATGACTGCTGAGTGCTTTAGGACACCCTGGCTCTATAATAAGTTGGAAAATTTGCTCCTGTCTCCAAGGCATATATGTCGGCTGGACCTGGGGTGCGGCCTAACCCCATCAAACTGCGGCCTACCCCCCAAAAAGTGTGGCCTACCCCCCGAAATGTGCGGCCTACTTCAGTACATTTTCAAAAAATGTTTTTTCGCGCGCAAAAGGCTGGGGTGGGATCCAGCTGATGTATGCTCCAAGGAGAGTTATAACGCTTCAAAGTGGGAACTCTAGTGAAGTAAAAGGATATCGACTAGAGTTCTCAAAACCGAACGTTCAAAAAATGACCGTTTGAAAAAAATGAACTTTTTCATTTTTCGATAGTTTAGGATATATCATTTTCAAACGTTCAACCAAAAAAAGTTCGAAAAATCGTTTTCTTATAATAATGAACGTTTGCTTTTTCACATAAAAACGGACGTTCGTTTTTTTGAACGAACTGTTTTGAAATGGAAAAATGAACGTTCACTTTTTTTGAACGAACTTTTTCACGAGCGAAAAAAATGAACGTTCATTTTTTTAAACGAACTTTTTGGAAATGAAAAAAATGAACGTTCATTTTTTTGAACGAACTTTTTGAAAAATGGAAAAATGAACGTTCATTTTTTTGAACGAACTTTTTGAAAATGAAAAAAATGAACGTTCATTTTTTTGAACGAACTTTTTGGAAATGAAAAATGAACGTTCATTTTTTGAACGAACTTTTTGGAAATGAAAAATGAACGTTCATTTTTTGAACGAACTTTTTTACGAACGGAAAATGAACGTTCATTTTGGTTGAACGTTCAAAAGCAAACTTGAACCAAAAGTTTGGTTTCAACATTTGTTCGAAAATGTTTGGTCGAACGTTCGTTCGAACGTTTGGTTTTGAGAACTCTAATATCGACGGCTTTAAGGCTTCAGAGTTCGTAAAAGCCAAAAAAGGCAATTTATTCCCAGTGATTTGGAGACAGAGCATCTTGAAGTAACCCCTACAAGGAAGGTCATTTTATTTCGTACTTGGGAATTTTTTAAAAGCCAGAACGCTTCTTAATTTATCAGCTTATAGTCTTCAAGGATTCAACGTACACAGTTTTCTAGTTTTTAAGTTTTTTTTTGGGCGAATTCCCAAAGTTTCTTATTTGACGGAGTTAAAGAATTTTTTCTGATTTTTAGGTGTCCTTCTCGGAAACTAGGAGCATGTTGAGGCTTTCAGGTAAATTATCTGGTACCTCAAGAACAGTTTTCTGAAACCCCCCAACCGCAAAGTTTCCCCGATTTCTCAACCGGACACTTTGCACGTTCTTTGTGAGCTTACAATCCTCTTCCGGTCGTTCTTCCGACCCTGCTTGAGCCGTTGTGGTGTGGTGGGACTTCTGACGGTGCTCAGGCTTCCGGCGCTTTGCGATAAGCTCAGCTTTGGATGGGATAGTTCCAATCGCTTTTCGCTACTCGCTGGAAAAGCTCTGATTAAAGTGGCAATGTGTCGAAATGGAGGCGTCGGGATCAGCTCGACTTAACACTGATTATCTTGGCAACGTTCACTGTCGATCCGCTTTCCGGATTGTTACGTCCGTATCTATATGACTAGTTCGAAGATATTTAGGAGAAGACGCTTTGGGAGTTATCTTTATGGAATTTTGTTGGTGCAAGCTTGAGATAAATTGGCTGGGAATGGTTTTTGTTCGAATTTACTCTTAAATCAAGTTCTTTTTTCCGGGAGACTTTTTCAGTCTCAAGACGAGTACGCTTTTTGAGTGTACGAAGAGAACTTACTGTGCAAAAGATCTCGGATGAACTTGAGTCTCTGAGGAATTCTCCTGTTTCTTGAAAATGTCTGGAAATGCGCAAGTAAGGGGGGTCTATACTTATGACGCACACTGGAGAGACTACCTGCACAAATTTTTTTTTTCAAAGGGAAATTAGTCGGGATTCGCCTTTATCATTAAACCAATCCAACATTCATTCATCTACACGAATATGCAGGATTCAAAAATCCCAAGTTTTCGCAAAGAAAGACTGTTAAAAATCCATATGTATACCTTCAAAGATTTTTTGGCGCGGTTTTGTAGAAATTCACAAGTGTAACACTAAAAAAAAAACTTTGGAAAGGTACACTCTACACTTTAGATTGGATTTTGAAGTTTTATTGTGGTTTCCACCTTTCTCCGCTTCTCGAATCGCTTTCATGGCCCGTCGGGACAGCGAAGTTGTCGAGTCATTTGTCGGAGATAAGTAGAAAACTGGCTGAGTTAAGCTGTTGGATGAGTCGACGCGACTTCCGCCGGGCAACGAAGTGTTGGTGATTACGCTGATAAGTCGTTGTTTTATCCGCTTTATGCATCGGGTGTGCTCCAGACGGTCATATACGATGGAGATCTTATATCCCTTAAAGTCATTTACGAATAGTTGAATATTAGACTTCTGGTCTCATTTTCCAACTCACTTCGTAGAGTAAGTCTTGGAGGAGGCCGTAGTCGATAACGTCGAGAGAAGCGTCGTCGAGAAGTTCCCAGTGAGAATTCGGATTGCGGGAAAGGGCTCCATGCGCAATTCTGGTTGAATAAATGATAATTTCCGAATTTGTAGAGGGATACTTTCTTTCTGAATTAGTTTTGATGACTGTCGTGAATTTTTCTTAGAGTTTTTTTTTTTTGAGAGAAGCTTTAAAACATCCTGATTTCATATCAGTCGAGAAAACTGTGCCTTTTTAGAGATTCGCGCACCTCAAAATTGAAATTAGACTCATTTGGTTGATCCCTGGACATTTTGGAAACTTCACAACTCTACTCGGACCTCGGTAACGCGTAACGGACGTGCTCCGGACGTTTCTGTGAGATTCTAGGGATCACTTAAGAGTTCTGAGGCTACTAAAATGGTCACTAGATATGCCCCGACACGTCCGATTTGCGTTACCAAGGTTCGAGTACTGAAAGGCAAAAATGGCAGTTTTTCCCGGTTTTTTGGAGTCAAGGTGCCTTGAAGTATCTCTCATCGAAGCTTCTTCGAATTTTCAAACGGACAATATTGCGCTTTGCCTTAAAAACAAGTGGAAAAACTCACACAATATCCTCCCTGGCGACCCCCCGGTTACAAATGACAAGTTTCGTCCTCGGTGGCCTCATCATAATTATCGGCAACATCAACTGCCAGGCGTACTGTAGGGTCAGAAGGCAATTCGTGTCGCGAAGGGTGAACTCGTTGACGAAAAATAGAACGATATCGGCGCCGCTGAGCATCGTCCGCGTTTTGCCGTCCTCCCAGCCGCCGGAGTTGCACGAGACGTAGAACTCGGAGTAGAGGTCGTTGGCGATCGTGTTCAGAGATCTGGGCGTTCTTCATTAGATGTGGCCTTTTTAAGAGATTTTTTCAAGTTTTTCCCTATCAGTCTGAAATTTACCGGCACGAGAGTTCTAATCTACAAGGAGAATGAGTTTGAAGAAAAGTTGTCTTTGGGAAGCTTCAAAGTTAGTCATAATTTAAAGAAAAATGAGCATTAAAAAAACCCCATTGTGTTAGTGGTATAACTAGGAAGTCATAATGGAGACAAATAGCCCGTTTATCAAGCTTTTCCTAGCCGTTTTTGGATCGAGGTTTTATCAAAAAAGGTGAACGGAAGATCTAGGGAGGTATAACTCCTAATTGCTACCTGGGCAACTTTTTTTGTCACGATTTATGAATTTTCTAGGTGTGTGGTTTTGGTTTTAGGTCTAGCTATGTTAAACGCGAGATTTTTGGTTCCTTATCTTTAAAATAATCTCAACAAAGGTAGAGCTCATAAAAAAACTGCATCTTTAAACATAAAAATTCATAATAATTTATTACTACAAAAAAATTATCTAATTTTTCCTACTAGCTTTTGCCCACTAGTCGAGTTTTTGAAACTTCAAATAGTGTCTTTTTTTCATGGCTTTTTGTAGTTTGCGCGATCTCGAAGATGAGGCGAAATTCAAAAAAATTTTTTTTAAATTTTGAAATTAGGAGACAGAGCAGACCATTTTTGAAGGCTGCTGACAAAATCATCGAAAGTGAATATCTCATCCAGGACTTATCGAAATCAGCTTCAAAAAAAAACCAACTTCTAAGAAATCTTTCCTTCCTAAAATACAGAAGCAAGTAGTTTGTCCAGAAGAAGTGGTTCGCTTACAAAATTTGACCAAAAGACCAAGTAAAGAAGATTTATAGTGCCTTTAAAATGAAAATACTTAAAAAGAAGGATTGACGGCCTTCAAAAACGATCCGCCCATGTATGCTTGTTGAATGAAAAACTCACGAATTATGCCACCTCTTAGGTATCAGCCCGGCGAGGAAGACTCGACGAGCGTTCTGAATGTCGGAATCCTCGCTTTCGGCGACGCCAATGGCGACGGTGCTGCCGGTGGAGGTCATGGCTTTTCCAGGCCCCGGGCCGACAAAAATGAGAGCCGCCAGCTCGTCGCCGCGGGCGGGGCAAAGCCGGCGATGAGCCGAAAATTTTGGTGATAATGAATGATGAGACTGGTTGCTCCTAGTTACGCGCATCGAGTTTTTTTTTCTTCTTCTTTTTGCTGCCCCTCCCCTTTTTTCACACATGGATAACGCAAAACTTTATCCCTTCCCCCTTCGAGGATGATATTTTTTCGAACTCCGCTTATCTTCTTGTTGGCTTATCGCATGCGGTGTTCTGAAAACTACATAATCCCTGAGGAATTGTGTCGAAACTGTAGGGTTTTTTTGAAACTTTTTAATTGAAAAATTGTTCGTTCCTTATAAATCTCAATTAGTTGTATATTGAAATAAGCCTCTCTGGAAATAGCTAGAATTCAAAAAAAAAAGATTTTTTTTTTCAGTTCATCATTTCAAAAATAAAGTCGTACTTTCTTGAAGCTTTCTAGCTGGAAATTCTTGAGTTCCTAGGGATTCTCGATGATGAGGATTATGTTTTTTCAAGATAGTTGAGGTTTTCAGGCCGAAAAACCAGCAAACTGTCCACCGAAAGAGGCCGAAAAACGGCAGAAAGAAGAGCAGAAACTGATAGATGAAGCCTTGCCGCTGACCGACGAAGAACATCTCGAAAAAGCGGACCTTTTGACCCAAGGCGTCACCGATTGGACCAAAAGAGAGTTCCAGACTTTTGTCAGGGTAAATTCGAAGCGAAAGTGATCGGAATAGAAGTTTTGCCTCAGGGCAATGAGAAATATGGCCGCTTGGACCTTGAAAACATCGCCAAAGACTTGGAAAAGCCGCTCGCCGAAGTTCAGGCCTACGCCAAGGTCTTCTGGCAAAGGTTCGACGAGCTGCAGGACGGCGAGAAGATTCTGGCGCAGATTGAGAAGGTAAAAGAATTTATTGGCAGAAAAAAAATTTTTGTTCACAAATTGTAAAGAGCTCAGTATTTTTGAAACTCTATATAGCGTTTTTTTTCTGCGAACTGAAGTTCCACTGGAAGGTTATAAATAACGGCCAGCACCTTTCCAGAAGGTTTCAGAAAGATCAAACTCCATACAAGGAATTTTTGATGAAAAAAGGGTTTTTTGTATCTTTTCTGGAAGATCTGTAGATATTGTGCTCTCTAGGTGAAAAAAAAAGTTCAGAAAGTCCGTTAGAAAGTTTTTTTTTTGATTTTTAACGCTTTAAAGCTCTATAAGAAGGTCGCTGACGTCTTTTAAAGACGGACATTTTTTAACAGATAAAAGTTAGACACTTGACAAAGGCCGAGTTTTCTTCAGATTTCTGGGTCATGCAAGATAGTTTTTTCCTAGTTATAAGTTCGAAAAATGAAGTTTAAAATTATCTTGAAAGTACAGAGCTTTTTCTCTTTTTTTCCAGGCTCAGTAAGGAGTTTTCTGACGTTTTTTTAAAGGACGTATGTTTTATTATAAGAAAAAAATAAGAAAAAAATTGTCAAATCTCGAGTTTAGTGCAGACTTTTGACAAAAACAGAATGATTTTTTTCACCAATTTTAAGTTTGGAAAAGGGGTTTTTACGTTTTATTGAGAATAGCTGTAGAGCTTTTACTCCTTGTTTTAGCTCAATATGGGATTTTCTAGCGTTTTAAAAAAAAATCATTCTGTAGATAAAAGTTTGAAAAAATTTGAAAAAAAGGACGAGTTTATTTCATATTTTTCGGGCTATGCAGGATAGTTTTTTCCTAGTTTTTTGTTTGGAAAAAGAATTTCAGGTTTTATTGAGCTTATGCGATGATAATTTGAATTTTTTTGCATTTAAAAAATTCATCAACTTTTTCATAGTGAGGGATTACGGTTAGTTTGAGAAAAAAGTAGTCCAAAAAGTTGAAAATTAGCCTGAATCTGTAGAAAATCGAGAGGGTTTCCGATTTTTTTTTGCATTTATTGAATTAAAAAAATCATCAACTTCTTCCTAGAGAGGGAATACAGTTATTTCGAAATAAAAATGCTTCAAAAAAAGTTGAAAAATTATACTGAATGTGTAGGACGTTAGGAATTTCTCGCATTTTTTTAAATAAAAAACTCAACAACTTTTTTTCCTAGTGAGGGGTGATGGTTGGTTTGAGAGAAAAGTAACCCAAAAAGTTGAAAATTAACCTGAATCTGTAAAGGATTGGGAGTTCTCTGCATTTTTGTTGAATTAAAAAATTCATCGACATCTTCGTATTGAAAGATTTGGGATAGTTTGAAAAATAAGTGATCAAAAAGTTGAAAGTTAACCTGAATTTTATGTTATTTTTGTTCTGCCTGTAAATAAATAATATTATATTATTAATTTGTAGAGAAAAATTCGATTTATGGAAGTAAACCTAGTACTTTTTAAAAAGTAAACTCTTCCAACATGATAATTGAATCAAAAACGGACCATACATATATTTTTCTCTGTTAGGGTGAAGCAAGAATCCAACGCCGTCAATCGGTGAAAAAGGCTCTCGACGCGAAAATCGCCAAATACCGTGCACCTTTCCATCAGCTCCGTATCGCTTACGGTACCAACAAGGGCAAAACTTATACCGAGGAGGAGGATAGGTGAATTAGTTACTTTTTAGGTTAGCAATGAATCCTTGACTTCAGATTCCTGGTCTGTGAGCTCCATCGACTTGGATTCGACAAGGAGACGGTCTACGAAGAACTGCGACAGTCGGTCCGGATGGCCCCGCAGTTCAGATTCGATTGGTTCATCAAAAGTCGCACGGCGATGGTAAGCAAATCATCTTCTTCTCTTGCCTTCGTACTGCTCGAGTAGGGTTGGGGCGAGAACCGGCCATTGTCAAGCCCGACACTGCCCGGAAAGCCCGAGACCCCAAGCAAAAAAGCACATGTCTGTCCTATTGGTTCATGAAAATCTTCTTTTTCTTGTACCGCTTAAGCGGCCTAAGGTAGATTAGGTTTGTATGAGGGTCGGCCCTTTTTAAGCCCGATCCTGCACGGAAATCCCGGGACCCCAAGCAAAAATGCCCGTCCCATTGGTTCATCAAAATATTCTCCTTCTTGCGCCTTTGTACCGCTTGAGCGGCCTAGGGTAAATTAAGCTTGTGTGAGGCGGCCCTTTTTGAGCCCTACCCTGCCCGTGAATCCCGGAACCTCAAGCAAAAAAGCACAAGCTCGTCCCATTGGTTCATGAAAATATTCTTCTTCTTGTACCGCTTAAGCGGCCTCGAGTAGATTAGGCTTGTGTGAGGGTCGGCCCTTTTTGAGCCCGATACTGCCCGGAAATCCCGGGATCCCAAGCAAAAAAGCCCGTCCCATTGGTTCATCAAAATCTTCTTCTTCTCTGGCCTTTTTACTGCTCGAGTAGGGCTTGGGCGAGAACCGGCCATTGTCAAGCCCGACACTGCCCGGAATGCCCGGGACCCCAAGCAAAAAAGCACATGCCCGTCCTATTGGTTCATGAAAATTTCATTTTTTTTTTGTACCGCTCGAGCGGCCTCTAGTAGATTAGGCTTGTGTGAGGGTTGGCCCTTTTTAACCCCGATCCTGCCCGTAAATCCCGGGACCTCAAGAAAAAAAGCACAGGCCCGTCCCATTGGTTCATGAAAATCTTAATCTTCTTGCGCCTTCGTACCGTTTGAGCGGCCTCGAATATACTAGGCTTGTGTGAGGGTTGGCCCTTTTTAAGCCCGGATCCCAAGCGAAAAAGCATAGGCCCGTCCCATTGGTTTATGAAAATCTCCTTCTTCTTGCGCCTTTGTACCGCTTGAGCGGCCTCGGGTAGATTAGGCTTGTGTGAGGGTCGGCCCTTTTTGAGCCCGATCCTGCCCGGGATTCCCGGTACCTTGCAAAAAAGCACAGGCCCGTCCCATTGGTTCATGAAAATCTTCATCTTTTTGTACCGCTTGAGCGGTCTTGAGTAGATTAGGCTTGTGTGAGGTCGGCCCTTTTTGAGCCCTACCCTGCCCGGCCTTACCGGGCCCTGGTCAAATATCAGACTTTTCCAAGAGAAAAGTCACTTTTTGGTTCTCCCTTCCACTAGGATATCAGCAAAAATGAATTAACAAGTGAAAAAAATTTTTTTGGAGAAAAAAATTTCGAGAAGAAGCTAGGCCTGGCCTGGGCCCGCGTTTGCTTTTCGCAAAAAAATGCGCCAGGGGGTGGTGATTTCCTAAACCCCTTGGTTGTGACGCGACCAGGGATCTAACTTGTGACCCTTGTCACCGTAGACAGACACACAACCTGTTGCGCTACGGCGCTATAGTATACACCAAAGATTCAAAAAAGTGAACACAAAAAAAAAATTAAAAATTGCATAAAAAGGAATGAGTCGATTCGACGCAATCGCTCATTTTGTTTATGAGATTTTTATTTTGATGAATGGATTTTTTTTTTCTCACATCACTTAGGAGAGAATCAAAAATAAGATTTCGAAAGTAGTTTTTTTCATTTCATTGAATTTCCTAGTTCTCTAGGGACGAATAACAGTACTGAAAAGCAATATTAGTCATTAGAAATTTTGAATTTTTGAAAAAAGAATTTCAGATTTTTAGTACAGTTTTTGACGGAAAATAGGACTGTACGATTTGAAAATGAATAAAACTTTTTTTGGTCGAAAATCAAAAGCAAAAATAACACGAAAATCAGCTTGTCCCTTTTGAGACCGTTATGGATGTGGTTTGTGCTTTATTCTGATCTCAGACATATCCTGAGAAGGTAAATGGAAGCCAGGTCTCTCTAGAGGCGTTCAGAAGGTTCTTGGAAGGTAAAAATTGAATATTCCGGGCAGCTTGCCCAAAGCCTTCCAGCAGGCTTTTAACAGGTTAGTAGAAGGTGTTAGGAAGACGTTTAACCCCTTTCTGGAAATCTTCTGAACATCTTCTAAGCAACTGATAGTACTCAGGCAATTCCTGAGAACGTATTGGGAAGGTAACCAGCAGAAAGTTGGAGGCTGAATAGAAGCTTGAAGATCTTGAGGAGGCCTTCGGAAAGCGTTCAGAAGGTATTTGGAAAGTCCTTGAAATTGAAAACTCCGCGCAGCTTGTCGGAAGCCTTCCGGCAGGTTAGTAAGAGGTGCTGGAAATGCGTACAGCCTTGCTGAAAAACTTCTGAACGTCTCCCAAGAAACCGATGATAGAAGCTTCCCAAAAGCTTCCTAGAATCTTCCGAAAACCTTCCCGGAACTTGATCGAGTACATTGCAGCAAACTTTTTCGTTCTCCTACAGCTCAAAAAAAAATTTTCTTCTCGATTTTCAATGTTTCCAGGAGCTCCAACGTCGATGCAACACGCTGATCACGCTGATCGAGAAGGAGATGGGCGATTCGACGGAGACGAAGAAGAGGACGACGCAGAAGAAGGAGCCGGCGGCGACGACGTCGACGCCGCCGAAAGCTGCGCCGAGGAAGAGCGCCAGCGGCGGAACTCGTGGCCGTCCCGCCAAATCTTGATTCCTTCCACTCCCACTGTTCATAATTTATTCATCATGATCTTTTTGCAAAATATTAGGTTGGCCGGCTGGAAATGAGCCTTTTTTGGCAGTTACTTTCACTAAAAATGTTAAAATTTTATTGATCTGAATGGTTTTGTGTATAGCTTGAACCCATGAAGTTCCTCCTTAAATTTTTGCCGTTTAAAAAAAATAAGTTCTTTTCCAACCGGTCATCCTGATAATTTCTTGTTTTCCATTGAACTGTTTCCAATATTCACTAGAATCTCCACGATTTGAAACTGTCTGACCTCTCTGCGCCCTCTTTTCCCTCGCCGGGTCAGAGAACATGAGAACTGCAGAGACTCCCAGAGAAATGAGACAGTTTCGAGTTTACTGATCATGATATTCTTTGATTAAACTATAACCATCTAACTTTTTCATGATTTTAATCACTTCAACCATACTTTGTATCTCGATCTCTCCAACATCTCAATTCAATTGTTTCGAATATGATGAAAACCTTTTTCGGGCCGATAAATTTTCTCCTGTGAATTTTTCTTGTCCATTTCGTGTGAAAAAATCAGCATTTTGAAGATATTTACATGAAAGAGAAGATGGAAATTATTGCATCGAAGGGTAACAAATAAATTAAAAAAAGTGTAGGAAGAGTAAAATTACCTTTTTAGGGAAAAATTTCAGAAAAAAATCATTTTATCCGTAGAGCATATGATGGAGTAAAATAGCCGAATTTTTTTCGAATTTTACCTTCTATAAAAAAATTTTTTTGAAAAAAATCTTTTTGAGCTTTTTTTGAGACCATTTGTGCTCCATTGAGAAAGATTTTTGAGAAACGGGAAATTTTTGAACCTCCAAAATTGCTCTTGGACCTTTGAAAACCATTTTTGGATAGAATACAAGAAACCATACCCAAAAATTATTGAGTGGCGATTTTTGAACTTCAATTGCGCTCCAAGGCTAAAATTTTTATTTCACTTTCAAGGCCCCTTGACCATATTTTTTCACTCTTCCTACACCAATAAATAACAAAAATAGGGAATAATCAAATAGAATGATGAACGACGGCTTCAAATTGCCGAAGTTCGGTGAGATCCTTCATGGCAACATGCCCGTTCCGATCGGAAATCCATCGGCCATTCATTCCGGGAATTCGAGCCGTCGGCTTTCCCCAGACCATCCCGCGGTTGAGTAGAACCTCATCCACTGGAAATAATTTCATAATTTTGAGAAAATCAGTTTTTTAGCCCCGGAGGTACTTCAGAGCCTCCTGACTTCAGAAAAAGTAAAAATTTATAGTTTTTTTTAACGATTTAAAAAGTTTAAATAGGGCTTTTCTGTCATTATTTCGTATTTTGATTACTTTAAAGCTTTATGAATCGAAAAAAAGTTTTTTTTTTCAATTTTTTTACGAATTTTTATTTTTTGGAATTAGAAGTTCCACCAAGGTTTATAAGCTTTTCTTAGTAAATTAAAAAAAGCTCTATCCAGTAAAAAATGAGTTTCTAGATGAAGCTTTCTTTTTTTAAAGACTAAAAATCAAAAAATGAACGCAGGAATTTGTATAAGACCCTTTTGAAAAGAAAAATGCATCTTGGATGAATTTTTTGAGCTTCTCAAGGAAAAAACTGATGCATTTTCTCAGTTTTTTCAATTTTTTTATCTGGAACTTAAAAAAATCGCTCGGCTTCCTCAAACTATCCCCTGGTTTAGTAGCACCTCATCCATTGGAAATATTCGCGCATTTTTCGGAAAATAAGTTTTTTTGAAGATCAGAACGAATCTGTTCAGTAAAAAAATTATTTTTGAGATGAAGCTGTCTTTTTCTAATGGTGACGAACAGGAAAATAACAATTGAAATGTTCACAATATCCAAAAATGAACTCAGGATCGCGTAGAAGACAGCGCTTCTTAAGAAAAAGTTTACTTTTTGAATAGACTTTTTGGATTTTTTTCGAATTTGGATTCATTTTCAATTCATTTTAGTTCATCATCCAAGAATTTTTTCAGATTTTGAAAATAATACAATTTTGTTCTGTGTCAAGGGTGTCTATCCCTCTTTTGAATTTGAAATTGATTTTTTTGGCTTCTTGAAGAAAAATGGGAAATTACCATCGCTCCACATGGCGTAGATGTGATCAGCCTCCCGGTTCGGATCGTCGTTGATCCTTTCCAAAAGGGCCGAATAGTTTTCCTGCTTGCAACTGCCCGAAGTGTAGGCGCAGAGAAGCTGGAAATATATATGTATATATATTTTATTCGAACAAATCCACAGTTTGTATAGAAACTTTAGTCTCTTTCCTCCTTTCTTCAAATCGCTATATTTTTTTCAAATCAAACATCGAATTTTGTTTTAAAAAAACATCATCCCAATTTTTCCACAAGATTGCTTTCGGCGGGAACTGCGTTCTAAATCCCCCGCGCGTTTTTTTACATTTTTTTGCGGATACGCCCCATTTTGTCACGATCTTGCCACAGGCCTGATAATGTCCGTTATATTTAAGGCGATGCACAGAGACAGGTCTCGAAGAAAATAACACCATACGTCGGCTGGAACCCACCCCAGAGTGCGGCAAAGGCTGGGGTGGGATTGATGTATGAATGGTACTGTAGTTTGTAGGAAAAAAAAAACGTGACACGCTGGCGTAGAATGAGCTATAGTTTATCTGTCAGTTACAGTTTTTCATTGGTATCGGTGGTATAGACAATTTTCCCGACTTGATAAGGGATATGGATAGATCGGCAAGGGTCACGCGTTGCGTACGCGACGCGGCTCTTTCGGCGGGAATCTCGAGGTCGAATATGTAGAAAAAAAATAAGTTTTTTATTATTTTTACGCTTTCATTCGTTCAACATGATTCATTCTGAACCATGAAAAATTAAAAATAATTGAAACACTATCAAAAGAAAATTAGTGCCGCGCGTTTGGCCTCAAGATTCCCGCCATGAAACCGCGACGCGTACGCAACGCGTCACCCTTGCCAATCTCGTTTTTTGAAGTCAAGACTGCTCACCTGATCTTGACAGGTGTACCCCGGGTACAAGCCGTCCAGAGCGTTGCACCAGGCCGGAACCGTCTGGGCCAGTTGACAAACGCATAGACCTCAAATTTGAGTTTTGATTTGTTCAATTTTGAATATTTAGTCCATTGGCTCCGATCTTGGAGCACTCTGACCTGTCTGCGCTCTCTTGTCTACCCATTAACTCAAATGAGCTTTCTGGTGAGAGAAAAAGAGAGCGCAGATAGTCAGATTGGTATTATAAGTTTAGAAGCAATGAATATAGTTTAATCATCTCACCTTGAAACCCTCTGACCTGTTTGCGCTCTCTAGCTTTCCCGTTGACTCTAAAAAGTCCCCTAGTGAGGGAAAAAGAGAGCGCAGACAGGCAGACTAGTCATTCAAGTTGAATCGTCATGAATATGGTTCATTCACCTTGATTCCAAAAGCTTTGACCTGTCTGCGCTCTCTCGCCTTTCCGTTGACTCTAAAGAGCTCGCTGGTGAGAGAAAAAGAGAGCGCAGACAGTCAAATTTATGACATAAGTTCATAAGTTGTGAAGGAATGATTATGGATATAGTTCATATACCTCGACTTGAAATTATTAAACATGTCTGCGCTCTCATGTTCTGTATTTTACTCGTAAGAGCGCTCCAGTGAGGGAAAAAGAGAGCTCAGACAATCAGATTGGTTTCATAAGTTGAGAAGCAAGGATGACAGTCAAAGCCTCATTCGCCACAACTTGTAGCAGTCTGACTTCTCTGCGCTCTCTCTTACTTGCATGCTGCTTTCTGGCTCTTTGCCAGCGAGGGAAAAGAGAGCACAGACAATACAGATTCCTTTTTTCGGCTGAGAAACTATCAAGACTTACCATAATTAGGGCCAGCGATCCCCAAAAAAGTGTCGATTTTTTCGCCCAATGGCGGTCCCAACGTGCAATTTCCATCAGTGCCGATCAAATTTCCGCCCTTGATCACTTTTCTGAAAGTTATTTGAATCATAAACTTGACGGAGAAAAAAACTAAAAGCTTGGCTTTTTTTGAGGTTTGAAAATGCGCTCTAATGCTAATTCGCACTTTTATTGTTAGTTTGGAGCTTTTTTTGAAATTATTAATTTTTTTCAGCTTATTTAAAAAAAAATTCAGAATTTCTCATATCAAATCAGCCCATTTTTCTAGAAACATTAGCTAGGGGGCGCAAAGCCCCGCCCCTTCACGCCACCAAAATGACGATTTTTTTGTTGCAAAAAAACGGTTTTGAGGCGTTTATACTAGCTAAAGTCCCACTTTAAAAAAATGAACTGTTTCTGTTAATCTATGTAATCGACAACGCTCTACAGGACGGAATATTTTTTTAAACTATGTATTTTTTTCAAAAAAATAAGCGAAAAAAAGTAAGATTTAACACGAAAAAAACTGACAAGTTTCACAAAAATCGTCGCGTTTCAGAAAAAGCAAGTGAGGAACGCTTCTAAATTTTAAGTATGTTATACATTAACACTTTCTTTATTTTTTTGAGTGAAAAATAAAAATCTACCGACGCGAAAAATATTAAAGCTTTTTAAAGTGACACCAAACTTTGAAGCTGAAATGCGAAAAAAATTTCAGCGACATGGTATACTTTTTATTTGATTTAAAAACTAACAGTGTGTCCAAAAAAATAAAAAAATTCAAAACGAAAAATAATTATTGGGACAGCGAATCAAATTATATTTGAGTTTTACCAAAACCTCCTTTTTTTCGTCTGCCTCGTTGACGCATGAGAGAATAGGATCGCGTCTATATTTATGATTATGTTATTAAGCGTTCAAAAACTCTATCAATGAAAAAAATTATGAAAAAAATCGATCGACGCGAAAAAAATAACGGCTTTGAAAAACCTCGTAAAAAATGGCAATTTTTTTGAAATTTCGGAAGATTTCGTGCAAGCGTCCGTAGCAGTGTTTGCGTCAAACACACCGATGCGCCCTTTTTAAATGTCGCAGGAGCCGTTTTTTTCGGAGTCAAATTGCACTTTTTTTCCTGTTTTATTTCGAAATAACATTATTTTTTTCATTTTTTTCTTTTTTTCCAAATCGAATGATAATAATTTTTTTCTGCGTAGAAAAAAAGAAAAAAATAAGCTGAAAAAAATTCCTTTGACCTTTTTTTCAAGGTAGTTTTTTTGATATTTTATCAAAAAAATTCTTATGAGGATTGTACAAAAGATTCATACCAAAAACATGAGGCTCAGTTCGGACAACCTCTCAGAACAGAAAAACCGATTTAAAAAAACGGTCCTGAACCGCGTAAAAACATTTAAAAAGAAAGCGTGCGGCAGCGGGTAAACCGTGAGATTTTGCCTCCAGTTGTACGCCGCGCGCGCTCGTTTTTTGGCCATAACTTTTTTCTTAGTGAAGCTTTTTTCAAAAACTAAACGGATTATGAAAATGGACAGTCTCCTCTATCGAACAATGTAAAAAACATATTTTTTGAATCGTTCTGAAGAAATGGCTTGCGGTCCCTAACATTAGCATATAAAAAATTCAAAAATATCGTATTCCAAAAAACTTCACATAAATGCCCAGACTACTGTAAAACCCTCTAATTTTCCTCAGTATTTTTCAAAATCTTTTCAGGAACCTTTTCTTGAAAATTCACTGATTTTTTTTCGAGATTAATTACATTTCCGCGTTTAAAAATCGTTTTGAAACATATTTGATTGAGGTTTTGTAGAACTAACCTCATCAAAGGAACTCCGACCGAGTGGGTGATAACGTCGACTTTTCGGGCGCCCGTGTAGGCGATTACGGCTTCCAGGTACCTGATTTTAACAAGATTTATTTCATTTAAAAAAAGTTTGAAAAAGTATGATGCAAATTTTTCAAAAACCATAGAAGAAGGGTCCTGGCACGAAATCAAAAAGAGATAGTGTTTGTTTGGCGGAGAGCCCAGGCAGGCCACGCCCCCTAGAGTCACAAGCTACTCCTGAAGGGTCCCTATAGGGGTTTGGTCTTCTAGGGACCCCTATAGGGGGCAAAATAGGGCCTCTAGAAAGTTAAAATTTTAGGGGCCGTGAATCAGCTGTAGCCGCACTTAAAAGCTCCAAAGTGGACCCTATAGGGGCAGGTTTAGGGGCCGTTGAAGATTTCTCTTTAGGGGTCGTTTTATCACCCATAAAGGGATCACTAAAGCTTGCAAAAGTGGCCCCTTTAGGGCCGAAAAACTCTTTAGATTAGCCTAAACCCCTATAGGGACCACCTAAGTTTTAACCCTATGAAGGACACTTTTTCGACCCCTCTAGGGACTGTTTTCTCCCCTAACCCCTTAAGAGGCCACTCTGGCGTTACTTAGTAGAACTGTAACCACTACAAAAAACGAAATAGGGGAACTCAAAAATTTTCAAAAGATTTTCAAAAACCTCCTCAAATAGATCAAATTGCCGCAAGTGTGAATCGTTGAATAACTGTCCAAAAGGCTCCCAGTTCCCCAAGAGTCGCCCCAAGTTGTCGCGTAAAGTTCGGCCTCGGTGTAGTTTTGCTCCAGGAAGTATTGGATCGATCTGAAGTCGGACTAGATAGGGATTCAACAGAAATTTTGTCGAAAATTCGGGAAGAGTTACAAGAAAATCACTTTGTTTCTACCAAAAAACGGGCCTTTTTGAAATCCCGTCGATTTTTTGATTTCAGTGAAAAACTAACTTCTTTTTGTGCGCTTTTTCATGTACTTTTCGCAACTTGAAAAATGAAGATATTATGTTCAATAGAGAACACTTTACACGGAAGCTTGATTAAAAAGAAAAATAGGATTGAAAAATAATTGAAAAAAATGCGATACCTAGTTTTTTCAAAGTTCATTTTTTTTTTTCCTTCAGCACAAAGATCCGATTTCTGACCTTCTTATTTGAAACTTTGAAGTCGAAAAATGTTTAATTTGGTTATTTATTGTCCATAGAGCACTTTAGATTAGAAAATTAGGTTTTTTCGATCCAAAAAATCTATTTATTTTTTTTTTTGGTTTTCAAGTTTTTTTTGTTGATATTCTTGTTTTTCTTTTTTTCTTTGCCTTCAAAGATTTGAACAGTAAAAAAAAGCTTTGAAATTTGAAAGATTACCTGCTGAATCCTGTAGCCAAGGGTTGTTGGGTGTATAAAGCGGCATCGCCATTCCCGTGGATGAAAATCACCGGCTCTTTTTCGACCTCAACTTTTTTTCATTAGTCAAAAAATATGTTAGGTCGCTGATTATATAAGGATATTTTGTTCAATCAGAATGTTTGCTTTTTAAATACAAGTTCTAAATAGACGGAATGAATGGAGGGAAATGTAGAAGATACGATTTCGGGACTTTTGGTGATTTAAAATGTTTTTTTTGGTTTGTTAAAAACCTCCCTTGCTAGTTTGCAACTAACGCTGAGTTAATGAGGTTTATTTCAAATTTTTCTTAAAACATGTTTATTCCAAAGTCTTACCTTATCATTGCTTCTCCTTCGGCCTCCAAAACTGCCATTTGGACCGACATCAGGTCGATCAAAAGTGTCTTGTTCGTAACTGAAATCGACGAGAATCTGTTGAATTTCTGAATTCTTTCTACCTTCTTTTCATACTCGAATAAATTTTCTTTTCATTATCAACCAGTTAATTTGATTCATATCTCTATTTTTTTATCACACTAAATTTAGAAAAGATAGACATTTCTTAATCAAATGGAAATAAAACATTGCGTCATTGGGCGAATCGACGTCGGGTTTTTTTTCTTCCGATTTTTCTAGGAATCAGATCTGGCGCAAGCAAAAACTTGATCCGGGTTACGTAATCTGCCGATTTTTTTTATGTTCTTGGATCATTTAGAGATCATTCCGAGTAGATTCTACGATAAATTGAATCTATGAGGAAAACTTTTTTTTTAATTTTCAAAACAAGAAAATGTTTTTTTTAAAGTGTGTTTTCGATAAAATTTCAAGCTAAAGGATTAGTATGAAAATATGAAGAGAAATAAACCCCTATAGGGTTCACTTAAATTATTGATAACTCATTTTAAGATTTTTAGAAGTTTCAAGGTCAAGGATCAGTGCGAAAAGATGGGAAAATCACTCAAGGGGCTACTTAGTTTACAAATAATCTACGTTGGAATGATTTGTAGAATTTTTCAAGGTTAAGGGTAAGTGCGAGGGGAAAAGTAAATCACTTAAGGGGACACTTTAATAAATTATAATTAATTTTGAATTCCATTTCGAAGACATTTCAAACTAGAGGATCCGTTCCAAAAAAATAAGGAAAAAAAAATCACTTTAGGGTTCACTTAATTCATTGATAATTTCCATAAATAGCTATTTTTTTAGTAGCTTCAAGGACCTTTTCGACAAAATCCAGAAAAATTGCTATAGGGACCATTTCTTTTCCGCGTGTAACTCACCCATGGGTAGAGACCGCAGAGCCACGCCCCTTTTTGCGATGGTGAAATGCACTGGTTTTTTAGATTTCGTGTTTGATGTTTTCGTAAAAGCGCAATACTGAATCAAACACAGAGAAATTTGGTGCAAACATAGAGAAAACCTTCCTCTTTAATCTTATATACTTTTCACCGGATTTTCGAAGCGTTTTAGCGGAGTGTCGTACAAAAAAACCAAAACTGCTTTTTTTTCTTCGGGTTTTTAACCTAGTTCCATGTCGTTGGCGCCTTTTTTTTATTTTCGAATTCGATTCTTAAGTGAAAAACAAATCTTGTAAGACAAAAAAATTAAAATTTTTACGGTGCCTAATCTTCGTGAGGCCGCGCAAAGTTGAAAATGTTGTACTCAGTTTCGAGAGCGTGTAAGTAGAAAAATGTTTATTTTAACTTGTGGATTAAATTGTAACTAAAAATTTTATTAATATAAAACTTATTCCGAAAAACTTTGTTTTCTGAGAAAAAAATAGACAGTGAAAATTTCGAAATTTATTTTAACATGGTTAGATGTCGTTGGCGCCTTTTTTTATTTCTCAAATATCAGCGTATCTCAATTTTTCAATCAATTAAAAAAATAAAAATAAAAAAATTTTTAGCGGTGCCTAAAAAGTTTAATTATTGTTAACTTGAAGCCAACGTTAAAAAAATAACAAAAAAACGCCGAAAAAGGGAGGTATTTTTGAACTGAATCTCTATGAATAAATTATTTTTTTAGGTGCTCCGAACACACGTGACTAATAATTGTTCAACTATCATAACTTTTTTTGAAACAAAAGAGACGGTAAATGCTGTACTTTGAGGTGAAGTTGTGTATAGCGCGAACGCCTCCCATCTCCCAGTGATGGACGTGGAGCAGCGCATGTGCGCTTGCATACAGTTTTGATATCGCGAGTTCGATCCTCGCAGCGGCCATTTTTTTTTATTTTTCATGAAAAAATAGCTTTTCTCTTCAAACTTGTGGTTTTATACTGTTTTAGTGACTTATTATGACTTTGAAAAACCCAACTAAACTACTAAAAAAATTTAAATCCGATATGAAAACAAAATGAACGACCAAAAAGTGTAAAAATCTAAACTTTCAGTACTAAATTTCGCGACATTTTTTTCACTTCTTTTTTGACCATAACTTTTTTTTTCTCAACTTTTTTCGAAAAACTAAACTGTTTTGAATAGTAAATTAGAGCAACTATCCAACCATAGTAATATTGAAGTTCGAAAATTTTTTTGAAAATTCGTCTGCGGTCCCTACCCATGGGCAATGAGCCAATCGACAAAATGTGACGTCATCGGGCCGGGCGGTCCCGATTTTTGAGCTCCTCCCAGTTGCCATAGTAAGACGGAGCAAAGTATTGATCTGAAGAAAATGATGGGGTTCCGGGGCCGATTTTCGAAGGTCTAGTGGGAATTTTGTGGGAAGAAATGGGGACGGGAAGGCTTGGAAATGATTTTTAAACGGGAAAATATTTTTTTCAGTGAAATTGGGCGAAAATTTGAGTGATAATAGGTTTTTTAAGGCTGGCTAGATGTTGCAAAAGCTTCAGGGAAGTAAAAAATTTGTTTTAAAAAGGGGTTTTTGATGAATTTTTATAGAAAAATCATAGAAAAATGTTACGGTTCGATATGAGGCATCGACGAGAGAGAGGAGACGCAGAGAGGCTAGATCATTCAAGTTTTCCGCGAGTGTGGTACAGATCAATTCTACAGAGAAAACGAAGGAATCTTTCTTTACTTGTCGATTAATTTTATGTCATACAAGTTAATCAGAAATGATCTAGCCTCTCTGCGTCTCTTCTCTCTCGTCGATGCCTCATATCAAACTGTAAAAAAACCTTATTTTCAATTTTTGAAGGTAAAAATCTTCTCGCCTCTCAAGAATTCCAGAGTGGTCCCTATAGGGGCCGAAAAAGTATGAGGCATCGACGAGAGAGAAGAGACGCAGAGAAGCTGGATCAACTGTGGAGGAAGTGGTATAGATCAATTCTACAGAGAAAACGAAGCAATCTTTCTTTACTTGTCGATTAATTTTATAACATACAAGTTACGCAGAAATGATCTAGCCTCTCTGCGTCTCTTCTCTCTTGTCGATGCCTCTTACCCTTCTTCTATATCTTTTCCATCAGAAAAACCTATTTAAAACATATTTCTAACGTACCTGAAGCTTTGGCAACTTCCAGCCAGCCTTAAAACACCTATTATTACTTAAATTTTTGCCCAATTTCACTAAAAAAAACAAATTTCCCGTGAAAAAATTAATTTAAAGGGACAAAAACCCATAAGAAAACACGAACCTGAGTAAAACCGACGACGACATCCTCAAACGACGGGCGGTCGGACAAAGATGGATCTTTTGGCCCTCGGTCTTCTTGCCTACCAAGGACAATCGGGAAATAATTGGAGGGCCGAGAAGCTGGTTCGACCTGTTTCACAGAGGAAATGTTGCGTCGTCGTTTATGTTGGCGGCAGATTTCGGATTAAGTCGACCGCGCAAAACATCGAGGAGATCGCCAGGTTCCAGGTGTTGATCAAAGGTAGAAGCGTTCCTGAGAGTTTTGATAAGGTTTTTTTAGTATTAAATCAAATTATGTATCTTCAAGAAATTCTGGACAGGAAGCCTTTGGAAGAGTAGGACATGGAAGAGTTGCCATATCGTCCGAAAAGTTACGTAGAAAAGCTTTTTCTTACAAATCCTTTGCAAGGAGTTTAATATTCTTGAAACTCTGAAACTCAAAAATCCGTTTTTTCATATCTTTTCTGACGGATTAGTGCTTTTGAACCTTTTACAACAATTCAAAGAAAGAATCCACCTGCACGGGAGGTCATTTTAGTTTCCGTTTGGAATTTCTCGCAAATTTGACCATAATACTTCATGATGTACCAGGAGAAGATTCTGAACTTCTAAAATTCTAGTTTTCGAGGCATTAGGTCGGAAAGGCCCATATCAGCCTTTTTAACCAATTTCGAATGTTTTCTTTTTCTTGTTTTCTTTCCTAAAAACTAGAAAATGGTGCTAGTTGAGACCTTCAGGATCTTCACCTGGTGCCTCAAGGAATGTTCTGACCATTCTTCAATCATATTCGGCGTTGAACATCAAAATTTTGAAAAATGAGGTGATTGAAGTTATTGAAGCTTTATTTTTGAAGACTAAAATTTTCATTCACTGTAGTTTGAGTTTATCAACCGTGTAGTAGTGACTTTACTTTAGAAATATTCTTGAGGAGATATTGGCAGCCTTGAAAAACGCTCTGCCCAGGAGCAGATTCGGAATAGCCATAAGAGATAGTTTTGTCATTATAGCTGATTCACGGCTTCCTTGAGCCATCGAATAAAGGGTCCTGACACGATAATGGACGAGATAGTGCCTGGCTCGGGGAGAGCGCAGACAGGACACGTCCTCTTAGCGTCGCAAGTGGATCGGCTATAGTTAGTTCAGCACCTTATCTTGACTGAGCTGGAAGGTTTTTGTGGATTTTTCGAAGAAATACTCGAACCAAGGGTCCTGGGACTATTCAAATTGAATATTATTGGCAAAAGATTTTTTTAATTTTTTTCATATAAGGGCATAAAAAAACGGATTTTTTTGACCGTAGAAAACCGTGAAATCATTAGGTTTTTTTATCTTCTTGGCGAGATTGTGATCATCAGTTTGTTAGAAAAAAATTGTAAATTTCCGTCTTGTTTCGAATTTTTTTCGATAGGGATTTTTGTGCTTCAAAAATAACCTTTTACGAATTTTTTTCGGAACTAGTAAAATTTTTTTCATATTAAAAAAAGTTTATTTTAGCTATGAACTCATTTCATTTTTTTCAATTCAGTATCTTAAAAAGTAACATTTTTTAGATCAAAGCTAAGTTTTGAAAAAAATTCGAATTTTATACTTAAAGGCATAGGGGCAGTAAAAAACGGTGTTTCAGTTTAAAGCAGTACTTTGTAGAGTTTTTCACTGCGAATCGAACGGTAAACTTGGAAACGTACAGAAGTTCATAGTTTTGGAGAAAAAATAATTCAAAGTCGGAGAGAGGAAAGTTTGAGTTCCCGCAAAAAGGGCACTTTGCAGTAAAGTTGCTCTATGGACAACAGGCTTTCCCATCTTCCGGATTTTCGCTTTTTCTTCGTTTCTTTCAATTTTCAATTTTTCTGTTGTCACCAAAGTTCTTTTCGTCACAACAGCTTTCTATTCATGTATAATTTGCAAACTTTAATCGCAAAAATGCTTCTTTGGTGAAAAATGATGATTTTACACAGGTTTCGATTGGGATAGCGATTATTTGTGTTTCCTTTATTATCGGTGTGTGTTTTTTGTTTGACTAAACGTTTTTTCAGAAAAGAAACCCTTAATTTGAAGCAGAGAGCCGGTTATTTCTCACAAAATGCGAGTCTAATGAGACGTCCGCAACATCGCGTGCACGGCTACTGTAAACATTTGTCCGTAGGCCGATCCAAAGCTTTTTTCAAAAATAAAGGCGGGAAAGTAAAATCGCGTTTTTCTTCTAAAGTTGTCACACCTTTAATTGTTTTGAGTACACCATTCGATTAGCAAAGAAAAACTATATAAGATACTGCTTTCACATGAAACCCCATTTTTTTACTGCCCCTATGCCTTTAAATGACCTTATTTTTGTTAAGAGGACTGTAGAAAAATCCACATCCAATCAAAAAAAGAAAATATTTTTAAAGTGACCATATTGTTGTCCATTTTGTGTTCAAGAATGAATGAGGCCTGATTATTTACGAACCAAGTGGAGTGAAGGAAATAAAAGAGGCGCCCACACGTGAAAATAACTCCGGTCCGGCGTCATTCATCATTAGTTGTTTTTGAGGCAAAATGGCTTCCTCGACGTTTTATTTTTGATCTTCTGTATCTTTCTTCTTCGGAAAAGAAACCTTTTTTTTTGATTTTTGAAGATCCTCTCGCCTCTTAAGAATTCCAGAGTGGTCCCTATAGGGGCCGAAAAAGTATGAAACATCGACGAGAGAGAAGAGACGCAGAGAGGCTAGATCATTTCAAGCTGTGGAGGATGAGGTGTAGATCATTTCTACAGAGAAAACGAAGGAGTCTTTCTTTACTTATCGATTAATCTTATGTCATACAATTTTAAGCAGAAATAATCTAGCCTCTCTGCGTCTTTTCTCTCTCGTCGATGCCTCATATCCAACTGTAAAAAACCTTATTTTCAATTTTTGAAGGTAAAAATCCTCTCGCCTCTTAAGAATTTCAGAGTGGTCCTTAGGGTTTAGGGGAGAAAACAGTCTCTATAGGGACCGAAAAAGTGGCCCCTATAGGGGTAAAATTAAGGTGGTCCCTATAAAGGTTTAGGGTCCGACCCCTTAGCTCCTAAAACTCAAGTGGACCCTATAGGGCTTTGCGGTAAGGAACTTCCTAAAAATTGGTCAGAACACTCCTCGGTACACCAGATGAAGATCCTGAGAGTCTGAAACTTCAAAACTTTCTAGTTTTCGAGAAAATACACATCAAAGTAAACCCCCCTCCCCCACCCCCAAAAGAAATCCGTGAAAATAGGCCGCTTTGGGGCCTTGAACCCTTATTTCTTCAAAACTAGAAATATCTGCAGTTTGGGAGTCAGCCCTCCTTAAGTGATCACTAGAGAAACACAAGCAATTGTCTTCATTCCCTTGAGTGACCACTTGAAGATGATTTACTGCTACTTTAATGTGAGCCTTGTATGACTCGTGTCAAACTCTTTTCTCTGACTTCTCTGTCTTTAATAGCTTTCTTTTCTGTAAATATTTTCACCTCCGAATTTTGGTACTCAGTTTTCCTTAAGTTATCACTTGAGAAACACGAGTAATCCCTCAAGTGGCTTCATCCTCTTAAGTGATCACTTGACGAGGATTAACCGAATTTCAGAAAATTCCTCTTTTCAAAAAGCTCCCTTCTCAGGAAAATGCTTCACCTCGACTTTTCAAATATTTTCAGGACCCACGTTTTCCTCAATTTCCCGTTTTTCCGCGTCTTCTTTTACGAATTTCCAACACAACAAAGCTTCCACGTCATGCATTTCCTGATTTTTTGAGTCACTTTTTTGCTTCGCAATTCCACGCGATTCAAATCAAATCGCGACAGCTCCAAAAACAAATGAAAAAAAGAACCTTTTTGAATAAATTTCCATCATTATTTACCAAAACTATGACCCGTGCAGCTCTAAAACGGGAAAAGCCCTAACTGGGAAGTTTTGCAGAAGAAACGCCTATAAATTTTCAATTTTCTCGAAAACCATATGACTCGCGCTCCAAGTTGTGCAGATGAAGGCGGCGAAGAAAGGAGGAAAAAAAACTTAACTTTATCTGAGTTTTCCATCTTCGCGCAAGCCTCCGAGTAAAAAAAAAGTGTCACATTTCGGCGCATTTTCCCTTCAATTTATTCGGCCGCGTTTGGTTCTCGAAAAAGTTACGATTGAGAGGCAAAGTAGCCGGATGCCAAAAATGGCTCTTGATTGGACTCGACCGAGGAAAAAAAATTTGTTCATTGGATAGGGAAGATTGGCACGCGTCGAGGGGAAGAAATTGGAAGATATATCCCTTTTTTCTGCCAAACCAAGGTCGTTCTTGTATATAGTCGTGCCGCGGTCGCGTAACCATGGTTTTCCCTTCTTGTTTTTGGCAGCCCATGAAATTGCTTTGCGAATTTCGCTGATTTTTGAGAAAAGGTTACGGTAGCTGAAAATTTGTGCGTTACACCGCGACGCACACTGAGCTTGACGGGTTTTACGTTTTTTTTTTTCGAACTTTACGCTTTTTTTAAGTTATTCAAGTTACTTGTTATCGTGTGTTTCAAATTGCTTTTGGTTTCTATTGGAAGTTGTTTCGTTGAAATTCCTAGAATAATTTCGCCACTTTCGTACAAAGCTTGTCGATTTCAACGAAATATGTTATATTATTGCAAATATAGTTTTTTTTACTTGTGTGAAGTTTTTGAATTTGATTCATGTTTCGGAATTGAAGCTTTTCGTTTTAAAAAGCGACGAAAACTAGCTCAAGCAACTTTTCTTTCAATTCAATGTTTATAATTTTTGTCTTTTAAGTTTTTTTTTTAAATATTTATTGTCTATCATGTAACAAATCTAAAGCTCACTTTTCAATTTCCTCTTTTTTATTTTTCCCTTGATCGAAATTCAAGTTACTTGAAGGGAACGGAAGGAAACTTTTTTCTAATAAAAGCTACTAGCTGAACCTAGGAATTATTGATAACATTTCGATTAATGCCGCTTCGCAAAACTTGGCTTATTAAAAGGGCAATAAGCTCTCGAATTCTCACATTTTCCGTTGAAAATTAGTTTTTTTTTTTCCAATTTTTGTTTGAGCACTAAGTTTGAGCTTTTTATGATCCCATTAAGAGAGTTGCGTTCAGTTTTGAGAGGGCCTCATTAATAATGAACGTTTCCTTTTTCTCGGCTCCCATTTCCATGGAAAGATCTCATTGAGATTTTCTCAAATGAGTTTTTTTTTTCGGAAGGAATTGGCGATGGATGGGAATTTTAGGCCTCTAGGTGGCATTTCTTAGGAATTTTTAGATAGTTCAGAAAAATTGGCTTTTCGGGAAGCTTCCTCCGATGTTATCCTATAAGATTATTGTTACTCAGTTTTGAAGCAATGAAATCAATTGAAGTAATCCTTTTAGGGTCAAAGGATCGAGCTGCCACATATTAATTTCCTCGGAAGGATTATTTGGCTTTATTTTGACCTCACACATAGGCGTCTCCTATTTTTCATTGGATCCCTGTTTCAAAAATGTATAATTATTTATAAAAGTTCAACCGGATCTTCGTTGGGCGTCCCGGTAGTGAAAGTGTTATTACGGCCAACTTTAAAGTGGCTCCTTCAATATTTATTATTACGGATGAAGGGACCCCTCTAGGGAAAGTTAGCTGCTTTTTTAAAAGAAGGAGTAGAGACGCTGCTTAGGAACCCAAGCCTTGAGTGGTTACTTGACGCTTTTAGAGGGAGTTCTGGTCAAAATTATAAAAAATTTGAAGGTCCTTAGGCAGATTACTAAGGTTTGAGGGGTTTTCTTTCACCTTAATTTTACCCCCCTAGTAGAAGCTCTTATTCTCCTACCCCCTAGAGGGACCATTTTGGCGTTATTGACTCCGTAGAGTCTAGAAAATCTTCTGAATTTAGTGAAGAGCTGGAGGAGATTAACAGTAGTGGAAATGGTTCAATATAAAATCCTAGACTTTTCCATGACCTACTTTAAGAAATATTCTGAATTTTGTGACGAGCTGGAGGTGAACCAACTACGATGGTTCCATCCGGTGAGCCCAGGCTCATTCGAAAGATTGAATTTCGGGGCGGCCTGAAGGTCAGGTTGTCCGGCATGAACGAGTTGAGCTTCCTTTTTTTTTGACTGGCTGCCCCCGGACAAATATGGGCAAAGCCCGTGTATATACTCGGTTGTGCGAGTAGAGTGAGTAGAGAGCGTGTCTGGACGTCTGGGCGGCTCCTTTTTGGCGATGGTCCACCTTTGCCTCCACTGCGTCGCTGACCAACAGGCCACCCTCCGCACTTGGAACGCTCCAAAGTGGACTGGACTTGCTCCCATCCAATTATGTTCACGTTTAATGCGTTTTGCTTTCGACTAAGCGGCTGAGAAGCGTTTTTGTTGGGTTTTGACCGTCGTTGCTCTGCTTGAAAAATTTTTTTAATATTGAAATTTTTCGCTTAGAAATTCTTTGAAATCTATTCGATGAGGTTTTTTTTAAGAGCATTTCTGCGTCATTTCTGTGCTATGAAAAGTAAAAAATTGGTTTTAACTTATGACTTTTGGTCGATTTTTTTAAAATTATAGCGGTAAAGGTAATTTTTGAAAGCATTTTGCGCCATTTCTCCGCTTGAAAAAATAGAAAATTGCACTTTTTGCTCTGAAGCTTATGAGTTTTAGTTCAACCTTTGCATTAAGTTCATCTTCGAAAATCTAAAAACTTGTACTTTTGTTCAGTGCAATTTGCTTCCGATGTTTTTGAATTCTTAAAGTTTTTGATCATATTTGTCATTTAGGCGTCTTTTTTCTGATTGAAAATGTACAAAATTGACCTTTTTTTCAAAAAATTTTCGATAAAACTAATTTTCAAGTAAATTTCTGTTGATTTCGATTATTTGGACGGCATTTTCCATCTTTAATTTTCGCAATTTTTGAATCAGGGGAATTTTGAAGACGTCCTAGTCTCGGATTCATTCAAAAAGGCCGAGAAATTTGGTAAATTTTAAGTTTTTGTGAGGCGTTTTGTTGATTTTTAATATGTAGACGTCATGTTTCTGCTTGAAAAGTAGAAAATCGGGCTTTTTTGCTTTAAAGCTTATGGATTATTGTTCAATCTTTGTTCACTCGAGACTTCTATGAAAATTGAATTTTTTTGGGCCATTCAATTGTATTTTCACGGTCAATTATTTTTCTTTTAAGAGTTTGAGTGTGCTATTCAGAAGCTTTTTGTCGTCCCGAATGCCTTTTTAAGAACCCCAGAGTGATGCCTAAAGGGGCAATCTTGAGAGCTCTTTGGAGGCTCCTCTCAATTCCTGAACTTCTGTATGGACCACCTAAGTTTTACCCTTATATGTGAGATTTTTTTGTCTTTTGAAGGGGCTTTTTCTTCCATTAACCCCTATAGGGAGCACTCTGGTGTTCCTAAGAAGAATTGACATCAGAATTTGATAGATCTTTGAGTGTGAGAACATTTTCGTTCAAGCCTTTTAACGGTTATTTTTCTTGAATTTCAGGAAAAAAAGTTTTTGTTTTTACATGGGGGTTTTTGAAAAAAATTGTATAAGATTTATACAGATATTGGACCTTTCGGGAACTTTTAGTGGTCACTTTAGCGTCCTCCCCAAGTAGCCTCTTTAGTGGCCAAAAAATTTTCGCAGTTAAAATTTCAACTTGAGATAATTGAGAGTTTTTTCAATATCCCAGGAGCCTTATGGGGATAAGGAATTTATGCGTTTCTCTCCTTTTTTTCCTCTTTATCAAGGATTTTTCCCGAGCTTTCTTTTATTATCTTTTCGTGTCCTTATTGGAAATTTTCAATCGTTTATTTAAAGTTGAAAAATTGCAGGAGGATGGCCGACGACCCTTCCTCTTCGTCGTCGAGCCCCAATGGTCAGCTTTTGATTTTATCCAAAAGTTATTTATTTATTTGAGAAATAGAAGTTTAATTGGTTTGAACAGTTGCAGGCGAGGGCAAACAAACCAAACGGAAAGATTCGTTCGACGAATTCGAAGAGTCCAACATGGACACCATCGAGTTGGATGGCGATGATCACCCGGAAACAAGGTTTTTTTTTATTAATTTGTATATTTTTGTGTGTTTTTCCATCTGTATTTTCGACGTTTGAAAATCGAGCTATTTTGAAAGAAAATCGATTAAATTCGCTCAAAAAATACTTTCTGACGTATTTGAAGCCGTAATGTCGTGTTTAAAGTGAATTCCGCGAAATTCAAAATTATCTCTGACTCTCACAAGTTTAGTTATCTTTTTTTTTCTCTGATAAAATCCGCGAAATCACCTTGAACAGGGCATAGAAGTCTTGTATCATATGCCGTGTTCAAAGTGAATCCGCGAAATTCAAAATAGCCGTCAGAGAAAGAGAAAGATAACTAAATTTTGGAGGGTCAGAAACCATTTTGCATTTCGCGGAAATTACTTTGAACACGGCAATAATACGGAAAAAGTCGTTTCGCCTGAAGATTATCATGAATTTTTTGAGCGTGCGCCTTTAATATTCGAAATTCAAAAATGCGGTGGTATGAAAAAAAAAACCAGCGAAAATTCAAACGGCGACTTTTCTGATTTTTTCATGTCGCTAGGGAACTTTCCGACTTTTTTTCCCTTATGTTTTTCGGTTTAAAAACATGTAAACATTGTTTTTTCCTATTTCTTTGTGTTTCAATCATAAACCAAGTACCTGCTTTATATAGGAAGATTTAAAACGACGATTTTATCGAGAAAAAAGTCGGAAAAAGATTCGTAGGAAAGTTCCCTAGCGATACAAAAATCGGAAAAGTCGCCGTTTGAATTTTTCGCTATTGTTTTTTTTAATACCACCAACAATGCACCTTTGAAAACCCCAGCAAGTTTTTTTCGAATACAGATTTTTAAATAAACAATTGAAAAATCTAATCTTGAGTTTTTTTGAATTTTTTTATGATCTCGATTTCGCAGGATTTAAGTAGGTTCTTAAAGTTTTCTGAAAAATGTAATCGCATTTCATTGTTGATTTTGTCTGTTTAATCGAAATTAGTATGTTTTAATTTCGAAAAGGTTTGACTTTTGATTTAAAAAAATTAGTGCGAAGTTGCTTTAAAATAGTAGTCAGACAAAAATTTTTCTCAAATTAACATTTTCGAAAGTTTACTAACCTGACGATTGTTTCAAAAGTTTTGGATTTATTTGAAAATAAATATATTCAGATTTTTTTCGAAGATCACTCAGAGTGGAAATTTGTTTTGAGAATTTTGTCACGCAATTTTGTGGAAATTTGAGGGTTTCTATTGTTTTTTGTAGTTCGTAAAGATACAAATTGAATATTTTCGTGCAAAAATGAATTGGGGAAAAATGGGAATTGTTGAGAAGAAGGGAGATATTGGATAATGATTTTTTTAAAGGAAAGAAGAAGCGAAGCAAAACGGACCATCGAAACAGTTGACAGTGAAATTCGACGCCGATGATCCTCCGTCGCAGAAAAAAGAAGTGGAATCTGTTTCAGGTTTTTTTTAATCCCAGAGCTCCTGAAAGGGCCGGATTATCTCTGACCCTCCAAAATTCAATTATCTTTTTTCACTCTCTGACCAATTTTGCGCAATTACCTTGAATAGGGCGTGGCAAATTTTTTTTTATCCCAGAGCTCCTGAAAGACCCGAAAAGTTGACTATGAGTCCGAAGGACTTCAGAATGGTCCATAGAACTGCAAAATTGAAAGTTATTGTAGAAATTTTTAGCAATTATTTGAAGTTTTTCGCCGTTTTCAGTTTCGAATTTGAGTTTTCTCAGAGGGTTAGGGGTTAGAAGGAGCTTTTTGAGCCTTTTCAGGAACATTTGAAAGATCTCTCGCTTTCTTGAAACCCTTGGCAGAAATTTCAAAAAAAAAACTTTTTTTTTTCAGCTGAAGTTTCAGTACACTTCCAAAGGTTTTTCGCCGTTTTCAGTTTCGAATTTGAGTTCTCTCAGAGGGTTAGGGGTTAGAAGGAGCTTTTTGAGCCTTTTCAGGAACATTTGAAAGATCTCTCGCTTTCTTGAAACCATTGGCAGAAATTTCAAATTTGGCCTCTGTTTCTTTGAGCTGAAGTTTCAGTAAACTTCTAAAGGCTTTTCGCCTTTTTTTTTAGCTTCGAATTGAATTTCAGGAAAAAAAATTTGCTCAAAATAAGATTTTTTTTTTCTCTTTAGCGCTCCCCTAAAGGGTTCACAATCCATATAGTGGCCTCTTTTGCAAGCTGTAGCTCCCCCGCCTCTCTAGGAAGAATTAAGGTGGTCCCGAGAGCCTTCAAGTGCCATTAAGACTGCCTCTATAGGGACCACTTCGGATTCCTCAAGTGGAGGAAAATTTCGATTTCTCAATTTTTTTCCTCAGTAGCGCTTCTGAAGTTTTCCGCCTTTTTAGTCTAAATTAGAGTTTTTTCTCAAAAAGGAAAAGTTTAGAAGAAGCTTCTTTGGCCTTTCAAGGAACATTTAAAAAATATTGATTTTTGAAAATTCAAAAAAGACTTGGCTTATAATGACTCAATCGCGCTTTCAGTAGCGCTTCCACTGGCGGTGACTGATCCGTCGGCCCTGCAACAGGAAAGTCCGGTACCCGTGCCGGTGATCGAGTCCCTTCCGCCGCTTCCGGAGGGTAAAGAGCTTGAGATCGAAGTACGTTGCCTTTCCTGCTTCTCGTCGGCACTCACGGTTATTTTGAGGGGAATTTTGAAAAGCTTCTTTGAGAAATACTGGGAAAATTTCTAGTGGCCATTATAGAGGCTCCACAAGAACTACTTGAAGAGGACACTAGAGTGGCCACTAAACCCACCTCTGTAGTGGCCACTTTCCGTTTTAGTGGCCACTTCAGTAGTTTTTCATCCAGTATTCCTTCCAGTAACTCTGATAATTTTAAAACAAACAGATTGGACCAGTTATGTTGATCCATTGACCCCTTAAGTGGCCACTAAAACTTTTAGTGGTCTAGTAGTTGCACTTAGACCTCTATAGTGCCACTAACTTCAAACCCTTAAAGAGGCCACTAATTTAACTACTATAGTGGCCATTAAAACGTCAAAATCCTATAAAAGCCCTAAAGTTTTTCCCAGTGCGACTAATGACAGAAATATGAAAATTTTCAAAATTTGTTATTTTTGAAAGCTTCTCAAACTTCCCTTGAAAGAAAACCTGGTTTTTTTTTACTATCGCTTGTTGTGTAACTGCTACTTTTTCGTGGTCTTCACTTTTTTTGAAAGAAATTTTCGAGAAAAAAACCTTATTTTTTTAAGGAAATTTATTGATTTTTTTGGAATTTTTATGGTCAGGCGGCAGAATCTCTCTGATAATGTCATCATTTTTTTCGAAAGAAAAAAATAATTTAGGAGTTTTTTTTTCTCTTTTTGAGCATATTTACTCATGATTTCGACATGGAAAAAGAATGAATTCGAAAATTTTCAAGTTAAACTCCAAGAAAACAAGATTTTCTGGTTCTTTCGTCATTTGGACTTTGAAAAAATTACATTAGGAAGATTTTTGGCCTCGAATTTTCTGTGAAATATCTGACGCAGAAGGTAATTTGAATTACGGTCCGGATTTTCCTGAAATTTCGCCGGAAAACTTTTCGATGTACTGATTAGAAATGTGAAATAGCAAAGATTTTCAAACTTTTTGGAGTTGTTTTAAAGTTTTTTTGTAAGCTATAGTAGCCTAAATTTGAATGCTTTTTTTGGTTCCTTGTATCACAAATAGCTATAGTTTAACACTTTTTTTGAATTTTGTCAGCCAAAAAAATTGTACTGGTGAAGGTTCTGAAAGCCTGAATTATACATGGGAATCCCCCTCTAAGTTCGAAAAAAAGATTTCTAGCCAAAAAGAATTTTTTTACGACTTTTGCGAACCCCCATTTTCTCGTTTTTTTGCCAAGTCCCTCCCCTTTTTGAGGTCCCACCGAGACTATACCATGTATGGCCTGAACCTGCCCAAATTTCTAGTTCTGGGCCTACTTTACCGGGTTTTTTGGGTTTGAAGTGTCCATTCTCAGAAACTAGGAAGTTTTGCAGGTTCAGGCTTTCAGAATCTTTTTCTGGTACATCAAGGAGTAATCTGGTCAATTTGGAAGAAAATCTGAACCGTAAAGTAAAAAGAAAACCTTTCGGAAAGAAAAAAAGTGAAGACCCATTTTTTTGTTGTTTCTTCTTTCCCCCTGCTTCTGTTCTTTTCTTTTGCACGTGTGTCGTCTCAGCCGATCGGCGCCGACACGACGATGACGTCCTTCTACATCGAATACGACCTGACGCAGCCCGGGACTCCGACGACGCCGAGCCGTCGCGAGAGCATCTCCGGCTCGCTGAACAACGCCTCGCGTCGGGGCAGCCTCGCCTCCTTCACTCGTCCCATGTCTATCCCCTTTAGTGTTCGTTTTTTTGGTTATTTTGTTCGTGTTTTTGGGTATATCCCTTTGCTCTCCAGCTTGTCACGATTTTTTAAATCCTTTTCTTGTACTTCGGTAATATCCGGACGTCTCTGACCCGGGAATGGTCTCTGGTCGCATTGGGACTTCTGAATGAGACCAAGTTTTCTAGATGTAGTTTTTCACGCTGATTCCAAAACTGGTCTCAAAAATTGCCCAATACGTCTGTGAAAAAAGTTATGGACCATTTTGGGTGAACGTATTGGGCAACTTTTGAGACCAGATTTGGAATCAGCGTGAAAAACTACAGAAAACTTGGTCTCATTCAGAAGTCCCACTGCGTCCCGAGACTATTCCCCGGTGAGTCATTCTATGGATCACTGAAGAGTGCTAAAGTTACTAAAGTGATCACTAGAAATGCCCAGATTTCGCGTTGCCAAGGTCCCAGTTCAAGCTACATAACAATCAGTTTTCGATCAACAACAGTTTTCCGAACCAAAAAATTATTCAATTATTTCATGATTCGACAGAGAATCTTCTCTGTCGAATGAATTAATGTATAAATGTGTTAAAAGTAATTTCGGCGGTTTTGAAATCGACCCGTTATTGGATGAAATGATTTAGAGAAATACGCGAAATCGGAGCTCCAGGAGCCGTTAGAAAATCTGGTTTACAGCGAGATAGCGACTTCTTACTTGCGAAAATTCATGTTTTGGAAATACTTGAGGAGAAATTAGACTTTAAAAAAGAATTTTCCTAAAAAAAACCTGTTTTTCGAGTGATTTTAACCCGATTTTTGAAAAAGATAAGGTTTTTTCTTGTTGAATTCTGGAAAAAATGACGAAATTAAGGTTTTTTTTATATCTTTCTTTCCTTGAATTTTTTTCTTTATGCAAAAGTTCTTGTTTGTAATTTTTTTTTCCTTGAGATTTACAGCTTTTTTTTTGGAGATTATCATATAGCCTCTAATTTTATGCGATTAGGAAGGAAGTAAAGAGTTTTTTTTCCACGGGGTTTTTGCAAAAAAAGTGTATGATTTTAAAAAAAGGATAATCTTTTAATTAGATGAACTAATTGAGTGCAATTAACCTGCGTGAGAGCCCATAATTTATTAATTAGTAACTTAGATTCTAATTAATCTATTTGCACTTTATTTCTGTTAATATTTTCACTGCTTTTGAAGCTTTTCTGTCGTGATTTTGGTTTTCCCTGCTTTCAAGCTTTTTTTGCCTTTTTCTCCAGATTTCTGGAAGTTTCCCAATATAATTATAGGAAGAAGTGACGGCGAGTTTGCCAAGGCTTCTGTCCAAGACGACGTTGATCCACAGCAGCGAGGAGGCCCCGGAAGACACGATTCAGAGGCTCGTCAGCGCCGTCAGGGCCAACAACGTCGACAAGACTCATATCGTCGATAATTTGTTTAATTTGGTCAGGGATTTTTTATATTTTTAGCGCGGAAAGAGAGAGAAGCTCAAAAAAAGCCGAAAAATGGCCGCAAAAATGCCGCAAAAAGGAAGCAAAAAGGCAGCAAAAAAGCCGCTAAAAGGCAGCAAAAAGAGTCCCTTTATCGAGCTTTCCATATTTTCTGTGTTTTTAAAGGTTCAAGATATAATGGAAAAAGAAGAGCCAGCAGAAATGGTGCACAAAAGCCGATAAAATGGCGCAAAAAGGCAGCAAAAAAGGAGCCTTTCTCACCCTAAAAGGAACATTTCTATGGAGCCTTTTCCACCCATTTCGACTTTGTCTATGTTCAATTTTATTGTTACAACCAGGGTTCTCCGAATTTTTTTCTTAAGGAGAAATTCCTACGTTTCTGAATTTCTCGATTTCTTGAGATAGAAACCTTGGCTTTCGTGAAGATTTTGAAACGAAAATGAAGGTTTTCAGGTCGAAATTAAGATTTTTCGAGCTGTTTCCCTAAAATTTTTGTAGATATCTCGAAATTTTGAAACGAAACTTCGATTTCAAAAAAGCGAGCCTCGAGAAACACTGGTTGCAACGCGGTCGCGAAGCGGTCGAACTTTGTCACTTTTTTTTGACTCCAAATTTTTTCTCATAGTTTCTATCGCTGAAATATTTGCTTGCGAATCGTTTTCCAATATAGTTCCGATTTTTACGCGTAAGAAGGGAGAAATTTAATATTTTCGCTTTTTTTTGTAGAAAAGCCCAGATCCTGTTCAAATTTGTTCGATTTGGCAAAGAAATTCGCTTTTTTCCTAGCTTAAGAGCCGAATCAATAACTGATATTTTTGATCTGCAAAGGTTTTCGAAGGGTTTATGTTCTTTTTTTTGATGAGAATTATGATTGGAAAATATTCCTTTTTATTCTTTTTTTCTAGTAAACTAAAATCAAAGTTAAATTGAACTTTTTTGTTTTTTCTTATCGTTTTAATGAAACTCAGCTCTCTTTCCAATTTCGTATCGCGCAATTTTTTCGAGAAAGTCATTTTTTTTTCGAATCAAAGAGTGTCTTTCACTTTTTAATAATCATAATGCTACATTGAGAAAAAAAAATCAACATTTCATTTTCCAATTCTCTTTTTTCCAGCTCGTGAGTGGCCAGTTCGATCTTGAAACGAAGTTCGTGATCGAGGATCCTTCGAATATCGACAGATTATTGGCTTTCCTGTCCCATTGCGACTATGATCTTCAGGTTTTTAAGAGAACTTTTTGGCAGGTTTTTCTAATTTTTTCAATTTTCAGACAGAAGTTTGGAGCGTTTTCCTCGCCGTCGTGAAGAAAAGCAACAGGAATGTCGAAGCTTGCACCCGAGTCGGATTGATTTCGAAGTTGGTTGATTTTTCAGATGGAGAAAAAAAAATCGACATTCCGCTGTGCCGCTGCGCGCCTTTGCGAACCTTGGTCGCGCTTTTAATTTTTTTTTTCTTTTTCTAGGGTACTCCACTTTCATGTGCTCCCACAGCAATAACAATCAATTGAAAGCGTGATCTAGATTCGAAAGACGCTTCGCGAACGCACGCAGCGGAACAGCGGAATGTCGTTCCGTGAAATTTCAAGTCGTGGTGCACAGAATATATTTGCTAGTTTCCCGATTTTTCCCGAGTTTTTTCTTCTTTCCAGCTTTTTGTTAGGTGCTCACTTTCTGAAAAGTTTTTCTGTATTCTCAAAATTTGCTTTCTCCCACTGTTTTTGGTGGTTCAAAGCTTGGGACTTCTAAGTCCCGACTCCTTCAATAAAATTTATGGAAGTTCTCATCTTCCCAAATTTTTTTGCTCAATTGCAAAAACTTTTTTTTTTTCGAGTGTCAAGGCTTTATGTTCAGGTTTTTTGTAGCCCCTCCCTAAAATTCATAAATTTCTCTTTTTTTTTCCCGAAAAAAAGTTGCTTCGTTTTAAAAACAGATTTTATATTGAGATTCATGACATGTGAAACTTTAGTTAGTCCCTTGAAACATGGGAAAAATTTTCATTTTTCTGAAAATTTTCGGCTAAAAAAGCTTTTATCTCAAGAATCAAGCTCGGGAAAAGTCGAATGGGTGGATAATGGGCGCTAGAAGGGAGAGGCTCGAAAAAGGCAGCAAAAAGGCCGCAGAAAGGCAGCGAAAAGGCTCCAGAATGGCTGCAAAAAGGCAGCAAACAGGCTGCAGAAAGGCTGCAGAAAAGCAACAAAAAGGGTACCTCTATCAAGCCTTTCATTTTTTCTGGTATTTTAAGGCTCAAGAAATGGTGAAAAAGGGAGATGCAGCAAAAATGGTGCATAAAGGCCGATGAAATGGCGCAAAAAGGTAGCAAAAAGGAACCTTTTTTTCACCTTTTCCCACTTTTCCTATGAGGCTTAGGACACCTCGCGAGCTATTTTTTTAATTTGTGAAAATGGGAAAAAAAAAACTATCCATCTCAATGACTTTACGGGACTTTATTTTATTTTCTTCCCATGATGACGTCACTTCAAAAAATATTTTTCAAAATAATCTATTCTTACAGGGTCCTGGAACTTCTCCAAACTGCGCCGCCACTTTTGGCCGATCTTCTGGTCCAATTATTAGCTGCTCTAGTCGCCTATTCAATCAACGTCAAACAGACGAAACATTTGCTCCGTTCTTTGAAAGCTTCTGATGGCCAATGGGTCAGTGGGAATCATGTAGAAAATAATAGTGATCAAAAAAAGGTTCATAAAATCCGCAATTATCAAAAAAACTGCTATATATATCCTTACCTCAAAAACAGAAAGTAAGTAAAAGGAGCTGGATTTGAAAGAAAATAATTTTTCAACGAGAGTTTTTTTTTCTAAATCAAGGATTGGGCATAAAATAGGAGAAAATCTCAGCAACATGTGTCGTGGGAAAATCGAAGTAGTTTAATGTGATTTTATAGTCGATGTGCCAAGAGTTGAAATTTCATGGAACGACATTCCGTTGTTCTTGTGGTTCTAGTGCGCGCTGTCGCGAAACGCCTTGCCTTTGCGAATTTCGGTCGCCCTTTTCATTTTTTCTAAAATCATTGAATAACGAAGAAAAAGTATAAAAAAGAAATTTCGATAAAGGCTCAATGAAGGAAAAATAACGGAATATAGTGAACAAAACCAAAGACCATCTCATGAAAAACGCATTTTTTCGCTTAAAATTCGAAAAGTACTCAACTTTATTTGTTTTTATTGAAACAGCCTATCTACTAGCAATGATATTAATGAGTTTGGCACGAAGAGAACTATTTAAACATAATTAAAGTAGTGAAAAATTTCAAATAGAAGGAAAAAAATGGAAAGCGCGACCGAAATTCGCAAAGGTAAGGCGCTTTCACGGCCACAAGGCCACCCAGCGGAATGTCGTTCCATGAAATTTCAAGTCGTGGCACATCGATTATATTAACAATAATTTATCAATAAAGTAAAGGGGGCCTAGAAATCTTTTTCGAATCGTCAGCTTTTGATTTTTCAAACAAAGGATTTTTCAACAAGAAAAAAATAGAATTTTTCCGGGAAGATTCAAGGAAACCTTCTTTTTGAAAAAAATTGAAACGATGTTTTTTTGGTGATAGAACTTTTAAAAGTGGAATCTGGTTTTTTTTTTACCCATTTTAGGTTAATTTGCGCTATCATGCCTTGGTTAAAATAATTTCGCGAAAGTCAGAATTGTATCTGAATCTCCAATCTTTAATAATCTTTTCCACTCTCTGACTTTTTTTTTGCGTTTCGTGGAATTACTTTGAACACCAAATAAAAACGCATTGTCTCCCTTTAAAAGTTCAATTTTAAGCCGCCGAATTCGCTCAAGCTTCTTCATGTGCTCAAGGAGATGCCGCCGCGGGACGGCGCCGACGTTTTTTTCACTTTTCCCGGAAAAGAACAATCTGTAATTGATTATCTGATTATCTCTGTTAATTAACTAATCAAGGGTATAATTCTGCCTCCGCTCAAATCGATCCCCCATCAACAGGGCTGGACATTCGCCACTTGGCTTCGGATGGAGCCCCTGAATAGTGTTACTTTCGAAAAAGAGCAACCGGTTTTGTACAGGTTTCTGCTTGATTTCTGCAGAAAAAGACGGGTTTTTCAGCTTCCGAACGAGTAAAGGTATTGGGTATTCGTGCCATTTTACGGGTAACTGCTTGGTTTTGACCGTGGAGAAGGCCAAGGGGAAGGAACAGCAACGGTGTATCAAGGTATCCTTTTCATTTATAAATAGGTTCATCAGTCATAGAAAAAGTCTGAAGGGTCGGAAGAGGCCCCATAGAAATATTACTTTTAGGGCGAGAAAAACTCCTTTTTTGCTGCCTCTTTGCGCCATTTTCTCGGCCATTATGCACCATTTTTGCTGCCTCTCCCTGTTTTCACCATTTCTTGAATCTTAAACATAAAAAAAAGGGAAAGCTCGATAAAGGGCTTTTTTTGCTGCCTTCCTGCGGCCTTTTTCGAACCTCTCCTTTCTAGCGGTCATCATCCACTAATCCGACTTTGCCCGAGATTTTAAAAAAGCATATCAAATGAAAATATGTGGTTCCGTCTTTTTTATGAATTAATTGAATCGACAGAACCAAGAAGAACAATTTTTTTCGCTGCTGGAAAGAAGAATGAGTAGTGTTTTGTCCATAAAAAAGTTTTGAAACCCTTAAACACAAGCAAAGTTCAAACGACCTCAAAAAGGTCTCAAAAATAAGAGCCTTAAAACTTCCGATTCCAGGCTGAACTCGTGGCCCGAAAATGGCATCACATCGCCATCGCGCACTGTTATTCACGCTGGGGACGCAGCGAAATCAAATGCTACATCGATGGACAACTCGCAGAGACTTTTGAGCTCAGCTGGTGTGTTTTTGGAGCTTCTTGAGCTATTGGGAAGTTCGAAATGAGAGAAAAACGGCGTTTGAAACCAATATTGAACGTTTATAGCCCATTACAGGCCTGATTTTCACGATTTTTATTTTCTTATGAGCTACAGAACCCTTCCGGGACGATTCCTTTTGATGCGCGAGGCCTGTCTCTGGGCATGCGCCTTTAATATAACTAAAATTTCAAGATTGTTAAAGGCGCATGCGCAGAGACAGGCCACGCGCATCGAAAGGAAGTCTTCCGGGAGGCTTTGGGAGTTCTAGAGTGGTCCCTATAGGGATTAGGGGAACAAACAGACCCTATAGGGGCCGAAAAAGTGGCCCCTATAGGGACCCTGAATTATTCAGTTATCCTCATAGAGTTATTGACCAGCATGTCCCCTATAGGGGCCACCAACAAAAACTCCTATAGGGACTACTTTTTGCAAATTTAGTGGCCCCTATAGGGATTGGTAAAGGGGTACTTAGAGAAGACGGAAAAAAAACAGTAGAAAAGTTTTTTTTTTTGATTTTGGTGATAGAAAATAGAATGAAATTGGCTCAAATTTTGAATCAATGTGAACGGATTTTTGGGAGTAAAATTTTAAAAAACGATTAAAATTTGGTTCTAGCCGACTTTTTCGGTGGTGAACTCTTCTCTGTTCCCTGAGCTTTGCTTTTGAAAATCTGCTTCAAAAAAAAATCGATAATATAATTCCGTAGGGTCGTCTCCTCAGCAACTCACTGGGACCGATGTTCGATCGGAGTTTCCGCGGATGGAATACCGAACTCGGCGTTTTGCGGCCAAATGGGCGCCATGTACCTGTTCGGCGAGGCTCTGACCCTCCAACAGACCAATTCCTTGTTCTGCCTCGGCCCCGCCTACCAATCCACCTTCAAACACGATTCCGAGACCAGTTTGCCCGAGGGATACAAGAAGGTGCGGTGTTGCTTGAAAAAATGAAAGTTTAAAGGAAATATTCTGCTCTAATCATCCTAAATTTCAAAAAAATTATTCAAAAAGTGCGTATTTTGCAAATGCAAGCTCAACCATTACCAACAGCAAGAAAAATTTTTTTTTATTATTTTTTTATTTCTGCATCTATGAGAAATCAGATTGTCAACTTTTCCAGCCAAATCGATTATTTTTCGGTTTTTCCGTCTTTTTACAAGTTTTTTGTGATAATCTATGAAGCAAAAAGTAAGATTTAGTGCTCAGAAATTCAAAATTCACGAATTTTTTTCAATTTTTTTGAGCTCATAATTTTGATCGAATAAGTTTTTTTAGAAGATGCGAAGACGCCAAAAAAATTATCACATTCTTTACTACAGAATAAAGTAATTTCTAAAATTTTACTCGTGAAAAAAATCAAAAATTTAATTATTTTTTTGAATTTATTCCGAGATTTTATAGGTTGAAAAAAATTTTTTTTTAACTCGAATTTCGGTTTCACTGTATGAGTATATATAGAAAACTGTTCTTGAGAATTTTATTACTTTCGAAAAATCCGTACCAAAAAAGAAAATGTATTTTATTAAGCTTCTAGAAGGTTTTTCGAGCAAGTTTCATGATTATTTTTATTTTTTGATTGATAAGATTTCGTGAAAGTATCATATTTTGAAACTTTGATTTCTTTTTTCTTAAAAGTTTTGTAGATTTCGGCTTTTTTATAATAATTTATTGACAAGTCAGTGTAAACCCTAAAGAGTCCGCTTGAATCTAAAATTTGAGAGGATACACTATTAAAGGCTTTTTTCTAGATCTTCGAAGGGAAATTTGAGAGAGTTTTCAATCTCAAACAAAAATAACCTCCCTTCCCTTCTAGGTGATATTTTGATGATTTCTCAACCTTTCCAGCACCTCTTCGATGGTCATCTCCATTCTTCGTTGGTTTTCGCCTACTGTCCCAAAAATTGTCACGGACAGTTGTGTTTATACACGCCGTCAAAGACTGGAACCAGCTACTTTGTTCAGATTCCTCATGCGGTCATGAAGGAGGTAAATTTTTAAACAAAGTGATGGTTTTATCAATAAAGAAAATGCAAAACGAATTATCGGTCTCATAACGAAGTTTTTAGTCGAGCATTCTTCTTTCAAAGCCTTGAAAAAAACATTTTGTTAGAGGGTTTCTCAAAAAGAGTCCAAAAGACCTTGAAAAAGCCTAGAGCTCCTTTTCGAGTTTCCAAAAAGGAGCCGAAAGTTTCTCGAAATCTTTTTTTTTCCGCCTTCTTTTTTACACCTCCTCGGAAGGTCCTTTTCAGAACAAAGGTCTAAAAAAAAGGCGCCTTTGAGGTTTTTTAAAGGTCTTTTAAATCCTTTTGAGATCTTTTGGACTCAGCATTTCCTTGAATATTCGATTAATTTAATGGGAATCGTCGTTCTGGAGCTTATAATAAATGTTTTGAAAAAAATTTTTCAATTTTTAAAAATTTAGTAGTTATTATTTTTTTGTGGTTTTTCGCTCTTTCAAAAAAACCCATTAGAATGTTTTTACATTTGAAAAAAATAGTTGAAAATATTCAAAAAAATATTCCCTAGTTATCGAACCTAAAGGCAAAGTCGGAAAGGGTGGAAAAAAGCTCCATAGAATTGTTCTTTTTAGGGCGACATAGGGTCGTTTTTGCGCCATTTTATCAGCTTTTATGCACCGTTTTTTCTGCCTTTCCCTTTTTCCACCATTTCTTGAGCCTTCAAAATGCCAGGAAAAATGGAAGGCTCGAAAAAGGGACTCTTTTTGCGGCCTTTTTGGAGCCTTTTTGCTGCCTCTGCCTTTTAGCGGCCATTATCCACCATTCCGGTAGTCCAGAAAAATGTTTCAAACGGATCAGAAAAAGCGAGGAAGCGAAATAAAATCGATCAATATCATCCGTCAAAGTAGCTATAAATAAAATTAAACATTTTGAATTTCAGGGCGTCGAGGTCATCACCACGCATTCCATCCACAAATCACTCCAATCTGTCGGCGGAATCCAAATTTTGCTCCCACTTTTCTCGCAAATCGATTTTCCGTCACCTCATGACAACACCATCGATGTGGATATTTGGTATTAAGGAAAAAAAGATTGATTAAATGATTATTTTTCAGTCAGACACTTTTGTCGCTGATATCCCTCCTTTTGTGCAGCTCACAAACGAGTCAGCAGCAATTATTCCACAGCAAAGGGTTCCTGATCATTTCCCACTCTTTGGAGAAGGTAAAAATGAAGAAAATTGGTCAGAAAAGGACGGAAAAGGGAAAAATTTGGAAGAAAATGGTATTAAATTCGAGAAAATTGATTGAGATTTTCAATTTTATGTAGAATGACGTCATTAGAAAACGCTCGGCTCGCTCTGATTGGTTTGTCGGGTCATTGTCTCTGATTGGTTTGTCGGGTCATTGTGGGCGGAGCTTGAGTGATGAATTTTTAATCTTAAAAAACTGAACAGATTGTATTGTATTGGTTCTTAAAAATAAGAAAAAAAACGAAAATAGACAATTTTTCGTGTTCTATTGAAATTTTTTTGACAGAGAAAAAAATGAAAAATTTGCAAAAAAATGGTTTGGAATGAAGAATGAAACTTAGGCTCTTTACTGCAAGAAACGGGTTTTTTTAACTTTTTTTGATTTTTTTGTCTAATTTTGTTATTTTCGTTGGCCGGTTCAACCAGATACCCTTTTTCAGACGTAATTTGAGATTTTTCCAAAAAAAAATTTCCCTAATTTTCCAGGCCTCCCCAGCGCATTTGTCAATGAACGTCCTGGAACAGCTCATTTCGATCGCCAAATTTTTGCTGAGAATCCCCGCCGGCGGACCTCTCCTCAAGCACCTCTTCGACCACATCCTGTTCAATCCCAAGCTCTGGATCAGGGCCAAACCCGAAGTTCAGGTGAATAGAAAAATTGTCTGAAAAAAGGAGGCTGAGAAGTTGAAAATGAGAGCGTTTTTCACTGAAATTTTGACGGAAAAGCAATTTTAACGATTTTCTTAGGGTTCTTAAGGTCGAACTTAAAGTTGAGTTTAATAGGAAATGATAATTTCTAGAAAATAAGGTTCTGAAGTTGAAAAAAAGAGCGTTTTCCACAAAAATTTTGACGGAAAAGCAATTTTTAACGATTTTTATAGAATTCTCAGGGCCCTACTTGAAGTTGAGTTGAATAGGAAAAACATAATGTTTAAAAACAAGGTTCTGAAGTTGAAAAAAAGAGAATTTTACATTAAAAAATTTTGAAGAAAACCTCAATTTTCACCGATTTTTTTTCAAGGCTGATCAAAGCCGATCATGAAGTTCAGATGAATAAAAAAATAATTTCTGAAAAATCAGGCTGAGAGCAAAAAAAAAAGAATATTTTCCACACAAATTTTAACGGAAAACACAGTTTTTACCATTTTAACCAACGGAAAATGAAATTTTTAAAACCTAAGGCTGTGAATTTCAGAAAAGAGCACAGAAATTTTGACGAAAAATCAGACTTTTCAACGATTTTTTTCAAGTAGATCCGAGCCGAACCTAAAGTTTGGGTGAAAAAGAAAAAAATTATTTCAAAAAAATAAGACTGTTAAATTGAAAAAAAAGAGGATTTTACATATAAATCTTGACGGAAAAACACCATTTTTTTACCAACAGAAAACAAAAATTTTTTTGAATATAAGGCTGTGAATTTGAGAAAAAAAGAAGCACAGAAATTTGACAAAAAAATAAGACTTTTTAACGATGAGCCGAACCTAAAGTTCGGTTGAAAAAGAAAAGAAAAAAATTAAAAAAATAATGCTGTGAAATTGAAAGAAAAAAGCATTTTCCACACGAATTTTCAAGAAAATCCCAACTTTCACCGATTTTTTCAAGGTAGATTAAAGCCGATCACGAAGTTCAGCTGAAGAAACAAATCAATTTGAAATTTTAAGGGTGTGAATTTAAAAAAGGAGCATTTTCCATTCAATTTTCGACGGAAAACACAACTTTTAACGATTTTCTCAGGGTGGATTAGAGCCAAACGGAAGTTTAGGTGAATAGGAAAGAATAATTTCTAGAAAATAAGGTTGTGAAGTTGAAAAAAGGAGCATTTTCCACACAAATTTTGACGGAAAGTAGAATTCTCATCAATTTTCTTGAGGTCCACCTGTACCAGTACCTTTCCACGGACTTCCTGGCCAACAACAACTTCTCGCAAATGATCCGAAGAGTGCCGACTTTGATCGAAATGTGCCACACGTTGAAGCATTTCTACTGGCTGAAATTGCCCTCCACCCCGTCGAATTATACGGTTTTTATTTTTTTTAAAAACATTTTTTTGGTGTTTTTTTGTCCAAAAAAATTTTTTTAGAAAGTATGTTTAGAAGCTTTATCAGACTGAAAAAAGAGTCTGGTTTCTGAAAAAAGTCAGGATTCGCGAAGAAAAAAAAAACAATTTATGTCGGTTCCTCAAAAACATAAATCAGTTTTGTTTCCATAGAACAATTTTTTTGAATTCTAGAGATTTTTTTACGTAAAAGAGTTTTTTTCTGTATATTTAAGACTGTTTAGCGTAAAAAATCTATTAAATTTTTTTGGAGTTGTCGGATTATTTTTTTACTGTTAACCTGGATCGAAAAACCTCTTCTTTTCCTACTTTAAAGATTTTTCATCAAAGAGTCGAAGCAAAAAAATTCGTAAAAAAATAAAAAAACGTGGTTTGAGTCTCTGTATTCATTCTTCAATAGAAATATAATGGAAAAACTAAAAATTTTATAGTTTTTTTAAAAAAGTTTTAGAGACAAAATGCCGTTCCAAGTGCCAGTTAAGGTTAACAGGAGCGTTGGAATTTCGATAATAAGGGATTGTTTTTTTAAAAAAATTGTCTTACGATCTTTTTTTTGGCATGAATAGTTATTTTTTTTATTTCAGTGTTCTCATAACTTTTTGCATGGAATCATTACTGGTTTCTCACTCTTGAAAGTTGCCATTTTCATTAAAAATTTCTTCAGACTCTTAAGAAAACTGTTTTAAAAAAACCTTTAAACTACCTTTATGGGTCGGTTTTTGGTTAACTATGGTTTTTTTAATGGATATGAACGGTTTATGATGATGACGGTGAATGGAATAGTTAATTTTTTCCGATTTTCAGGTAGAAGAAAGACCGGAAAACTTCCCCCAGCAAGATATTGTCTCCATCCGAAGCTCAATTCTGGCCTTTATCAATCGATTAATTGTCCTAAACGGCGATGAAGAAGCCGACGCGACACACGAACAAGAAATTCACAACATGTTGAATCTTCTCGCGACGGTTCATGAGGTTTTCATCGAAAAAAAATCCAGGAGAAATATTAAATATTGAATTTTTCAGGACGATAATCTGTACGATGTCCTGGCGTTGGTGACAAGGCTTCTGGCCGAACATCCGGCCATTTTGATCCCTTGTCTGGATCGAAATAAGGCCCTCGGAATCGTTTTCATGCTGCTCTCGTCGCCCAACGAGTTGATACGGATCCCGGCGTTGAAGATTTTGGGATTCTTCCTGTCCAGATCTACCATAAAGTTTGTTGGGAATGAATAAAGAAGAAAATATATTTTTCAAAATAGGCAAAAAAGAAAAAATTCGATCAGTTTTCTATGAAAATTGCTTCATTTAAAAGTTTTTGAAATCCTAAATTTTGATTTTTAACGGGAAAAAGTATAGCGATATCGCTCGCCTCTCGCGGAGTCTTTAGCAATATCGCTCGCCTCTTACGGCGGCTATAGCGATATCGGTCGCCTCTTACGGCGGCTCTAGCGATATCGCTCCCCTCTCGCGGAGTTTTTAGCGATATCGCTCGCCTCTCGCTGCGGCTATAGCGATGTCGTTTCTCTCTGCGGCTGTAGCGATGTCGCTCGCCTCTCGCTGCGGCTGTAGCGATATCGCTCCCTTCTCGGGGCGGCTATAGCGATGTCGTTTCTCTCTGCGGCTATAGCGATACCGCTCGCCTTTTGCGCTAGCCATAGCGATATCGCTCGCTGCGGGTTTAGCGGTATCGCTCGCATTTTGCGACGACTACAGCGATATCGCTCGCCTCTCGCAGTGGTTATCGCTTCCTAGAAAAAATAATTTCAGAAGAAATTTTTCTCTAGTTTGATCAGTGATTTTCAAATTTAAAATTTATGCAGCGAAATCGAAGCCTCGGCTATATCGCGTGCGGCCCGCGATATAGTCAGTTATGTTGAAAGATCATTTTATCAATTACAGGAGAAAGACCGAATCGATGTGCTCGATGAACCTATTCCCACTGATCGGCGAACGGCTTCTGTCGCATTCGAGAACGCTGTCCGTGGCGACGTACAACGTCCTTCTGGAGATCCTCGTCGAGCAGATGACGACTACTTTCGCCTATGCTGGACATCAGCCAGCTAAACCGCAGTGGAGGTCTTGGTTTCTTCTGTTTTGGAGAGGAAATGGGGATTTTTGTGGAGGAAAGGGGTTTTTAGTGCTTCTACCAATAACTAGGAATCAACTGAATCGATTTTCATAACTTAAAAAAAATTTTAAAACCTTCGTCTTCTTTATCAGTTGAAAAATTAAGAGCAAAGAGTATTTCAAACTTCTGAAAACCTTTTCAAAAGCAAAGTATAGTCATTTTCTTCAAGGTTCGAGAATCCGCAACTGCTGAAAGTCATCGCGAACGTCATATCTCAATGCGACGAAAGCGAGGAGATGATCAGTGTCAGGAAATGTTTCCTGCTGGACATCATCAACATGTGCCGCAACAGCAAGGAGAACAGAAGGTATATTCTATAAGTGCATGCTCGCGTAAAGTCGGAATGGTGGATAATGAGCGCTGAAGGGAGAAGGCTTAAAAAAGGCTGCAGAAAGACTGCAAAAAAGCTGCAGAAAGGCTGCAAAAAGGCAGCAAAAAGGCTGCAGAAAGGCTGCAAAAAGAGTCCCTTTATCGAGCCTCCCATTTTTTCTGGGATTTTAAAGGTTCAAGAAATGGTGGAAAAAGGGAGAGGCTGCAAAAATGGTAAAATGGCCAAAAAAAATGGCGCAAAAAGGCAGCAAAAAGGAACATTTCTATGGTTTATTCCTTCCGACTTTAATTATGTGAATTTATGAATATTTTTTTCTTGAAAATTCGATGATTTTGGCTCCAATTTTTCGATTTTGTAACGTTTCAAAAAGCCTTGTACTTTTGAAAATCGAATTCCTGAATTCTCTAGCTTCTGGAACTTCTTATGAGTGTCCTTTACATTAGAAAAAGTCTAAGCGTTTTTTTAAAAATCCAAATAGAAGGAGTTTTTCATTGAACATTGTAACTTTATCAATCGTACAAAGTTATTATTTGGTTTTAATTCACCTTTTTTTCTGATCACTATTTTATATTTTTCAGAACGATCCTGCAAATGTCGGTCTGGCAAGATTGGCTCATCGGCTTGGCCTATGTCTATCCGGAAAATGAAGCTCAGGTTTTTCTCAATTTTTCTTGAAGTTCAAAGCTCAAATTATTGATTCCAGGCTGAGGTCTCGGAACTCGTCTGGGAGACGTTTTCAATCCTCTTGCACCACGCCTTGAGACACGAATTCGGCGGCTGGAGAGTTTGGGTCGACACTTTGGCCATCGCTCATTCCAAGGTCGTTGTTTTGAATCGAATATTGGAACTTCCTAATTTTCACAAGTAAAAATGTTAGGGAAATGTAAGAAAATTCGAATTTATCAAGAACAAAAAAACAGGAAAAGCGATTGAAATCTTGTAATTTATCATGCAAATTACCAGGTTAGAATACTATAAAATTTGAATATTTCTAGATTATTTTTTTCAGGGAAGCTCCAGTTAAAATGAGTGGATTTTATTCCAGATTATAGAATTGAGATGAGAAGTTGAGCGGAATGAAATGAACCGTGAAAATACCCTTAATTGTTGAACTTTTATGAAAATTACCTTATACAGCTTACATGTTAGTTGATATGAAGGCTCAGAAAAAAAAAACAGCGTTAAATGGAAAAAATTACTTGCGTCACGAAAAAATGTAGAAATAGAAAAAAAGTATCCTTATTCAAAGTAGCATAATGGTTAAAAATTGCTCCAAAACGCAACAACATGGCTTCAAAACAAAGAATTACAACTGTTTCGAAGCAAACTTGAGGTACCGATGAACCCACTTCTGCGCTTTGAAACACTACGATGCGCACGTAATAGCAAACAATGATAGTTTATTCACTGCCATAAAAAAAAACATTAGGTAGTATAGAAAAAGTATAAGTGATCAACATATGACGGGCAGAAGAATAACAATACGCGGGAGTCAACCCCAACGAGTTGACAAGTACCCGGGAGTAAGAAATTTTTTACAGTAGACGAGAAGGGATATTTTCATAAAAAAAGCTTGAAAGATTATTCAATTTGTTCCCGAAGGGTTTCTGAGGTGACGTTAAAAATCTAAATAAAAAAAGTTAGTTTATTCCAAAGAGGAATAGTCCTAGAGAAGTAGTCATTAGAAAACAAATAAGAAATTTTTCGAGCCTGGAAAGTTTTCGTAATTGTCCTACAGTGAGCGCTCCAGGCGCTGAATTTCCCTGTTCAGAATGAAATTTCAAACTCTCAAAATTTCACACTGAAAAAAGGGTTTCACAGATTTTTTCGTCTTTCGAAAAAGTTTTTTTATGCTCTATCGGAAAGAATAAGTTTCTTTTCTCCGATGCACACGTCATCATTTTTTTTCTTTAATATATTTCTACATCTATCATTTTATCTAAATGCTGCTATTTCTATATTGTCTACTTGTGAAGTTTTAGATTTTGACCGCTTTCTTGTTAAATTAATATTTTCGAAACTAGAAATTCAAGAAATATAGAAGAAAGCTCTCAAAAGTTCATAGTTTTCGCACGGCGTTCTTATCAGCGAAAGAAAATGCAGAAAAAAAATACCAGGGGCGGGCGCCGAAAATCGTACGGCAGCAGTAGTTTTGATCTGTTCAGGACCCGTTTTTGGATTACAAGACCCACCCTTTAAAGCTCTCGCAAGATTTACGGAAAGAGTTAATTGAAAAAAGCATATTTTTTGCTTTTTTCTTTATTAATACTACTTTTAACGTTTTTTATATAAGTACAAGTTATTATCCAGTTCCTTTGGCGTAGTTTGAAACCAGTTCCGTGTAAATTAGAGCCAAATTGAATTTGCTGATGCAGTTTGATGATTTTGTTATATGAATCATCTAAATTATATTTTTTTTTTCCAGTTGTTTCATGGTTTTTCGGATTTAAACAAACATTTCGCCATATAAGGTTTTTTTTTCTGAAATTTCTGCTTTCTATCCATTATTTGTTTTTCTGAAGCTAGGTTTTCAAGCTATATAAAATGTTTCTTTTTTTTCATTTACTCCTCGAATTTTCCTTATTTCAATATTTTTTTCGTATTTAAAATTGCCTATTCAATGGAAGCTGATTCATTTTCATAATACTTTTTTTGTTTTTTTATTTTGTAATTAGTAATTTAGAGTTTTCCCCATTCGAAATCGTTCCTAAATGTTTTTTTAACGTAAGTGAATGTTTTTTTCACATCATATTCTTCAAACTGACAAGATTTCGAACATTTCAGAAGTTATTATCCTAAAATTGCAAATTCTAAAATTGAAAAAAACAATTTTGAGTATGCGACAGTGCGTCTCGGTGTGCTTACACCCCAAGCATCATACTTTACGAGAAGTCTTAGCATTGCGTAATAAAAAAACGCCGTGTTCAACCTTTTTTTCAATATTTTTTTAAAAAGGAATTTTTTTGAGAATGAAAATGAAGCTTTCGGCGTCAGTTGCTTTTTTTCTATTTTATAAAGAATTTTTTTCAGGTCAGCTACGAGAAATTCCGACGGAAATTGGCCGAGGCCAAGGAAAATGCGAAAACTGAAGAGTTTGTCGAGTTTTTGGGATATGTGAATTAGTTTTCATCGTTTCAGGAAAGCAAGCGAGCCGACTCCGGTTTATCGAACACCCGATTTTATTTGGTCCGATGTGCATATTCGATTGTTGAATGATTTGCTCGTTGGCATTGAAGGCGTCGTCGAGGAGTGGAAAGCGTGGGTTTTTTTGTGAAAAAAATTGATGAAATTGATATATTTTAACATTATGGAAAGCTTGGAATATGGTCTATTTTTCACGATATTTTTAGTTGCATTTTAAAAATTAATGGGAGAATTTTTTGAAGGTATTTATAAAAAATGATCAGAATTGCTGGATTATTGGGTCGATTAAAAGTTTTTTTCTATACTTTTAAAAATAAAATTTAATTAAATCAAAAGGCGAACTTTTCAATTTTTCTTGCTTGAATGTTACAGAAATTTACGCATTTTCTATTTTTGCTTTTTTATGGTTAAAGAGATTCCGCGAAGTTCAAAATTGCCGTCAGAGAGTGGAAAAGATAACTAAATTTCGGAGAGGCAGAGAAAATTTTGCATTTCCCGAAAGTTTCTTCAAACCCGGGACATTAGAAAAAAATTGTATCTAAAAAAATATCTTACTCTGAAAAAAAAATTTAGAACCAAAAGTTCAATTTTACCATTAGCACTGCGTTACCAAACGGGGTGGGGAGACGTCAAAAAAATTTTGGCGCGAAATTTGTTATCTCAACTACGCAGCCAAATGTGTTCTTCATGCCGTTGAATACTCAGTTTAATTTGCAAATATAGGTAGCTGTGACGTCACAGTCCCTTTATCCGAAGCGCGCACTTACTATTTTTTGTAAATTCAGAAACTTTGACGCCTCGCTTACCTTCCCTCATTAGGTATGCCGTGTTAGGAAGCGCTGAACGATTCATTTTTGAATTTTCTAAACAAAATATGAAAATAAATAGATTTTCTTCAGAGTGGAAGGATCGACCCTTGCTGACCAGTGCAACGTCACTGACAACCAAGTTTTCGTTGGAAACGTGGTCCATGTGTTCTCCCAACTGGCGGATAGTCTCATCATGGCTTGCGGAGGACTTTTGCCCCTTCTCGCCTCGGCTACGTCGCCCAATGTTCGTCGAGTTTCAGAAAACCATTCTGGATTCCTACGTTAACAGCTTTCTGAACATTAGCTTTAACAAAAGTTGTAGGTAGTGCATGGTTAGAATAGATATAGCATGTGTACCACGACTTGGAATTTCACCGGACGACATTCCGCTGTGCCGCTGTGCGCCTTTGCGAACCTTGGTCGCGCTTTTATTTTTTTTTTCTCATTAAGGTACTCTACTTTCATGTGCTCCCACAGCAATAACAATCAATTGAAAGCGTGATCTAGATTCGAAAGACGCTTCGCGAACGCACGCAGCGGAACAGCGGAATGTCGTTCCGTGAAATTTCAAGTCGTGGCACACACACTATAGTGCATGGTTAGCGTAGAGCGCACACAGGCCACACCTCTTTAGGTCCCAAGATATTCGTTCGAAAATTTTGTTCATTTTTTTAAAAGTTGGGAACCTTTAAATTACAGCTCCGATAAATTCCACCATGTTTTTGAAAGTTTTTTGACTTTAAATATGATCGTAGAGATAAAAGGAGAGTATTATTACCTTTCTGGCTTTTTTGGTTTTTTTTTTTTTTTTTTTCAAAACTTTTTACCTGATGTACAGGATGAAGAAGCTGATTTTTCAAATTAGCAAAACAAAATGCTTAAATTTGAGCGGTAAATAAGTTTTACCGAAAGTATAGTCCGTGTGCCACGACTTTGAATTTCACTGAACGACATTCCGCTGTTCCGCTGCGAGCGGTCGCGAAGCGTCTTCGCCTTAAAAAATCTCGGTTGCGCTTCCAATTTTTTTCTTTTATTTCAGTACTTGATTTTTACGTGATCATAGTGGAACAGTCTATCTACCAGCATTGATAACCAAAAAAAAAGCGCAAGAGAAGCTCGCAAAGACAAAAACGATTTGCGACCGCCCGCAGCGGAACAGCGGAATGTCGTTCCGTGAAATTTCAATTCGTGACATACAGACTATAGTGCATGGTTAGGACAGGCCACACCTCTTTAGGTTTGCCATGAATCGACTCTGTCTTCAATGAACCCTACCACTTTGATTCATTCATGATTCTCATCAGAGCGAACTCGAAATAACGGACGCTTGTCAGCAGCAACTTCCGATCCCGGTGGCTGCAGCATTCCTGACCCGATTCGCCAGACTCGTCGATTCCTTCATCTTGGCCAGTGGCGTCTCGTTTTCTGAGCTGGAGCAGGTAAAAAGAAATCGCTACGGTTCTTCTTTTTCGGCCTAGACGGTTGCGACACGTAGGGGATCCAAGTTTAAAATTTGCACAAAAGAATTCAATTTGAGATTTTCCTGAAACTTGGCCAGAAAATTTATTAATGTACATGATGAAGATTCTGAAAATTCAAACCTTTGAAATTTTTTTTAAAAGAAATAATAGCTCAAATGGCTCATTTGTACTCCTTTTTATGGTTTTCATCTCGATTTTAAGAAAAATTGGAAATTTTGGCAGTTTGAGACTCCTGGTACTGGAAAAAATTTTTAGTGGCCACTAAAGAGGCTCGCCAAGGACTACTTGGAGAGGACACTAAAGTGGCCACTAAACCCACCACTATAGTGGCCACTATTTCCCTTTTTAGTGGCCACTATAGAGGTTCTCTATTTAGTGGCCACTTCAGTAGTTTTACATCCAGTATTCCTTCCAGTAACTCTGAAAATTTTAAAACAAACAGATTGGACCAGTTATGTTGATCCATCGATCCCTTAAGTGGCCACTAAACTTTCAGTGGTCTAGTAGTAGCACTTAGACCTCTATAGTGGTTGTTAATTTTTAACCCCATAAGTGGCCAGTAAATTGAATACTATAGTAGCCACTGAAACGTCAAAACCCTATAGTGGCCACTGAAGACTTTTCCAGTACTGGTAAGGTGATTATTATTGGATTGGTGCTAAGGACCGTCCCTTTTCAGCTGAGAAAAATTAATTTTGGAATATTTATGATTTTTTTCCAGGAGAAGAACATGCCTTCTGGAGGCGTCCTCCGACAATCTTTGCGTCTTTCGGCTACTGTAGCTGTCCGACACATTCTAGCCGCCCGGGTCCACTCTCCCCCAGCTCATTCGGCGCCCTTTGATCCCGCCGCCAGCCCGAAAAACCTGTGCATTTTCGAGTTTGTCAAAGGCGCCTTGGAGAATGTTGGTTGATCAATATCGAACTTAATTGGGGATTTTTCAAGAGATCCGCCGAAGGGCTCGAAGATCTAGAGAAACTCGTCCAGGAGATCGACATTCAGAGGATCAAAGGGGTCGTCTATCGGGATATGGTGGTAAGATATTTTGGAGTATAGTCCATTCGCCACGACTTGAACATTTTCGACTGTCTGCGTCTCTTTGCTCCCTCACCACGAGGCCAGATAAACATGGAAATAGCACTTCAACATGAGAGAGTCACCGAGAGACTAAGAGGGCGCAGAGAAGTCTTAACCCCAAAATTCGTGCTAAATATACTCTATGACAGATATTGGAACAAAATCCACAATTTTTGTAAAAATTTTAGCCTCTGTCCTTTTTCTTCAAATCTCTTTTTTTCCGAATCAAAAAGTCGAATTTCAAGTCGTTACTATAATAGTTCATTCACCGCTAGCTTCGAGAAATTCCGTCAATTTTTCAGATCTTGAAGCGTTTTATAGTCAATGTTTCCCGACTTGAAAGGCAAGGGAGGCGGGGCAGGGGGCGGGACGCGTAGCGTGTGCGTTCGCGGTTCTTGGCACGAGTTCAATTTAACCGCTATCTACTCTTTGAAAAGCCCGTTTTTCGCTTTTTTTTTTCATTCCTTTTTCAATTATTTATTGATTATGTTCATGTGTGCGTCAAAAAATAGCAGAAAACATTGAAAAAGAGCGGTTGCCGAGCTTTTTAAATAGTCGGCGACAATTGAATTGAACACGTGCCAAGAACCGCGTACGCACACGCTACGTGTCCCGCCCCTTGCCCCGCCTCCTTCGCCTTTCAAGTCGGGAAACATTGACTATACAAGCCTTTTTAAACTCTAGAGAATTCAAAAAGTTTGAATTTTTTTTTGGAAAAGTTTGGCCCTTTTCGAGCTTCCATTAGCAATAATTTTTCGAGATCTCGGAAAAAAATGTATTGCTTTTTATCGTCTTTTATTACGAGTTATACATTTAGGACACTTGATTTTTGAGAAAATTTTCAAATTTTGAAGTTTTTTATTCATTCTTTTCCACTTTTTCGGCTGGTTTGAGGTACTTAAAATAGAAAAATTGGCTTAGAAATAAATGAACCACTCTTCGATCAGTAACTTTGAAATGGTAAGATGAAAGCTCATGGGCGCATTTGGAATGGCTCGACGCGTAACGGTTGCGAAGCGACTGCGTGGAAAAAGTATTGAAGGAAGCTTTTTGCAATCGCGTTGCTCTGAGTCATTCCACGTGCGATCGTGGTGTCGTATATCGAGCGAAAGACTTGAAATCTGAAAAATTTCAATTAGAGATCCTGAAGTTCTTACAACACCGAATCGTGAAACATCCTGAAAAAATGTTTTCCCATTTTTATACTTTCACAGTCTCCAAAGTATAAAGACGCTACAGGGATTCCTGTAAGATTGATAAATTTGCAGGAAGAAAACCGACAAGCGCAGTTCCTGGCCTTGTCAGTCATCTACTTGGTCTCCGTTTTGATGGTCTCGAGGTACCGGGACATTCTGGAACCTCCCTCGTCGCCCTCGCCGTTCTTCAACTCGACTTCGGTGAACGAAGAAGGATCGCCGGCCGTGACCAATGGAGGAACCGTCGAAAAGACCCAAGAAGCCAATGGGGAAGCCGTCAAGGAAGTCGAAGAGGAGAGAGGCGAAGAAGAAGAGGAAGGAGGCGGAATCTCGGCGATCAAGGTGGCCGCGGCTGAGATCAAGCGCGATGGGAATGAGTACAAGGTGAGGAAAATCGATAAATTTTGTACAGGATTTGTATTTTTTAAGCTATACATATGCGTGTAAAGATCTCAGATAGTCTAAATGGATTAGAAATGTCAGAGTGGCCCCTAGAGGGGCAACCTGTTAAGCACTCGAAGGTCACTATCTAGGGACCATCTTACCTCTCCTATAGTAGACATTGAGGGTTGCAAAAAAGGCCCATTTAGGGTTTTTAGTTAGTGGCCCCTCTAGGAAACATGCTGGCCTCTATTGTGAGGAGCCCAATGAGAAAAATCATGCGAAAAAGCGTTATTCGAATCAAAAGTATCAGAAGAGAATTTTTCGAAAAGATTTTATTAAGTATGTCTTTTCAACTTTCAAATAATATCAAAATATTAAAGACCCCTATAGGGACCACTTAAGCTTCAGGGGATTGAAGTTCAGACCGTTTTTTAATTTTAAAATCGGAACGAAAAAGTCAAAAGACCCCTATAGGGGGCACTTTAGCTTAAGGAGCCTGAAGGTCAGACCTTTAAAATTGGAACGAAAAATCAAAAGATCCCTATAGGGACCACTTAAGCATTGAGGGCTGATAAGTTGAACACTAAACCTCTATAGGGAACACTTAAATTCTACCACTATGGGAGCAATTTTTCCCCCTCTATACGGTCTGTTTTTTCTCTTTTTAACCCCTTAAGGGACCTCCTAAACGTTACCCCTCTAGGGACCACTTTGTTGTCCCGGACGTACCTTCAAGAATTTCTCAAAACCTCCTTTAAGAAAATGAAAGCAAGATCGGAATTTTCCAGGAAGACGAGCTATCGAAATTGGGCCAAACCAACGGACGAAGGGCTTCTACGGCCAGCAACGCTCCTCAGCAAACCGAAGAACGACGCTCTTACCTCACGACGAAGCTTCAAACTGCCCTGGAAACCTGCGCGCCGCTTCTCCGAGAAATGATGACCGATTTCCGGAGTTTCCTCCAGAAGACGTTGGTCGGCACCCACGGCCAGGAGATCATGAACGACACGAAAGGTCGAGATCTTCTCCAGAATCAGGAATTTTCAATAGGAAGAATCTTCTCCACGGGTAAAGTCGAAACGGCCTCCAGAGCTTTTTTCTTAAAAAATTGTCAAAAGTTTCCCTGAATCTCCTGTTTTTTCACCTTCATTCTGTCTTCTTCTTTTTTTCTCCTCGGAACGTCCGCCGTAGAAAAAGGTCAAGCATAAAAAAAGAAGAGCCAAGGCATTTTTTCTAAAAATTTTTCATTAGGTCTTTCTGAACTTTGCCCGTGTCAAATGAGTTGAAACAAATGTATGAAAATAGCGTTCTATGACTTCTACAACAAAAAAGTCTTTTCGACGGTTTCTCTGCCTTTAAAATATAATAAAACCACGGAAAAAGGCGATCTAAGGTGTTTGGAGGGGTTTTGAACGACTTTTTTAAAAAACAGTTTCTCGCCATCAACGGAGAAAAGTTATGGAAATTTCAACATGATTTCGAAACCTGTTAAGCTTGAAGGTTGAAGAAATTTGTGTAGACTATAATCAAGGTCCAGAAAAAAGTCAAAACTTTGAAAACGCTTAAGAATTTACAAGTTGAGCATTTGAGTACTGGTTTTCAAGTGGCCTCCTTATAGGAATTTTTTGGGTTGAACATTGAGAATTTTTTTCCTAGTTGTATCAGGCTGTGCGGCTAGGAACGGGTCGGTCCTTATAATTCTGAAAGAAAATGTCTAATTTAGTTCTGGAGACGTTGCGGAACAAGAACGCCTCGGTAATCGAGCTGGTGATGCTCCTTTGCTCACAAGAATGGCAAACTTCTCTGCAAAAGCACGCCGGTTTGGCCTTTATCGAACTGGTCAATGAAGGTTCGACTTGAAGACTTCAGATTCATCATTAAAAAATGTTTGAAGGTCGATTGATGGCCCACGCGACACGGGACCACGTCTTGCGGGTTTCCAACGAAGCTGACTTTATTCTGAATCGACTCCGGGCTGAAGACGTCAGCAAACATGCGCAGTTTGAGGTATCACTCTCGTTGTTTAAGGGGACAAACACATTAAAATCTGTTCAAATCAGAAAAAAAAAATCTTTCAAAAATTTGAACGGCTCAGGCTGCTTCAATAGAGTTACGCCTTGGTCGCACTGAGAATGGCTAAAAGCTTTCTGAAATGCTTTTTCATCTCTCGCGCGGAAGCTGTTTTCGGTCGGTCAAGCGATATTCTTGGAAACACCCCGGACATTTCTGAATTACTCTAGTGATCACTCAAGAGCGCTAAACTAAAGTGGTCACTTTAAGAGTTATTTACTAAAATGGTCACTTAAGAGTGATTCACTAAAGTGGTCACCTAAAAGCGATTCACTAAAGTGGTCACTTAAAAGTGATTCACTAAAGGGGTCACTTAAGAGTGATTCACTAAAGCGGTCACTAAAATGGCCCAGTAAAGGGCCGAGTTTGCGTTACCAAGGCCCCAGCTGTCGTGGCGAAATTTGTGTTCTTTTCCAGAGCGAAACTCGAGATCAGCTGATTGGCCGATTCGATGAACAAAATCGGTGTGACCTTCTGATTGTCAGTGGAAGACGTCGTGATACACTAATGGCGGTGAAACTTCTCGAAAAGATGGTCGCCATTTTGACAGAGCCCACGGATGAAGAATCGTTTGGAGATGGAGATCTTCAAAAAACTTTCAGAATTTTTCAGAGAAGCCGCCTTCTGGAAGCTCGACGTCTGGGAGGACGACAGCAGAAGGAGGAAAAGATTCGTCCCGAACCCTTCTGGATCCAGACACGAAGAAGCGAGGCAGAAGGGCGCCGTCAAGCCGTCCGAGGAGCAGGACCAGAAAAATGAGGAAGCCCGGCTGAGAAGAGTTTTCGACGGGTTGGTGGAAGAACTTGAAAAATGGTCGATTTTTGGGGTTTTACGCTATATTTTTGTAAAGAAAAACAATAAATTGTTTTTCTTTTTTCGATAGTTTTCGAAAAATGCGAGTATAGTTATGAAGAGGAGTTGTTTAGTTGATAAATGAGCGATTTTTGAGCCGATTTTGGAAGAAAATTCTCTAAAAAACATCGGAATCCATAACTCTGTTATCATGGTTTACAGCGTGGTTTTGAAAAATCAAACTATATATTTTTAGCTTAGATATTTCGAGCTGTAAGCCGAAAGTATTCAAAAAACTGATTCCGTAGGTTATTTTGTGAATTTTTAGCCTTTTTTGAGAGGATGGACGCCTTGAAATTTTAATTTTTGGGACGTTTTATAGGTATTTTTGTTGATTTTTGAATTTTACCGACCTGCTTAAAATTTTCAGATTTTCAAGTTCTCTAACTCAATCTAGAGAGATCCGGTAGAGATGTGATTCAGAAGAAAAAATTGATTTGCAAAAAGAAGATTTTTTTAGTGTTACACCCGGACGACTTGCTGCCCAATCTCATGAACTGGTCGATGAATCGGATATCGATAAATGGGCGGCTGAAGTTGATCCAACGCCTTCAAGTCGTAAGTTTGTAGAATCCTTGAAAAGCAACAGAAAAATGAAGCTTTGAAAGACAAATCGGAAGTTATAATCCATTTGTCAAGATTTATAACGTCGTGGTCCACAAAACCGCTTTTCTGAATTGCATCTGACTTGAAACTGTTTGCGCGTTAAGACGTCGAAAGCATTAAAATAGCTTTTTCTAATAGGGACGCTCTGAGCCATTCCAAGTGCGGTCACGATTTTATTTTTTTTGAAAAGTTTCATGTTTAAATCGTCCTTCTCGACTTTTTGCTGCGACCAAAAAAAGGGGGTGATTATAAAGGGAACACCAGATTTTGAGAAAAAAGGAAGCTTTTGAAGTCAAAAATCGAAAGTTATACTTCATTTTCCAAGATTTATAACGCCGTGGACGCAAGTAGAAAGCGGCTCTTTTTTTCCATGCATCGGACTTAAAACGACTTTCGCGCTGAAACATTGAAAAACATTGAAATGGCTTTGTCCTAACAGGGACGCTCTGGGCCATTCCAAGTGCGGTCACGTTTTTTTTTTTTGAAAACTTCCATGTTCTTTTCGACTTTTTGCTGCTACCGAAAAAAAAAGACGGGTGATTATTTACGATCCCATAAAGTGCGCCATAGTGAATCGGAAAAAAGACGTGTAAATTTCCAAAAAACGCCTTGGAAAGATTGTATCTTGTATGGGTCGTTCGCCTTCTGAAACTGCTGCTGGGACACTTCATTTTAATGACCCGCCGAACACATTTGAAACAAGTCGTCACACTTAAGGGACCACTTTAGCGAGGAAAATGGGGTTTTTGGGATAGCATCTGAAAAGGAACTCAGGAGTTTTTTTCTTGCTCGAAAAAATTAGTCTGAAACTTTCTTCGCTGGAGCTGGGTGGCTTCGTAAACGGCCGTTTTGTTGATTTTTTCGGAGAATTTTCCCTCAAGTGGTCACTTCCAAAAACAGCCGGCCGCTACACTTTAATATTTCTTACCTAGAAGGACAGATGGAGAACGAAAAGTCATACGGTGAGAATTTAGAGATGTCATTTTAGTGATTGCTCCAGAAGATCACTTTGAAATTTCCGAAAATGAGCTTTCGATCTCAAAAAATGGTCTCAGAGGATTTCCCTAAAGTTACCACTTCTCAACCGTTGTTGCACCACTTTAGTGGTCCCTACCAAAAGGGCCAGACTTGGACCAAGTCTTGTCGTCAAAGTCGTCAGAAAGACTGGAATTATTGACCGTGTGATGTATCTTTCTAGAAGTTTCCACTCTAGTGATCATTTCTAAAAGTTCTTCACCACTTTAGTGACCCCCCTACCAAAAAGGCCGGACTTGAAACATTTCGTCAGAATGGCTGAATGGATCCGAAAATGGCCACTGAGTTGAATTTTTCAAGGCGGGTCCCTGAAGTGACCACTCCCAGAATAGCTTTTTCAGGCTGTTTTTAACAAGTTATCATTATGACGGTGTGATGTATCTACATTTTCCCTCTAGTGATATTTTCCAAACATTCTGCACCCCTTTAATGACCCCTACCAAAAGGGTCAGACTTGAAACAAGTCGTCAGACTGGCTGGACGGATCGACGGTGTGAACTTATGATGGTCCCATCTGGCGTGCGCGATATCCGATATTGCCGTCACCATTTTTCGATGGACCCATGGCTGGCGCCCCGCCAATTTTGGAAATGCGATAATTGCCGTGTACGTCACACTTATATGACCGTTGACTATTACGGCCTTTTAAGGATTTCCAACAATATTAATTGATTTTTCGAACCAAGCGATGAAAAGTGCGAACCAATGATAATTTTTCAAAAGAATTTTTTCGGAGGGTTTTAAACCACGTCCTTCGGCGTAACTTCTGTAATTTCGAGCGTAAAAAATTCTCAGAGAGAACAAATTAATAAATCAAAAATCAAAGAAGATTCGAACTTTTCCGCTCTATCGCTAATTTTAGAAAAAGGCTTCTTGGAAGGTCCATTTGCAGGATTACAGAGAAAGATAAATGATAAAGTCTTAGAGCTTTTGCGCTCTATCGCTAGTTTGAAAAAAAGCTTCTTGATTGAGGTCCATTCACACGATAACAAAAAAATATGAATTATCAAAGCTTTTGCGCTCTATCGCTAATTTTGACAAGCGGCTTTTTTCTGGTTATTTTTTCCCGCTTATTGCGGGAGATATATAAAATCGACTGGGATGAGCTCGTGAGGAGTTTTTTTTTCATCAAGAGCTTAAAATTTCTAATTTTATGGACCTCAAGTTCCGAGGGGCCAAGTAGAGATAAGCTCCAAAAAAAATAGTTGAATTTTCAAGCCCACCTTCAGATTTTAATGGATTCAGTGTGGTTCAAAACTCACGAAAACCGCCTGACGATTGCAATAAATTTTCCTAATTTTGATCCTCGATCCAACTTTTTCAAGCCTGAGCTTTACCTGAAGCATTGTTTTTTATCAGCCAAGATAAGAAAAGCCGTTGGCGCCTGCGGAATGTCCATACAAACAGCTGTTCGAACAATAAATCAGCCCCTGGATCACTCAGCGTTTCTTTCCAAACGCAACACAAAGCCCCTCATCGAGAAAATGAACGATTCTTTTTTGGCCCTCAACAAAAAGTTTCCCTTTTCCTTCTTCTCCTTGAGCTTTTCGAAGGAGAATGCAATGGATTAGCGACGCTAATGCTCCCTGGAACGGCCCGAAAAATGCAGGAAAGGCCCAGGAGAAATAATAACGATGAGCGATTTTTCATCCGCCTGGCAAAAAAAATGGTTCACCTGCGTGTTCATTTTTTCCCATTTTTCAAGGTAGATTCAAAGAAAAAAAGCTCTTTTGCTCGATTATTGAGGCCAACAGCTGCGCTTCTTCTTTTCTTTGGTGAAATGGAGATGAAGCTCAAAAATGGGCTTTCTTTTTTGGTTTCCAAGTGGATAGAAATGTAAAGGAAGGGAAAAATTGGTTTTTGAAATTGAAGTTGGGAAACTGGAGGGGGATTTTTCACTTTCACCTTCAAAAAGTTGATTGAAAAATTTGAAAAAAACATTTTTTTCATTTTTTTATTTTACCTTGAAAAAGCAGCTTTTCTCATGATAATCGAATTTTTTTTCCTTCAGCAAAAATTGAAGAAAAAGAGAGGGGATCGTTATTAGAGAGTAAAATTAATTTTTTTCCATTTTCAAAATTTTTCCTTTCCACTGTTTCAAAAATTGAGTCAGATTGGTGGAAAATTCATTTTATACGAGATTTTTGAACTTGGGAGGTTAGTTAGAAGGTAAGCAATGAAAATTGATAATTTTGTTGCGCCGGACCCAAAACGACTTGCGCGCAGCTCCATAGAAAGTTATTGGAAAAGGCGGCGCAAACCTTACTTGCGACTACGGCGAATTTAAACAAAAAATCATTCAAACATATATAAAACCATAGATCGAATTTCCTATGAGATGAAGCTGAACTTTCTTTTTCACAGAAAACGCTTGTTTTTCAACTTTGGCCAAGCTGATCGCGCCTGGAGTCGTGGTCCCTGGAACCTTGTCCATCACGGCCACCGATCTATTTTTCGATGCCGATGAGGATCATCCGCTCTACAAGAAACAGAGCCAACAGGTATCAAAAAAAAGTTTATAAATTAAAAAAATATCACAATGATTTGGAAGGTCGTCTGGATTTGGCGGTTTACACGTATTGGGTTGAAATGGAGAAAAATTGATGATAGGATGATTTGAAAATGAAACGGCGAGATTGTGCGCTCTGTTAAGAAAATTTGAAACTTAAAAAAAATTATTTCAAATCAATTTTGAAAAAAAATTCATGTGGGAAAAGATGTATTGAAGGTTGAATTTCGAGGGACAATTTGGGAAAAAAGAGCCGCTGAAAATTATAATCGTCAAAGAAGTTGCGCTCTATTGAGAAAACTTCGGATTCTTGAAGAATTTTCTGAAAATTAACTTCAAAAAAATTTGAAAAATAAGCCTGGAAAGAAAAATTTTTTCCCCCGAAGCTTGCTCTTCATATTGGGAAATTATACGACATTTCACGGACTTTTTCCATACAGTAAGCATTTTTTCAATAATTAGAAGGAGTCACAAAGACTGAAGAGCCAATGGGTCGAGCATAAGCTTCCGGACGAGCGCCCAAGTAAGTTGGGCCGAGTGTTCGATGGCATGAGGCGGCTTGGACCGGAGAAGGTCGAGAGATGGCAGGAAATAGTGGGCACAGCGGCGGCATTGTAGACAACTGACCAGTTGGAGAAGGATTCCTGGAATTTTTTGGGTTTTGGAGAGTTTTCAGGCTTGAAATGGAGGTTTCAATATTAAACTTGTCAGGATTCCTGGAATTTTTCGGGTTTTGGAGAGATTTTAGGCTTGAAAGGGGGCTTTCAATATTAAACTTGAACAGGATCTCTGGCTTTTTTGGATTTTGGAGAGATTTGAGGCTTGAAAAGGAGGTTTTCTTGTTAAACTTGAACAGGATCCCTGGATTTTTTCGGGTTTTGGAGAAATTTTAAGCTTGAAAAGGAGGTTTTAACATTAAACTTGGGACAGCTTTCTGGGATTTTTCGGGTTTTTTGAGAGATTTTAGGCTTGAAAAGGAGGTTTCTAATATTAAACATGAACAGGACCCCTGGAATTTTTTTGGGTTTTGGAGAGATTTTAGGCTTGAAAGTTTGATTAGGATGAAGAGGAGAAGCTTGACAATGGGATTTTAAAGGTCCTTTTTAGACGGATACACTTTAATCTTTTTTTCCGGTCAGAAAGGATTAATAGAACAACTTTTTTGAAGCATATCACTACGAAAAAAAAGTGAAAAATCGGGCAAGAGAATTTTTTTTCAAGCTCCAGATCATTTTGCAAGATTTTCTAAGGGTTTTGGAAGCTTCAGAGGAAGTTTTGAAGGATTTTGAGCTTTTCAGGGAAAAAAAAGTTGGCTTCAATTGAGAATTTCATCACTATGACACCGGCGAAAGTTGAAAAATTGAAGAAAAAGGAAACTTAAGACAAAAATTAGAAGAAAAGAACAAGATTTAGCGTTCGTAGTAAGGAAATACAATTTTTTTCAGTTATTTCCATTTTTCTAGTCGTTTTTTGAGGATCTATAATACAATAGCTTGCTTAGAAGCTCAAGAAAAAAGGAAAATGTTCTCTAGTTTGACGCCGTTTTCCATAAATAATTGATTAATTAATTTGCCCATCGCCTTGACGAAAACCCTCATTTTTCGTCGTTTCCCCCAACAGAAAAAAGGAAAATGAAAGGTTTTTTCGGACACTCGCAAAGATACTGTCTAATCGTGTTAGCGTCACCTGGGGCCATTGGGCATTTCGAATCGTTTCTCGCACCCTTTTCCAACTTATTCGATTTTTTTTTTCATTTGGCCTCGATTTGGAAGTCTTGAAAGGAGACTTTCTTGCCCCAAAAGTCGCTAAATTTTAGTAAGCCTCATGAAAGAACACACAATCTTTCATCATTTGGATTTTTCAAAATTCGATTATAAAAAGAAAAATTTCTCAAAAATATTGCTTCTACACTCAAAAGTGAAAAAAATTTCAGATGAAAAAAATAATTTTTTTCGAGCATCCTTCACTAGAAATCTTTTTTTCACCCCCGGTTGAAATTTTGATGAAACTTTGCTGAAAGGTACTCTAGAACGTCCTGATTGCAGAAAAAGATGAAAATTTCAATAGATCTCCTTTTTGAAGTGAAAGCTTGAAATAAATGAACGAATGAAAAAGGAATTGCTCAAAATTTCGGCCAAACATAGAGCCTTCCGGTCAATGTGATTTAGAATGCAACAAGAAGCCGCGGCTTGTCGCAAGCAATAAATTCCGACACACGCCACCCCACCGGTTGACAGCTTCTCATCATTTTTGCTCATGGAATGTCTCTCGTTTGACGAAAGGGAAGCCTAGTGATGAGTGGATCGAAAGGTGTATTGATTGGAGGTGCGAAAGGTGGGCATCGAGAGGGAGTTGAAGGAAAAGCTGGGAGAAATAATCATTGATTGGTTGATTTTTTGAGGAGACAAAAAAAGCTTTGAAACAGACAAAAAGCTCCGAGAGAGGCATAATATGAAGCGAAAATCAACGAAGATCAACCCAAAAAATAAAATCAACAAACATTTTTTAAGGTGAAAGATTGGGGAAGGGGTTCAAAAGTAGTAGAAAGAATCGATGAATGGTTCTTTTTCCTTTGAAAGACAAAAATGCTTAAAACAGACAAAAAGCTCCGAGAGAGGCATAATATTCAAAGTCAACAAAAAAATTAACTGCAAGAAAAAAATTAATAAAAAAATTAAAGGAGGATATTAGAAAAGTGTCCTTGGACTCGGGCCTCTGTAACACAAACCGAACGTTTTTAGCTTTTCTGTGATTCCTAGAGATCACTTGAGGGTTCGGATTTCGATAATTACGAAAGTGCTTTCGAACTTTTATTCAGTTTTAGAGAATTTTTTCCAAAAAGGTTTCAAAAAAATTGTGAAGGTCCAGAAAAAATTATCAATGACAGTGTTTCTTTAAACTAAATTTAAATGTTACAAAAAGAAATAAAAATCCGAGAAAGTCGTAATATTCAGCAAAAATCAATAAAGATTGACGCAATAATTAACCCAAAAAATTTTAAAAAAATTAAAAAATAATGGAAGAGATGGGACGTTCGTGGACCTCGGTAAAGCAAACCGGACATTTTTGATAAGTTCTAGGGATCACTTGAGGGTTCTGATGCCGCTGAAGTGTCCCCTAGAATGCTCAGAAAAGGCCGGGGTGTGTCCGATTTGCGTTACCAAGACCTGAGTTGAGTTTTGAAACTTTTGAAACTTTTATTCAGAATGTTTCTTTATAGAAAAAAGTTGAAAAAAATTTCGAATGTTGAAAAAAAATAATCGAGAGCAGTATTTCATGAAATATAATTTCAAAGGCTACAAGAACAAAAAATCGGAAAAAGTCATAATATTTAGCGAAAACCAATAAATATTAACAGAAAATGCAACTAATATACATTAACTAACCAATCATTCGATCCCCGATAGCGTTATCGTCCCACTCATAATCGGCACAGTGTTTCTCGCACTCATACAGTACCAAAGTCTTCAGAATATAATTTGTGACAGGAGTCCCGGCGAAATCGAGATGGGTGTCCCGTAGGCATTTGAGTATGCTCAGCGTTTTCCGACGACCCCCGACTGAAAAAAAAAATGGTTGATAGCAAGTTTAGAATCACATCTTATGCCGGAGAGACCAAGAAAACGCTCATAAAGCTTTGAGAATTTTTTAATCGATTCTTTAGGGCCATATTGAAGAATTTCTAGCTTTCAATGGATGAAAAAAGCTAGTCGTAAGTGAAGAAACTCACTGAGAAGGACGTTCTCGGCGCTGGCCAAGTTCATCGCCCAGGCGTCGGCTTCCATGGTATTGGCTTGCTTGTTGCTGTTGGGCTGAGTGATGGCCGTTTCCCTGCTCGTCAGGTCGAATCCTTCTGTTTTGACCTGACCAGCAAGTTCAGCCGGAGGCCAGGGTGGGCCGGCAAGAGGCCAGTGGCTTGCAGAACGAGGCCAGATCCCGTTGCAACGGAAAGCTGTCGTGATTTGAACCGTATATTTGTCATCTACACGTAGTCGGACGTCACTGTTGTCATTGATCATCGTGCAGTAGTCACTGAAGGGATTTCGATGTGATTTAGAAGTTCTTCTTTTTGGTGGTGACTCTTATTGTGAGAATGGAACTTAACCGGATCCTCTTGATGAGGAAAAGAAGAAGTTTAGAAGTTTACTAGGCGTTCTTAAGCTTCAAAATAAGTATACACAGTCGTTAAACTAACTATTCCAGTATGAGACGCTCATTGGAGGTTTCAGATTGCCCTTAATTATTTCAACCGGAAGATTCAGAAGTTCTAAGCCTTGAGAAGATGTTTGGGAGTACTTTTTTCTCGTTATGAAACAGAAAAATAAGTTGAAAAAGCCTACCGAAACGGGGCTTTTTCGACGACTTGAGCGACAATAGATTGAAAACGATTTCGAATTTTCCTCGCCGATAAATAGCCACTGGCGGTGATGAACTCAACCCAAAGGGACATTGACCTTTTCCGACCATCACTGAGTTTGAGTACGGCGCAGCCCTGGAAATATTAAAAATTTACAAAGTTAAAAAATCGAGGTTTAGAAAATTTTTCTAATCAATAGTTTTAATAGCTCAGAGCGTCAAAGTTGGCTTCCAAACATTAAAAAAATCCTTTTGGTCTCACCTGGATTGAACCGTCATCGACAAAGTTGAAAACTCCCATTTGATTCAAGTACATGATGATCTCGAACTCGTGTGGGGAATGAACGACAAACTGAAAAATTCCTCTGTTCCAGACTTTCAAAAGTTGGCGTTCATGATTATACTATGAAGTTTCTAGTGGAGTTAGAACTATGTGCAGCGGAAAATATAATATATAGAAAAAACGGACTCCTTCAAAACGTCCAGCATTCTCAATAGTAGTCGAAATGAATCGAGGCTCCTGGGCCTCGACCTCCTTGAGCACGTCCTGAACAACTTTGACGACCCGGTAGACGACCTTGCTGACGCGATTTTTGCGCAGCTGGACCTTCTCGTTGTAGTAGTTGTTCACCTCGTAGACGGTGTTGGGGTTGTGGCCGAGCATGTTGGGGAACAACAACGGCAAGCAGTAAATATTGGTCAACTACCTGGAATATTTTTCAATCGAGAAAATTATAAAATTTACAAACAGCTAAGCAACAAATGAGATGAATGGGAATTTTCGACTAGAAGTTGAACGAAAAAAAAATTCAAACTACTTGAAAATTGGGTCTTTAAATCAAAATTTATGTGAAAACACTACACAGACGAAAATAAAATTGAAATACAAAGGTAAATTCGAAAAAAGGAGAGCAAAAGGCAACCCTGCGGCAAGGTTTGCGGAAAAGGGGCGGAGTCAATGATGCGGCCAGCTGCCGAGTCAAGAAACTGGGCGTGGCTAGCGGGAATGGAGTAGTTTTTTAATCTAGCTTTATTGATTTTTTTGAAAGGTGACTTCGAATTTAATGATTAGTTTAGTGGGAGCAATATTTTAGTCCCGATTTTTCAACTTCATTTTGAGAATTTACCCGTGACGTTAAAGCATTCTTTACATATTCAGAGGAAGTAAGAACATCATAAATTATCAAAATAGCTTCATCCTTCAAATGAATCCAATACAAAGAAAAATGCAAAAGATCAATTTTTTAAAGCTTGATTATTTCCCGCTGAAGTTACAGCCGTTACCTATCCATAAAAAGTTGCAATATCATAACCTCCAAAAAGAGCTCCAAGCTTCAAATAAATCCAAGAAAAAAGGAGCATAAGTGTGACCGATGGTCGATGTCATGAGAGTGACTTATCGCTGACGGCGAGGTCCTCCCCTCCCGACGACAAATGAGCGGCGGACAATTAGCGCTTCCGGAGGCCCCAATCGTCCGGCCATCTTGCCGTCGTTGCGCAAGCGGCCAAGTTTGGATTACGTGAGCCAAGGAAGGGCCATCCGGTCAGGTCCGGTTCGTCACGGACATCCCAAGGTCATCAACCGACTCATCACTGCTCACGCAACTCCGACCTCATTATCACTGGGTTTTATCTTCCCGCCTCTCTTGGGTTTGTTGTTGGTGATCAACTGAGTAGAGGAGGTGGTTTTGGATTAGTCCACAAAAGGAGTTTTGAATTTATCAATGGATAGTTACAAGTTATTTGAGATTTGAATCATAGAAAGGTCGGATGAAGAGTCTTTGGGGCGGTTGTCAGAGGTGTTTCTGGATTGATTATGAAGGAATAGTTTTGTTCGAAGAGGTTAGGATATCTGGGAAGTTCACCGACATTATTATCACTGGGTTTACTCTCCCCGACTCTCTTGGGTTTATTGTCGGAACTGAGGTTAATTAAGATGATTTTAGATCGGTCCACGTAAGAAGTTTTGATTGTATCAATTAATGATCACAACTGATTTAAATTTTTCTGTAGTTTAAAGTCATGTAAAGGTCTGAAGTTTTTGGCGATTGACAGAGGTGGTTCTAGATTGGTTCTGAAGTGGGAGGCGATTTTGGATTGATTTAAAAACTTAATCGTTAATTTTTCCTTGGTTTTGGATTGATTTAAAAACTTAATCGTTAATTTTTAATGATCAGAATCGATTTTGAAAGGAGAAAGGATCGTTTCAAAGATTCTGAATGAAAATAAAGCCGGTAAGGATCATATAAGAAAATTTTATTAAGCCAAAGGTCCTCATTATCAAATCAATGTTGCCTGGTAGCTTCTCACCTTGAAACTATAACATGCAATAAAAAAATTCCAAATCGAAATAAAAAGATCTTTCGAAAGCCCATAAAAAGCCTCATCGAAAAGTCGTGAAGCCATTGAAATCTGTCACTCGCGCGTTTCACATATAATGTACGCACCTGAAGAGCGCAAAAATAATGGAATGGGTTGATTGTCGAAAGTGCATGCGATGTGACACTTGGGCGGCCATGCCAACTGTCGTCGCTTCATTTTCTTCTTCTCCTTCTTCTTCTTTGAAGGCGGTTTAATGTCCTCCTTGGGCCGACAAATGCAAAGAACAATGAATTATGGGATCCTTTTCCGTGGTGCTTACCTGCCGGAACTGCTCCCCCTGAAATGTATTTATGGATGTTGGTTTTTTGAGTTGGGAAAGATTTGAGTGGCTTTAGAACAGTTAGAAGCGTTTGATGAGGATCACTTATAATATTATGAGGATACTGAGGATACATGGGCAGACCATTTTTAAGGCATCCCTCCTTCAAAGTTTTTCTAAATTAAAGTTAATAATAACTGCAAAAAAATTGTCTTACTAGGGAATGGTCTCCATTCGCAATGGGACTTCTGAATGAGGTTCACTCAATGTAGCTTTTTACGCTGATTCCAAATCTGGCCTCAAAAACTGCCCTCGAGGCCTGTGAAAAAAGTGAGGGGCTCTCAAAGTCGAAAACTTCGATGTCTCCGATAGCTCTTTTTTGGAGGGTCCCTATCCCCGGTTTTTCACAGGCCTTAAGGACAGTTTTTAAGACCAGATTTGGAATCAACGTGAAAAATTACATCTAGTTAGCCTAGTCTCTCATTCCCTAGTTAGTGTGGTCAAAACTAGCTCCCTGAAGTTGAAACTTGATTTTATTCCTAATTTTACAAAATTTTCGTTAGCCAACCGATCCTCCAAGGCTGAATGAGTTCTGTACTTGCCCATATTTGATAATGGGAAAAGTTTGGGCCTTGAAAATGTGGGTGGTTCAAAATGGTAACATTGACTTTTTTTGAAAATGGCTCGGCTTCTTCTGGAGCCAATTTTGCTTTAGAGCTTGCTGAGAGGGTTGGAATGAGTAGATAAAAAAAAATTAAGAAAGAGGGGAATAAAGTTTGAACCGATTGTATCGTAAAAAGCGGATTATTTTTGACGAGGGACGATTTTCAGAATAGAAAGAAGGTCCAGAAAAAGTTGTGATTATAAGAAAATATCGTTGTAAAAATGAAAAAAAGCTAGAAACTTGGGAAAAAAAGTTGGTTTTATGATCTCCGAAAGTAATCAATTGTTCAGATGATAAATTTGATAATTTTTTTAATTTTTTTATATAATTTTTCAAAACACTAATTGATAATTAGCTTCAATTTGAGAGGATGAATTCCGGGTAAAAAAATTCTCATTTAGATACTGTACCAAGCTAGAGATTAATACATTAAGTTTTGCAGTTTTTTTTAAATGTCATCTAGTAATTTTTCAAACTTTTTCCGTCTTCCAGGTCCTGCGCTACTGTGAATCCCTACACGCGCGATGGAACTTGCTGGAAATCAGGGCGATTTTCCTGCGACGGTACCTTCTCCAAAACGTCGCCATCGAAATGTTCTTAGCTTCGAGAAGTGGGAAGACAACCAGAATCAAGATAAAAACGATAATTTTCAGCCGCCGTGATGTTGGCGTTCTCCGATGAAGAAACGGTGAAGAAAGTCGTTTATCAGTTGCCGCGAGTCGGCGTCGGCGTCAAGTACGGCCTGCCGCAGAGCAGAAAAACGAGCTTGATGACTCCCAGGCAGCTCTTCAGGCACTCGGATATGTGCATCAAGTGGCAAAAGGTTCCGGAGATGATAATAAAGATAAAAATTACGATTTCACCTGTATTTTTCTAGTGATTTCGCGATTATTTTGAGGAAAATTAGCCAAAATTTAACAAAAGTTTCCTATGATTCTCAAAGAAAAGTCGTACAATTTTTAAAAAAATGTTTTTCTTCTTTGATTTTGATGACACTCAACGTGGTAGTCCATCATCAGAAACGCGGACAAAAATTATTCACCCATTTCTTCTTAATGTAGCCAGGTTACGGTAGGCAGGTTGGCACCTGCGTATCTGAGAAACGATAAGTTTTCTCGTGGCCTGACCTCGCGGAAGAATTTTAAAGGACAACGTTCAGAAAATCTTGAAAAATCGTACTCAGAAGATCAACTACAAAATTTACAGCGTGAAATATCCAACTTTGACTACCTGATGTTCCTGAACACCGTGGCTGGACGAACTTTCAACGATTTGAGTCAATATCCCGTTTTCCCCTGGATCCTGACCAACTACACGTCGGACACGTTGGATTTGAACGTGGCCTCGAACTTCCGCGACCTTTCAAAGGTAGAAATTCAGTGGAATAAGTTGAATATGCCGCTTTCGGACCTCAGTAACGCGAATCGGGCGCCGCCGGAAGTTTTTTTAACGTTTCTAGGGATCATTTAAGGGATCTGAAGCCGCTCTCGGACCTCAGTAACGCAAATTGGACGCGCCCCGGAAGTTTCTGAGCATTTCTAGGGATCACTTAAGAGATCTGACGCCGTTCTCTGAATTCAGTAACGCGATTCGGGCGCCGCCGAAAGTTTTTTAACGTTTCTAGGGTTCACTTAAGGGATATGACGCCGCTCTCGAACCTCAGTAACTCAAACCTGACGATTTTGAACATTTCTAAAGTTCACTTAAGAGATCTTGGATCTGAAGTTGCTTAAGTGTTCACTAGAGATGCTCAGGGACGGCCGGGTTCTGAGATTATAGCTTTGAACTTAAAAACGAAACCTGAGATTCTGTCTCTTAATTTCATTATTTGCTATGGAGCGCATCTTCTCCTAAGAACGAGCCGATGAAATCTCGATTTTTAAGATTAGAAAAATTATCCTTTTTTGCTGGCTTTAAGGCCGATTTTTCACATTTTCGGGCCCTCATTTGGTTTATAAGCCTTTAATTCTCTGATTTTTTGACCCCCAAAAATAAGATTCAAAATTTTCCAGCCAATCGGAGCTTTATCGGAGTCGCGTCGGAAATTCTTCAACGAACGGTATACTTCTTGGTCGGATGACTCGATTCCGGCCTTCCACTACGGAACTCACTACTCGACGCCCGCCTTCACGCTCAACTGGCTCATGAGAATCGTTTGATTCGACCGTTTTATTGGAAAAAATTTGGGTTTTCAGGAGCCCTTCGCGTCGATGTACATCAGTCTGAACGATGGGAAATTCGACCATCCTGATCGAATTTTCAACAGCGTCAAGGAGACCTGGGAGCACTGTCAGAGGGATTCTCATGATGTCAAGGTGCTTAGGGATCAGATTTTCAGAAACTCTGAAGAAAAAAAAAGTCGATAAACAGATTATAAAGTCCAAATTGCGATTTTCATTAAGTTTTCAGTTCAAACTCTTCATGCTTAAGAAAAAAAGGCACAGAAAAGAGAGATCTCTGGTTTTTTTGGCCTCTTATAAAGCTATACCCCCCTTCCCCCCACCTTAGAAGGCTCAGGAAGATTTTTTTTTGCATCAAGAGCTATTTTCCATAGATTCAAGTTGTTTGAGTAGGTCGAGAAATCCTGAAAATGAGTTTCCAAGGCAATTTTTTGAACTCAACAATTTTTAGTGACCACAAAACTATGTAGTTTAATCGGAAACGGAAGCTCCGGAAGGTCAAAAAAGGCATCAACTTCAAAAATTTAGTTTTTTTCGGTACAGGACTTTGTAGGGTCAAAAGCTTCAAAAGTAGCCAATTTTCGAGCTTCTGAAAGTTGACGAAAGCAATTTTTATGTTGGAGTTACTTCAGCAATGTGACGAAGTATGTGGGGTATTTTTTTAAAAAAAATGCACTTCAAAAATTATTTTCAATCCTAACGTCTCCAGGAACTGATCCCCGAGCTGTACTACCTGCCGGAGGTGTTCCGCAACTCCAACTCCTTCGAGCTGGGCACTAGAGACGACGGCCAGAAGGTCGAAGACGTACAGCTCCCGCCCTGGGCTCAGTCTCCGGAACACTTCGTTCTGATGCATAGGCAGGCCCTCGAGAGCGACCTCGTCAGCTGCCAGCTCAACCAGTGGATCGACCTCATCTTCGGCTACAAACAGCGGGGAGCTGAAGCGGTGAGGATGATCATGAAAGTATGGACTTGAGGGGTCTAACAACATAAGCATTTTCGAAAGAGCGTCGGATCCAGAGGTGTCCATTAATTGTTCCTAAACGGTTCCCATTTTACTGCCTTTTTCCGCCCTTTCATCGGCCTTTTTCCAGCCTTTTTCGACCCTTTTGAGATACACAAAATTTTTAAATGGAGAAGTGACTGTGTAGGAACTAAAATGTGCTACAGTAATTGAATCGGAAATTATCAATGGCCGAAACTTTCAGCACGAAACCCTTTTAGCGGCCATTTTGCAGTCACTCCCTTTTTGCACCCGTTTTACGCACTTAGCAGTGAACGTTTTTCGCATGAACATGTTTCTTTACATAGAAATCTTAAAAAATAATCGACCAGCATGTCCCCTATAGGGATCACTTTCGCAAGTTTTAGTGGCCCTTAGAAGGGACTTTCCATGGACCTCTAAGATTGCCCCTATAGGGATCACTCTGTAGTTCCGAACTAGTTTGATAAATTTTGATGAATTTTTCTAGTATATTGACTTCATTGAAAGTTTCATTACCCACTACTGCTCATATTAATAAAAATGTTCCAGGTTCGAGCCACGAACGTCTTCTACCACCTGACGTACGAAGGCGCGATAGACCTGAAGACGATTGACAACCCGGCGCAAGTTGAAGCCGTCGAACAGCAGATCAGCTCGTTCGGACAGACTCCGGCTCAATTGCTCACCGAGGCTCACCCCCCGAGGCATTCCGTCATGAGCATGGTATGTAAATTTGTCGAATTGGAAAAACTATAGTCTGTGTGCCACGACTTGAAATTTCACCGAACGACATTCCGCGGTTCCGCTGCGTGCGGTCGCGAAGCGTCTTTCGAATCTAGGTCGCGTTTTCAGTTGATTTTTGCTGCTGTGGGAGCACAGGAAAGTAGAGTACCTTAATAAAAGAAAAACAAAATTAAAAGAGCGACCAAGGTTCGCAGCGGCACAGCGGAATGTCGTTCCGTGAAATTCCTAGTCGTGGTACACAGGCTATACGTGTTCTAATTTCTTTCTATCACGCTCTATCATGAGTAGGAATCTCGCTATGTAGCAGCTTTCTCTAGAAATTCTCAAAATACTTAGAGGTTTGATTTCTCAGGCTCCGACAATGTTCCGCCGGCTTGAGGACGACCTTTGCATGATCATGAAGTACATTTCGAACAGCGCCGTCGTTTCCCTCGCCGCCAACACCTTCCATCAGCTGCCCAATCCGACGGTCGTTTCTGTCGCCAACAACTTGGTCTTCTCCCTCAACAAGTGGGACAACTCTTACACTTGTGAGTTTCGGGATCGTGGAATGTTTCAGGATGATTTCAAGAGTTTTTATGGGATTTTTGTAAAGAACTGAAGCTTTTAAGTTTTCTGCAATGTATCAAACAGCATATTCAAAAAGTGTGGTTACTTCGATTTTTCTTCAGAAAAGGACGATCAGAACGATTTCTGGGATTTTTGAAGCAGAGTTTTGAAACAAGTCAAATTTCCTGGAACAGGCGTTTTCAAATTCGTAAAAACCCATTTTGACCGTTTTTATGGGATTTTTCGGGTCTATCTCGCCGCTGGGGCAGATTTCACACTGAAAACTAGAAAAACGCAAAATTGAAATTCTGGCCGTCGGTAGAAAAGTTGGGTTTTACAACGAAATTTTTCGCGCGAAACTTGAATTTTTAACTTATTTGGGTATTTTCAACAAGAATTTTGAATTTATAACCTTATCGCTGTATATTGTTGTAAGGCTTGGCTCCCGAATTTCCAATTTAGCGTATTTCACGAAATCATTTTGAAAAAATAACGAGTCAGTTTTGAAATCGCCGACTTGCTTTGTACAGGGCATGGTTTTGGAGAAATTGATGAAATTTTCAAGTCATTTAAGCACAATTTTTGACTATATAAAGTAAATGGTCATTTTCCAGACGGCGGAACCCAACGTAGCGCCTTGAATCTTGATGCTGGTAGTCCGGAAACTCAGCCGGTATGTTTCGGGAACAATTTTCGAACAAAATGTTTCAAAATGTTAGGTACAACTCCCCCTGACGGCAGACCCACAGTTGGCCACGGCCAGTTCTGCTCAGCCGATCCCCAAAAGACATCTCGGCGATTCCTTCGATCAACGATTGGCTATCACTTGCAGCAACTTCGTCACGACTACTGATAGCAGGTATTCAATGAGAAGACTTGAAATGATAGTTGTAGGCAAAATTGAGTCTAAAGAAACACAAGTAATGCTCATTTTGAGAGCAAAAAATCGTGTGTGGACTCAAAGAAGGTTAAAAATTATAGAGGCAACAAAAATTGACTGATGAAAACAACCCGAGAAGACACCATGAAGGAATATTTTTCTAGCTTTCTAGGATAATTTTTAGAAAAACTTGAAGGTCCTGGCTTCTTCAGAAAAAAAAAAGAATTTTTCAGTATGTTGAATTTTCTGTCAGTCATGGGAACATGAATAATTGAGATGAATCGCCTTGAGATTTTTGCTCCTTCAGAAGTTTGAGAGAAAAAAAAACGTTACAATAAGTGAACATCAATTATTAACCAGCCTAGCGTAGCTTTCGGGTGCTACGACAAGCACGATTTTCCTATTCCGAAGATCACTGTACGTTAAAATCCGCATTTTGCGTGTGCACTTTGCGTGTTTGCACAAATCCGTGTTTTCCATTTCCGAATTTTTTTTCCATTTTTTCTCTATACTCATTTTTCGGAAAAGGAAAACTTGTCTTGTCGTAGAACCGGTTTTAAATCTTGTTTTGAAAAAGGCCTTATGCGAAAAAAAATTTCAGATTCATCTTCGCCTGCGGTTATCCCGACTACAGTTTCCGAGTAATCGACACGGATACTGGTAGGAATTTTCGCGTTTTTTCATCTTTTAACTGAATTTTTTACAGGCAAAGTTCGACAAGCCGTTTACGGCCATGGCGACGTCGTCACCTGCATAGCTCGATCTGAAACGAGCCTGTTCAGCGACTGCTACGTCGCCACGGGAAGCATGGACTGTACCGTCGTCTTGTGGCATTGGAATGGGCAGGTGAATGACGCGAAACGAACGAAACGAATAAGACTTACGCGCGTAAAAGTCACCGTAAAAACACTCGTACTTAAAATTTATCGTAAAAATTCTCGCGCGTAAAAGTTACCGTATAGACAATCGAGCGTAAGTCACCGTAAAAATACTCGCGCGTAAAAGTTATCAAAAACACTCGCGCCTAAGTTACCTGAATGATTTTCGCGTGTAAAAGTTACCGTATAGACAATCGAGCGTAAGTTACCATAATAATGCTCGCGCGTAGAAGTCACGGTAAAACGCTTGCGCGTAAAAGTTATCGTAAAGAAACTCAAGCGTAAAAGTCACCTTAAAATACTCGCGCGTAAAAGTTACCGTAAAAACATTCGTGCGTGAAAGTTACCGTATAAATACTCGCGCGTAAAAGTTACCAAAAAGAAACTCGCGCGTAAAAGTTACCTAAAAGAAACTCGCGCATAAAAGTTACCGTAAAAACATTCGTGCGTAAAAGTTACCGTATAAATACTCGCGCGTAAAAGTTACCAAAAAGAAACTCGCGCGTAAAAGTTACCGTAAAGAAATTCGCGCGTAAAAGTCACCTTTAAAACATTCGCGCGTAAGTGTCACCGTAAGAATGCGAAAATGCGATATAAGTTAGGACCAGATTTTCCATTAATAACTAATTAATAATTATTCAAATTTTCATTTTCAGCAAGGCTACATCGCCGGTGAGTACAACCAGCCGGGAGAAACGCCCTCGCCCCGGTCGATCCTGACGGGCCACGAGGCCCGAATCACCGCCCTCAGCGTTTCCGCAGAGCACGGTCTTGTCATCAGCGGCTGTGAAGGTCTTCTGAAGGTCTTCTGAATCCTTCTCCAACGCTTTCTTGCTCAGATGGCGTCGTCCTGTTCCACACCACGGCTGGAGACCTGCTCCGAAGGATCAAGGGAAAAGGCCCGGTGACGCAGTTGGCGATGAGCCGCGAGTGTCTTCTGTTCGCACTCTATGACTCTCGGAGGATTGTGACCTACTCGGCGACCGCCAGGCTTCTCAATGAAGTCTCCTACGATGATAGGTTCGGAAAATGATGTCACCGTGACTTTTTACTGTCCATCGCCGTTAAAACCATAAAATTTACATTGTAAGAATGAAAATTTGAAGGATTGACTGTGTGACGGTGACCAGAGATGGCGAATTCGCGATAACTGGCGCTCAAAATGGAAGGATCGTCATTTGGCGTCTTTTTCCGCTCACCAAGCTTTACACCTATCAGGTAAGATTCGAGTTACCTTCAAATATTGATATTCGATAAAAATCTTTTTTATAGTTGTGTATCTTTCGAATAGAACAAAATCTCATGACACAAAGTGCGCTCTTAAGCTCTAAGGTCTTAAGAATTATATCAGAACATTTTATTCGCTAAAATTGTAAGTTACCACTGTAGGGGAGCGAAAAGAACGGAAAAGGGATCTCACATTGGAGGTCATTTCAGCGTATGGTTAAGAATTTTCTATAAATTCGCTCGAAAAATCTTTGATAGATTGGGAATCGATCCCACAAAGTCGCTATCTGCGCAAACTTTTAGTTTTGGTGATATGATTTTTTGAAAATTTTATCCTTAACCATGTGGCACACTTTGGAAGGAATTTGGCCACGCCACCACCCACTGCATGACAGATAGGAGCGTTGTGCAGTGGCTAGCGCGTTAGCCTGCAAAGTCTATGATGAGGGTTCGAGTCCTCTTGACGTTAACTTTTTTGCCATTATTTTTTTTTTTGAAGGTTTTCGAATTTAAAGTGTCATCCCATGTTCGAATTTTAGAAAAGATTCTTTCAGAAGACCGTTAGTTTCTTAAGGAAGATGTTTTAATATCTTGGAGGGGTCATTTAAGGGTTCTCTTCAAGCATATTCTCCGAACGATTTTTTAGATTTCATTAACTTTCCCTTTATTTGAGAGTATTAATGTTGATATTTCCTTCAGGCTCTCGATTCGGCAGTGCGAAGCGTCGCCGTGACGGCCAACCACCGATTCATCCTCGGCGGCCTGGATTCTGGGGCGATCGTCGTGTTCAACGCCGACTTCAACCGCTGGCACTACGAGTACAAGAATCGTTATCATCCCCAGAAATAGTTAATCCCTCAAACCCTACTCATATGTATTCTTAGGTTCTTTTTGGTGTTAAAAATCCACTTTTTCTTTAAATGATTGCTCTAAATATTTTTTGTTCATCTTTGGCTGTCTGGACTTTGTGACGAGTACCTTTTCTTTGTGACCCTTCTTGTTGTTATTTCATTGAATTTTACCCCCTCGTTCTGAAACAAGTGATCTTTGACCACCCTCCATTCATGTTCATAATTTTATCCCCACTTTAATTGATACTTATGATTTTGATTGAATTGAAAATTATAATTTTGTAACTCATAGATATATAACGCCAGTGTGATAATTGTATTGTGATCGGACTTACCTGTTTTTTCAGTAAATTTTATTTTTTCACATGAGGATCGGACTACAAAAAGAAAGGAAGTATTTTCCGATCAAAGTTGTTTATTTCTTTGAACGTTCGGAATAGTCAATTTATGAGCAAATGGCGAGAGGATGAACCTTCGAGATGAAGCTTGATCAACTGATAACTGGTATCATTGGAAAGGTGACATCAAGACGAATCGATTGATATGATTAGCCAAACTTTAACTGCTCTGAGAGCCGAGATATAAGCGTTTGAAATTTGTCATTAATATTTCAATAGGCGTCAGATAAAATGCATTTGGTGCACAGCACTCCGGTGTAATTTTCTCGCGAAAAAGGAAAAGCTCAAAATTTTTTTTCGTATTTTTGGAGTTTCTCTACATCATTCGATAGAGAAGCTTCTGTATAGTGCATTTATCATATCACTTCCGTGAGAAAATCTCGAAATTCAAACCAAATCAAGGCCCAAAAAGTCGTATTTTTGGGATTTTGAAGCTTCATATCTCCGTTCATTTTGAAGTTTGACAGAAAATGATTACATCAATCGATTTTTCTGATTATCAACCTTTTAATGGTGTAGGTCTTCACGAGTTTAACCCTGTTTTGATAAAAATGATGAACTTTGAAAAATCATAACTTTTTTTCTAGAAGCCTGAGATCTCTTCTAACTGCATTTTCAGGTACAACGCGTCATTATCTATCGATTGATGTAAGAAAATCGATAATTTCGGATTTTGGAAAAATTGAAAAAAGTACAGTCTAACCCCTTGGCTTTTTTTCGAGCTTCTGAGGTCATGGAAGCCGAGTTTGACGAAATCTATATCAATCGATAGATCTCGATGAGAAAATAACCGGAGGCCAGGTTTGACCTCCGTAGGTCAACTAAGGACTAAGTTATGGACGATCAAACTGTGAGGTCAAAAATTGGAAAGTAGGTCAAATTTGGTATCAATCGATAGAGGAGATCAAGGAAATCAAGAAAAACTAGGTCTCTAAGTTCCTAACCTCCTACGGATCGAACTATGCTTTTTCAAAAACTTTGAAAAATCACAACTTTCGATCTAGAAGTCTCAGAACTATTTGACCTGGATTTTCGTACTTCTGACGTCAATATCTATCGATTGATACTAGTTTTAAAGGAATTTGAGGTTTTTGATTCGTAAGTTTGATCGTCCATAACTTCGTTCCTAATTGACCTACGGACGTCAAACCTGGTCTCAGGTGATTTTTTCGTCGAGATCTATCGATTGATATAGGTTTCGTCTGGATCTGCTTTCATGACTTCAGAAGCTCGAAAAAAAGCTAAGGGGTTAGACTGCACTTTTTTCAATTTTTCCAAAAATCGAAATTATCGATTTTCTCACATCAATCGATAGATAAAAATGCGTTGAACTTGAAAATGCAGGTAGAAAACTCCTAAGGCATCTAGAAAAAAAGATATAATTTTTCTAAGTTGATCATTTCCATCAAACGTGCTCAAAACTTTTCAAGACTTTATCGTTAGAAAGCTCATAATGAGGCAAATTGAATAATATAATCAGCTTTCCTGTAAGTTTGAAAGGAACGGAGATATGGAGCTTCAAATTCTGAAAATTGCGGCTTTTTGGACCCAATTTTGACCTAAATTTTGAGTTTTACGCTTGAAAGGGATATGATAAATGCACTATAAATGAGCCGCTCAACCGATTGATGAAGAAAAAACTTTAAAAATGTGAAAAAAATTTTGAGCTTTTCCTTTTTTGAGAAAAAATGGCCCCGCGGTGCAGTGCACCAAATGCATTTTATCTGACGCCTATTGAAATTTTAACGGCAGACTTTAGAGGCTTATAACTCGGCTTCTAGACCAGCTACAGCTTAGCTGATTACATCATTCGATTTGTCTTGATGTCAGCTTTTCAATAATATGAGTAATCAGTTGATTGAGCTTAACCTCAAAATTTTTTTGCTCCCCCAATGAGAAAGAAGACAAAGTGATAAACTTTTATTTTCAAAGAATTATTCATTATTATATCCCATGAATGATAAGCAAATGTAAGTGAAAAACACGTCTTCAAGTCTCAAATACCAACAACACTGGGCTTCAAATCAATTCAACCTGAGTGAAAAAATCAAAAAAAAAAAGAAGTTCAAAGCCCAGTTTCGTGGAGCAATAACAATATAAAACTCTGGTCACTCTCTAGGAAAATAAATAGAAATATACATTTGCACTGAGTACACATAAGAGTTACTACTCGGTAAAATTCAACAACAGAAATTGCACCTCGTAACGATTCGAAACAGTTCTTTTGCAAGGGAGTTTGACAGGAATAATGATGAAAAATGAGAAACAAAAAAAAATCACAAGGCAGGCGTTCCTGAGAATGAAAGCTGGGGTTTTGGGAGATGTCGGGAATGGGAGCACTCAAGAGGTCACTTGGGAAGGTTTGGAAGTTTTTTTCAGAGCTTCTTACAGAGTTAAGGCAGCATAACGCTTTCCTAAACCGTCACTTGGAGCTTTCATGTTTTAAAAATTTTTTTTTAAACTTTTTTCAAGTTCTCCTGAGTTTCAAGGTGTTCCTAAGGCCTCTTTAAGCCATTCCAGAAAATTAAAAATCGATTAAAAAGTTATTTTTTCTAGTTTTCAAACTCCACTGAGGGATGAGAAAATCTATGAGCCCTCCCTAAATATTCCTAGGTGTTTTCCGGCTTCCAAGCTTTACCAGATCAACTACAGGCGCCTTTAAAAAAGTTTCAGGGGCATTTTAAAGCTTTTTTGAGCTTTTCTATCGATTCCTCAGTACTTCTTTAACCATTGCAAAAATATATAAATTCTAAAAAAATTGAGCTTTTTCCTAAAAAGTTCCTAGTACCCTCCAAACCCTTCAAGTCATTTCCATTGGCCGAAATCCCCCTTACGGAAAGCAAAATTTTGATCTACACGTGTGAGATCGTATTAAGTTGGATAAAAGCTTGAAGAAAAAGAAAATTGGGAAACAACGAAGGAAAAAGAAACTGGAATGTACAAACAGACTCGATGGGAAGGAGTGTTGAGAAATCCCGAAACGGAATAAGATGGGAAAGAAGGGAAGTAAGGTGGTTTCCAACAGTAATAGAGAGATCCGTAGAAGCTTTTCTTTTTTGTTAAAGTATGAATTTAAGATGTTATGTGTTAATATAATTTATGTCAACTAGCCAACTAAAAAAACAAAAAAAAAACCAAAAAAAGGAATGGAGAAAAAAAGATGAAGAAAGACGACGGCTTCACATCCGATCCGACACTGTTGACACCGACGTTTGGTAGAGCTTTCGGCGATTTTTCTCTTGGGATGACGAGGGCGTGACTGAAAATTGATCGGATTAGTTTGAGACTTTAGAGTTTGAACTTCTTTTTAAAAAACTGAGTTGACTAAAATTCCCTGGTCTTCAATCACCAGCTTTAGACTTCTAGACTACCCTAACCCCTTTTGTAGCTTCTGTCACATTTTCCAAGTATGTTTCACAATATTTGACGGTTTACTTAAGATTTTTTGGTATCTCTAAGACCCTCTCAAGTCTCAGAGTTTGAAAAATACACTTTTTCGGCTTCTCTGGGACCTTCCTGAGCTTTTTAAATCATTACGAAGGTTTTGTTCAAAGAAAAAGATTTCCTGGTCTTCAAAAACCTACTTTAGACTTCTGGACTACCCTAACCCCTCTTAAAGCTTGTAAATGACTGCCCTAACCCCTCTTAAAGCTTTTAAATGACTGCCCTAACCCCTTTTGGAGCTTCTGCTACATTTATCACAATTTTTGTTGGGTATCTAAGATTTTTTGGTACCTCTAAAAACCTCTCAAGCCTCAGAGTTCAAAAAATACACTTTTTCGACTTCTCTGGGACCTTTCTGAGCTTCTAAAATCGATACGAAGGTATTCACTATTTCCTCAACTTCTTCAGAGCTTTGAGATCCTAATAAACATCTTCAGAATCCACTAGAATCTTGTAGAAACTTTTCTAAGCTTTTCTAAGCTTTTCCTAGTTTTTCCGTAGCCCCCAGGTCCTGAAAACCACAAAAAGCTTACAAGTAGGGGTGGGCGGCTCCATCCGATTGGAAACGGTCCGATGGGCGTTGGTGTTGGGCCTCAAGGCGGAGGCGTTCCATCGTTGGGAGGTCGTCGTGGTGGTCTTCCGAACGACGGTGCTCGTCGGTTCTTTGGTCGTCGGCGTGCCTCGGTTGAGTTCGCCTTCGATGAATCGGACTACTTTGGCCATGCAGGCGTCTTGGTAGTCGTGTACCCATCTGAAGATCAGAAGACAGTTCGGACTGAGGCTTAGAATAACGATTTTAATTTCGGCTTTCTTTCAGACTGAGTTTTTTGGATTCAAACTGTTCCTGAGGTCCAGGAATTCCCTTTCGTAGAAAAGAAGTTAGTCTAGTAAAGCTACAGAGCCTCAAAATCTCTAGAGACCCCAAAAAATGATCTTGACGTCCGAAGTTAGAATTGCTTACAAGAAAAAAGACACCCAAAAATCTCAATTCGAAAAAAGTCCGAGAAAATCCCAAGAAAACTCACTTGACACCATTGTACTTGGTGATGTTCCGGATATCGCTGGGGATCTGGTCCTCCTTGGATGGGAACTCGAAAGCCGTGTCGAAGATCGGGATGATGTTCTTCTGATACTCGAAGGCGCACTTGAGCTCCTTGTGGACCCAGTCTTCGCAGTTGTCATCATTCAGGAGTCGATCCAGAGAGTTCGGGGTCAAGACCAGGATGAAGTGCTTGGCGGCCTGGATGTTCTTGAGGAGCGACGAGTCGAACTTGCCGGCGTAGAGCTTGTCGACATCGATGAAGACCTTGTAGCCGCGGAGCTGGAGCAGGACCTTGATTAGGCTCGCGAGCTGATTTCCGGTGCTTCGGCGGTAGCTGATGAAGACGTCGATCTGCTTGCTGAGCATGGCGACTTCGACGTCATCAGGATGCTTGGCGTCTTGGAAGGCTTGGGTCAACTTAAGTCGGTGGATGGGGTTCGTGATGCCGCACGCGTTCTGCATCAGATCGTCGGTCAGGGAGGACAGCAATGACCGATTGACGCCATTGGAGAGCATCTGGTAGGTGTAGACGGAAAGTTCCGGGCTCAAGGACATGAGGAACTGGTCGAGGTTGGACTCGTCGACGGCTGAGTAGTCAGCAGCGATTTTCAGGCTTTCCAGCTCCCTCATGAACCGCTTCTTCTGCAGACCGGAGGTCATGCCAATGTCGTTATGAAGGTCGTGCTCCGAGAGGTGCAGGAGGAGGTCACCGTCGACCATGTGCTTGGCGAACTGCCCGACGTAGTCTTCGAAGCCAATCTGAATCAAGAAAATGAGTTTCAAGAGGTTTTAGCCATACTTCTGATGCTTAGTAACGGTACTAGTTTCTGAGCTCAAAGCCAAAATTCGAGCTTTAAATCAGGCTTAGGTGGACTATAGCTGTTCTGAAACTATCTCTCTCTACCGGCTCTAGCCATACTAAATCTTAGTTTCAGAGTCATTAGGTCATTCTAACCGTACTTCCCGACCCTAAAGCCAAAGCAATCTCCTCACCTTCGTCACCCAGTACTGAACGTCGTTGGCCGTCCAGCTGGGAACTTTCTGGGCGAGCTTGTAGGGTACCTCCTCACCGATGACGGTCAACGCCTCGGAAGCGAATTTGGCGGCGACCTCGTCCGGCGACGAGGCGACTTCCTTCAACGCTTGTATCGCGCCGATCTCCTGCAAAGTTCCGAGATCAAACAACCAGGAAAGAGAGATCAAATTAGGAGGAGAGAGACCAAACAGTGTCCAGATCAAATGTTGAAAATCGAAATGATCTGTGAGAAAAATAGGAGGTCAAGAAAAGCCTTAGATCAAACAGCATTCAGTTCAAAAACTAACTCAAAAATCAAAAGTTGGAGAGCACCCGACCTGCGCCGGTTTGAACTTGTCCCATCTCTGGCGACTGTCGAGTTGGCGCGCGTTTCGCAATGTGACCCCTCGGCTCCGCCCACTTTTGATGACGTAGGCAAACGCGCGCGCGCGCCAAATTTTTTGTTTTTGCGCGAGCCTCGTCTACCAGGTAATTAGCCGGAGAGGTGTGAACGAGAAGAAATTTGAATTTCTCGTGTTGCTCAGGTTAGCAGACTATGACAGGAAGATGGTTCGAGTAATGCAGAAAGTGAAAAGCTCGGAGCTTCGCCAAAGAAATATTTCACTGTTGCTCATGTTACGGAAAATAATTCACTATTGCTCATGTTACGGAAAATACTCATAAATCAGGTCCAAAGAGTGCGTCCAACTTATCTATCAATTAATCACCTGGGCCATTTATCTTCGCATAAAATTCCACAAAAGCCAAGGCCAAAGCCGTTTCCGGGGGCGGCCTTTCTTTCATTCGATCTCACAGTGGGGATCCGGTTTTTCGTCAACTTTTCCGAGAAAAGAAGGAGATTTGAAGTGAAAAATGAGTCATCTCTTGTCGTTCCCTAAGACTGTCGGTCAATAGAGGGTGTCTGCCTTGACCTGTACCTTCTAGTCAAATAATAGATTTCGAAACTTTTCGTGGCTATTTTCAGAGATAAAAGGGTTGAATTGCATCAGGCTGGGCAAAAATCAAAGTGATAACGTGTTGCTCATGTTAGCGAGAAATTGCAGAACTTTTTTCTGAGTTTGCACGGTTCGGAATGGTTTTTTTTTCCTAATTTTACGAGTATCTATATTTGAATATTAGACTTAAAGCCATTAAATGAAAGACAGTGATCAAAAGAGCCAAAAAAAAATCAATCATACTCAAAATTCAGAACAAAAAATTCAAAAATCAATATTGATCTTGATGTTCCAAAAACTGAAATCCAATCAAAAACCTTTCAAAATCCTCAGAATCCAGGACTTTTCCCCCAAGTTGTTGACACTTCTGCCTTGAATTCCCTCAAGTGAAAGAGCAAAAAAACAAGACAACAAGGCAAGAAAATGCAAGCTTTTTCTTTTCTTTTTTTTAAGAGATCACCTAAGGGATCACTTGAGGGAACTGTATATGATTTTCGTCAGATTATGCATATTAAGTGTGTGTAAACAGTATACAGAAAGGAAGGGCCCAAATATTATTTTATAAGCGATCATCTAAGGGATCAATCTTCTTCTTTTTAAAGGGGTTTTGATGGAATTTTTGAAAAATCGTACAGTTTTTGAGATTCGAATGAATATGGAATCGATAATACTACAAAAAAATCATTATGATTTTTGACCAAAAAATTCGAAAAAAAAAATGAAAAATTTTCTTTTTTTAATGTGAAAATTCGATTAAATTTTGAAAAACCAGAAATTCAAGCTCGGAAATTTTTGAAAAAACGACCTTTTCTGAGCTTTTTCTCTTTCAAAACTGCCAAAAATCTGCGTTGTTTAGAAATTTTCCGATTAAAAAAATATAGATCTTAAAGATTTCAAATTCATCTTTGAAAAAGTTGAAAAATCGTCTCAAATTTTTCATCTCCCGGTTAAAAAGTTCACTCAATCCCATTCCAAAAAGCATGTTTATGGAGGTTTTTGGGAAAGACCCCAAAGAGCTGAAAAATAGAGAGAGAGAGGAGAGAAAACCAATGAATGCGGAGAAAGAGAGTACGCGAAAATGAGAGGGTGGCAGAGAGAAAAAGAGGGAAAAAACAACAAATTTGTCGGGACCGATCTATGAGACGTAAGAGTGAGCAAAAAGAAGGGGGGAAACAGCTGCGCGGTCCCTGGTCCCTTGTCCTATTTTTCAGCCATTTTCGACCTGTTTGACTCAGGATTTGTGGCAAAAAGAATCGTGAGGTCATGTGGTTTGAAACCGTAAAGTGAGATAAGGAAGTGATTTTTTTTTTTCCTTCTGCATTTTAGCCTTTTTCGACCTGTTTGGCTCAGGGTTTTGAACCAAAAATCGATAGATCGTGTGATTTGAAACCGAAAAGTGAAGATAAGGAAGTAGAAGTGAGGAACGGACAACCTCCTTGATGGAAAATCGGTAAAAGCTGCCTTTTTGCTAATTTTTGACGATTTTGTGACAAAAATCAATGGATCGTTTCATTTGAAATCAAGAAATGAAGATAAGGAAGTAGAAAGAAAAACCGGAGGACCCGAAAAATGAAAAATAAGGATCGTTGATAGAAATTCATCAAAAAAGACTTTAAAAAAATATAAAAATCAGCCGCGGCTCTGAGAAAAGGCAGAAAAAAAGGATGAAGAAGACCCGAGAAATGAGAAAAAACAGCCGCGGCTCGAAAATTCCAATAATGAGCTTGCAGCCAATGAAAGACTTTCAAGATGAGGAATAAAGAAATAAAATAGCCGAAATTCGTTTGAGAAAAAGCGCAAAACTGTCCCAAAAATAATTTTTTTTTAAATAGCTGCGGCTCAAAAAATGTCCTAAATCCAATTCCGGCTATCTTCAGATGTATAAAGACCCAAAAAAAGGTACCTTAGCATAGGGATGGAAGAATCGTCTGGTCCTGGACCTCTTGAACCGTTCCATCGTTACCGTCTTTTCCTTGGAGATAACGTTGGGCCTAATAATGAGGGCCGTTTTAGAGGGTAATTTTTTCAGGGACGTCTTCAGCGGCGTCGTCGGTAGGGTCATTGAGGAGCTGGGAATAGCAGCGAAGGAGGTCGTGGCAGATGGAATTAAAAAGGGGAGCTGGGTGAGGTCCGTGGGCCTGGAAGGCGAGGGTGGCGTCGGTGGCGGCGTGGGGGAAGCACAGCCGACGACGACGGACTGGGAGTACGGCGACACTTGAAGGAGTGGCCGGGTCGGCGAGGGGATCGCCGTTTTCAGGACTTCTGATTGAAGCGGTAGTATGACCGGATTGAAGTTGGCGTTTGGAGAAACCATCGTTTGCGTGGACAAAACTTCTCGATTGATAATATAGTCTTTGTGTTGATAGTGAACGCAAGGCAATGCAATGCGTGTGTTGCAGACTGATTTGTCGAGGGGCGGCGCGCCTAAGGCCCGCCCCACAATCTGGCGCTCCTCCCATCAACACGAGGAGGCCTGACCTGCTGCTGTGTTGTGTGTGCGTGTGTGAGTGTGTGCGCGGTAAACAGATCCGTTCCAAAAAATCAGCCTTCCTTCCTGGGCAGCTCCGATCTGAGCCGCGGCTGAGAAGAATAGCCGAGAAAGATTTATGGAGAAAAAAGCCACAACGAAATAAATAGCCACTAGAAATAGCTTCGGGAAAAATCATTCAAAAAGATCAAAGGAAGAGTTCTAACAGATTTACAGAAGAAAATAGCTGCCAAGAAAATGCCAAGGCCAATATTTGCAACGAAAAATAGCCTCAAAAAACAGCTCGAAGGATGAAATACAGTACTTTTAGAGGTAAAAAGACCCGTTCCAAAAAATCAGCCTTCCTTCCTGGACAGCTCCGGTCTGAGCCGCGGCTGAGAAAAATAGCCGAGAACGATTTATGGAGAAAAAAGTTACATTGCAAGAAATAGCCTCAAGAAATAGCTTCGGACAAAATTCAAGATATAGCGAAGGGGTTAAGAAAAATTATGGCTGCCAAGAAATCGCAAAAGCGAAAAATAGCCTCACCGTTATCAAATTCCATACAAAAAAGAAGGTTTGAAAAAAATAGCCTCAAAAAACAGCTCAAAGGATGAAATACAGTACTTTCAGCGGTAAAAAGATCCGTTCGAAAATCTCCCTCGGTCCTGCACCCCGCTGCTCCGGCCGATCTGTCCGCGACAGGATGATGCAATTCTCGGTCGCGGCTAAGAATAATAGCCGCCGAAAAAATAGCCGAGCCGTGAGGGAAAACGCAGCTGGACACGGGGAGAGTGATGCAATTTTGAGCCGCGAAAAATGGCGGAAATTGGAAAGAAAAGATTCTCAATAAAAATACTTCAAAAAAATCATAAAAATTCAAAAAGCCTTCTATAGGTATCCAAAACTTAATAGGAAAAATTAGCCTCGAAGAATTTAAAAAAAAGGATGCTGTTTTACCTCGGCTATTTTTTAAAAATAAACTTGTTGAGTCCAAAAAAAGAAGAACAACTGGTTGTTGTGTTGTTTATCATAGCCTCCACGTGGCACGGGCTTTTCCAAGTTGATTTTCGACTTCTCGAGGCTTTTCAAGAGAGTAGAAGCTCCAAAGATTCTTCCTTTCACGTAAGAAATCAAAGGCTTCCAGAAGCCCACAGTTACAATTTTTCAACCTCAACATTTTCCGGAGAATCTTTACTATGCTCCTTTAAACTTCCATTAAAATTCGCTTCTTTTTGAATCGAATCTGACACCAGTATTTAAAGAAGCAGAGCCTCGATCAAGACTGATTTTCGCTTCGATACCCTTAAGGAACTTTTCCTCTGCTCCTTTAAAGTCTCATTCAAACGCGGCTTTTTTTTGGATCAGATACTATTTGCTCCTGACACCGTATACGGTTAGCGCCACTCCCCTGGGAGGCCGTGACGTCACGGGCGGTCTGACCTCAGCCTGGTAGCCGAGCCGACGAGTTGCGTCAACAGAAGACCTCGTTAGGCATGACTAGAGCTGCGCGAGATTTGAAAATGACCGACAGGCCAGATCTCTGTGAGTTGACGCAACACGCTGGCTCGGCTACCGGGCTGAGGTCAGACGCTCGTGACGTCACGACCTCGAGGGTGTGGCTATATTCTTATCTGATCCGTATTCAAAATGATCGCATTTTTTAGAAAGATCATATTTGGCACAAATTGATCTGCGCGAGGTTTGAAAAGACCATTATCCTCGGAAAAACCCGGCTCAGGGTACCAGGCTGAGGTCAGACGCTCGTGACGTCACGACCTCGAGGGTGTGGCTAGTATTATCTGATCTGTATTCAAAAATGATCGTGTTTTGATGGAAAAAGTTGGGGCAGAGTTCTGGAAAGTTCTTATTGACCATAACTAAGGCTGCGCGAAGTTTGGAAAGACCATCAGCCTCGGAAAAACCCGGCTCAGGCTACCAGGCTGAGGTCGGACGCTCGTGACGTCACGACCACCCAGAGAGTGGCGCTAACCATTCAGGAATGGTACCCGATCCGAAAAAAGCTTCCATTGGGTTCAAAAATTATGGTTTTCCAAAAAAGTAGTCGATGGAAAGAATATAGTTTCAAAACAGAGTGAGAAATATTCTTTTTTTAAAAATTGGCCGTCTTGAATTGGGTATACTTTCTTAGAAATTCGAGGAACCGTGTCGAAAATCCTAGGCCGAAGTACTTCCGATCCTATCAAAAAAGTTTGCCAAACACCAGGTCTCGAAAACTTGTTGGGTACCAGTCACAACACAGACCACCATGCGCGTAGAAAAGTGACCAAAAAAGGGTCACTCAAAGGCAATATTGCGAAACGTTTCGGCAACAAAGATGGACTGTTCTCTGTACAAATATACGAGAAAATGGCCTCGTTGCGTCATGTTCAGGTGTGCTTTCTGGATTCTGGGGAACTTTCCGAGGATTCCGTCGGTTCTCGGAAAAGCGTGACGGCGTCATTGTTGAGACTAGTTTTGGAGCAAAAATCACACCTTTTTTCGGTGGATTTGAATAATGATGACTCGGTCGCATTTTTGAATTGCTCAAAGCGTCGCGGTCGCGCGTTGCGGTTGAAGTTAACCATTTAGCACTTGCTCTAGTGCTTTTTGATTCCTTCGCGTGAACCGTTTCTGGTCGGGCGAGCTTCAAAGAAACCGCTTTGCAGCCGTTACGCGTTTAACCAACTCGGTCGCTTTTTGAATTGCTCAAAGCGTCACGGTCGAGTGTTGCGGTTGAAGTTAGCCATTCAGCACTCGCTGTAGTGCTTTTCGATACCTTCGCGTAAACCGTTTCAGGTCGGGCGAGCTCTAAAGAAGCCGTTATGCGTTGAGCCATTCTTAGGCTACTTTGAAGGCCTTTTATGAACTTTTTCGAGATTTTTTATTTCAAGCTACTTCTGAGGGTTTTTACATTCATTTCCAATGTTTTGGGTCCAAAAAAACTCTTCAAGCTTCATAAATTATTTTTTCAAACCTCAAATTCCAATCAGAACTTAAAATTTCCCAGTTTGAAAAAGAGAAGCCTCGCGCAAACAGTCTGAACGAACAGAATAGACTACGAAAATTCAATCTGACTAATCAAAGAAATGAAGAATATTCACTACAAAATTTTAAAAAGTCTATGATCCTTTTTTCATTCGAAATAATCATTTCCAGAGTTTCTGTGATTAAACTTGGCCATTTTCAGCTGCACGAAATCATTTTAGGAGCTTTCAACCTTTAAGTGACCACTTGAAAAATATCTTTTTTCGTCTCAAAATGGTAGACAACAAGAACACCTCATAGTTGAAAAATTCAAAAAAACAATTATCAATGAGAAAGTTTACTGTTTTTTTCCAGGAAATGACGAATTTCGGAGCCAGTCGGCTGTTTATTTGATTTGAATACCAAAAATAGTAAACCATCATAAAATTTTACTTTCTGAGAAAGCTTGCATGATGAGAAAATGGCGCGATCATCCATATCGACATCGTTATCGATGGAGCAACCTTATCACACGATTTTCGAGGTCCTTTTTCGGCGCCACGATGATGATGATGATGATGATTTTAAGTGTCTACGCACAAAAATTTGATAGCCTTTTTCGATGCCCGGTTTGATAAGAAAAGCGATTTGATTCTTATCACTAGGATGTTAAAGTTGCTTTTTTCCGCAAGCAGAGACGAAATAAGGTGTGATGCTGACATTATTGGGTGTGGTCAGGGTTTTCGAGCCTTTTTTGGGGGTGATGACTGTTGATTAGGAGCTTCGAAATTGGGCTTTTTTGGTAAAATTAAAGATACCTACACCCTTTAAATTCAATTTTTGAGATCTCAGATCCTTTTGAGGTCAATTCTTGGATCCAAGAAGAGCTCGAAGAAAATTTCCAGAATTCTCGCTAAGATGAGCAATAAAATAAATTCAAAAAAATGCAAAATTTCATCTAAAACCGTGTACAATAAATGCAGAAGCTAAATCAAGACAACTTTGAAATTTTGAAACTTTAAATTCGCCAAAAATTAATCCGTCCATCCACCCACAAAGCTACATTTACTAGAACCCACACAAAATAGCCACCTTTATATTAATTTATCAAGTTATTTGCGCTCTATTGACATTTCCGTCGTCCACCTACACGCAGAGCTACCGTTCAGATTATCATCAAGACAATGGTTTTTTCTCCTTTTTTTATGTTATATTGTTTGAAAATAGCCATGAATCAGTATTGGTTGATGACGCATCGTGACTGAGAAGGACACAGAAAAGGAAGAAGAAAAATGAATGGAATTTGAAAATATTGGCAAGCATGAGCAATGAATGTTGGGTACCTGAGAGGTGAGTCTTTAAAAAATCGGAAATTTGTCTTCAAGTGCGCTCCATTGATAATTTAAGTCGGACCAAATTTTTCTACAAGAAAAGTGGTGAAAAGTCGAAAATTCGTCTAGAAACGCTATTTTATCCGTGGAGCGCAAGTTCCCTCTATTTTTCGGCCTTTTTTTGTAAAAACTCTCTTTTCAGGTACCCAGAAAATCGATGAGAAATGAATAAAGAAAAAAAAAACACACCTCAAAAACGTCCAGTTTATTCTGATCCTTCTTGATGGTCGCCTCCATGGTCAGATGGAAAGCCGCGCAACTTCTGGCCTCCCTTCTCATCGATTTGAGCATAGGTAGTAACCTGAAAGTTCAAAATTTGATGATAAAACATTAAAAAAATCTCAAAACCTCCAAAAAAAAAGGAAAATTTACAAATTTCGTAGTAAAAAAAACTTTTTTACAACATTCTTGCCTCCAAATACCACCCCATTCTCATCTCAAATTTTTTTGAAAAAGAATCAGTTTTAATTTTTAAAAAAATCACTAGAATCCAAGCGTAAAATTGTCCAAGCTACCGCGGAATGTACAAAATTTGTATGTAGCTTGGTCACTCTTGCAAATATTTGCCCTCCGCAAACTCAAACCTACAAACTTTTACCTAGAGAACCTTCGAGATAGGTAAATTCTAGCTTAAAAATAGTTACTTTCAAAAAAAGTGACATTTTTTTCTCCGTGGAGCGAACTTCAAGCCTAAAAGAGCCGTTTTCTCAATGGAGCGCATTTCAGGCTTCAAACGAGCCGTTTCAATAAAAAAATCAATAAGTATCGATCCTCTTGATAGAGCAGGTTCAATACAAACTCAGCCTCATTTTTCATGCCACTGTTGCGAAATTTAAGATAATTTATCAGTGGAGCACATTTTCCGTTGCAGAAAAAGCCACTTTCCTTTTCAAATTTTTTTTTCAAGTTTAAATGAATTTTCCGATTTTATTTCTATCTTTTCAGCCGAATTTATGAGTTCAAGATAATATTTCATGAATCTCTTCAAAATTCCAAGCTTATAAACTTGAGTTGAACCGAATCTTCTACCCATTTTTCAATTTTTCGAAAATCCTCTCAATTTCATCGTACAAAATCCTTGTTTCTTTGCTCTTCTTTGCGCAAAAAATCATCGAAACATGAAAAACAACGTTGTATCCCAGAAGGAGCACTGTACTCAGAATCCAATTATCGTACTGTCGATCAAGAAACACGTGTGAACTTTCTGCTTCTATTTCGGTGGCACGGAGCAAACAATTTACAAGTTTTCGACACTGTTTCCCATGGTTTCTTGGACTGTGTAACAATAACAGAATAATATTTTTTGCAGGTTTTTGGAAGAATTTTGCAAAGCATAATCGGACTGTCAAAAAAGAACAGGGGGGAAGGAAATTGAGATGAAGTATACTTTCAGAAAAGTTAATTTTTTTAAGATAACATCCTTAATTAATGACTTTATCTCAGAACTTTGACCCAAAATTGAAAACGGAGCGGTCTAAAAGGCCCTGAAGAAAGTATTCAGAAATGAATAAATGATTGATTGAGCCCATAAAGCCGGTAGTGTGGAGGTGTTGGCCGTTTTCTTCTTACAGTAACTTCAGAGACTTTTTTGGAAACTCGATTACTTTTTTCGGTCAAGGCTCAATTTTTATTGGCCATTTCATAAAATCCAGTTTGACATGGCTCTTTTTTCGAGGCTAAAATAATAACTGAACTTCGTATTTTGAGCATTTTTCAACTTCAAGCGTGATGATTCGAAAAAAAAGGCCTTTTTGCTGGATTTTTCAAAATTTTTATTGGATTTAACTCCGAAAAGTCCAATATTTCCAAACTTTTACTTCAAATGATCATCAATTTTTGGGGTTAAAGTTATCCGTGGAGCGCATAAGTTCAGTTTAGTAGATATTTCAAGAGGCCATTTTACCGATTTCTCCTCTGGAACACCCTTAGTTTCCCAACTGTTCCAACTGCTCTTTGATTTCTTGATTCTTTTGCTTTTTTGGAAAGTTATCCATGGGGCGAACATGTTCATTAATCCAGGTAAATTAGGAGGCCCTTTTTTCCTCCTTTCTTTTTTCTAACCATTTCTTCCCAACCGTTTCTTCAACTGCTCGTCGACTCCTTGGCTCTTTTCATGTTTTTGAAAAATTATCCATGGGGCGAACAAGCTCAGTTATCCAGGTATATTAGGAGGCCATTTTTCCTCCTTTGACCACTTCTTTCCAACTGTTCCAACTGCTCATCGATTCCTCGTCCTGGCAGTCAGTTTCTCTTTGAGAACACCGCGTGAAGCCCAGCTGTCAGCGCGTCAAGTGAAGAAACACACGCTTTCACATCTATATTCTTGTTTCGTTGATGCCCGCCACACAGCGAGAGGCCTATCCACCGAAGATCAACCTCTGTTTGTACATGTTTTCTTTTTCTTTTTTCCAATGTCCACACCGACAACGATCTGTGCCCTTTCCGAGGGACTGTTCGCGAACAATTTAGAGATAAGAGACGAGAAGTGTTCCCTATAGTGTTGTTGATGGTTGTACCTTGGCTTTGTGATTGTTGTGTGGCAAAGAGACGTTGAACTTATAGTCTATCAAGACAAGTTTTCAAAAACGAGAAATGCACTGAATTTTAAAATAGTTCCTGTTCTTCCAGTACCAAACTTCACTAAATTATTTTTTTTACTGAATTTTCGGAAATAAATGTCAAAAATACTCCAAAAAAATGACTCTTCAGGTCAAAAATTTTGAAAGTAAAAAAAATCAGTTCATTTTGAACCTTCTCTACCATTAAAAAAAATCAATAACTAAATAAATTCCATTTAAAACCTCCATCAACCATTACAAAAGTACTTTTCCTGTTGTTCTCCACAAAATAGTCCTTAAATGAACTAAAGAACTTTTCAAATAACTAAAAAAACCTGTTTTCTTCTGACCTCGACCTTTTTTTATAATGGACCTTCAAAAAAATAAGCTCTATACATTTTTTCAAAGCTACTTTCCAAAAAAAGAAAAACGAAAAATTATCATTCCGAAAAATTTCATCACTCTTCCAGCTAGTGATAAAAATGATAAGAAATCACTAAAAAAATGTTCAAAAGCTAGAATTTCTTCATCAAATGATGATCTTCGGAAATTTGAATTCTCATATTTGTTTCTGGAAATCACGCACTTGTCCATGAAATAACAAAGTTCAGTGATCACATGCAATTTGCCACAAAGAAAAAAATTGAATTTTTTTTCAAAAAAACTGATTCAGAAAAAAATTCAGCTTCAAAGAACAACTTCTTCAAAAAAATCAATAAATTTGACTTTTTGGGTCTTTATTTATACCTACGAAAAATTCGAAAATAAATTTTTTTCAAACCATTCAAAATCTTTCAGAATCAGAGCAAAAAAAGCTTCAAAATTCCTCTTTTTTTATTCAAAAGTTGAGACAGAACGGCCGATTGATATTTTAAAAATGCCATGAAAGGACTATTTTCCAAATCCAACTGGTAAGTTAAAAAAAGAAAATCTTGAATTTTTTCAATCCAATAGGCTTCAAATTTACACTAAAACCATCATATGTTTCAAGCTTCCTATGGAAAAAACCGTCCAGATGTCCATTCTGAACTAAAATCAGGAATCTGAAGACTTTCTTCTTCAAATACCCTCCAAGTTTCATCTTGATAACTGCAAAACCCATGGAGCTACCGTAACTATTTTAGACGGACCGAATACTTTTATCATTTCATCACTCCCGCCATAAATAGAAGCTTCCAGCAAACTCCTCACTGATCACCAAAAAACTGACCATCACAACTGTTTTCCTCCAGTAAAAAGCTGCTGAACAGATAGACTTTGATCCTCCGCGGCCGCCTACGTGATCAACAGCCTCGCCGAGCATTGGGTCACTGTGTGATGGTCATTTCGGTTCATCGATTATCAGTTATTTTGCAGGACGAGTTGAACAATCAGGCCATGTCGGTTCCAATTATCGAGGTTTCAGGTTGAAGAGGGGACTTTGTAGGGGTGCCATTTGATCTGATTTTTGCCTGGGGTCGTACTTTTAGGATCGGAGATTTTTTTGGAAAATTTTTAGTGGGCACTATAGGGTTTCGACGCTTTAGCGGCCACTATAGCAGTCAAATTAGTGGCCAATCACGGGGTTCAAAATTAGTGACCACTATAGAGGTCTAAGTGCTACTACTAGACCACTAAAAATTTTAGTGGCCACTTAAGGGGTCAATGGATCAACATAACTGGTCCAATCTGTTTGTTTTAAAATTATCAGAGTTACTGGAAGGAATACTGGATGCGAACTACTGAAGTGGCTACTATAGAGGTTTTCGAACTGCCTTCAAAGCTTTTCAAAAATTAAAAAAAATCCATTTTCTTGCAAAAGGTAGTTTTGGTGTCGATTGGTTCGATTTTGCCTTTTACAAAACTTATTAGGGACCTGGAAAATTCACCAAGACTCAAAAAGTCATTCAGGGTAATGGACAACGCGATAAAGCCCTAGGAAATCTAAGAAGCCTTGAGAAAACTTCTGGCCTTCAAATTTGTCTTTCAGATCATCTGGCAAGCCTTTCAAGCCTTCAGAAACTTTTTTCACGAAGATTTTCTTTTGAAACTTTTTCAAACCGTCGAAAAAGCGGTATAGAAAAGAATTGTACGACGAGACATCAACAACAGCTCTGGTTCCTCTCTGTTAACAACGTTATTTACAGAATATCTGATCGTCGATCGCTTAGCGATTGGTTCCTCGTTGCAGCAGCGATGCCTCGTTGCTTTTTGATGGGGCATCTCTCGGAAAAGCTGCTTTTTTTCAAAGAGGACCGTTTGATGGATAAATACAGTTTTTTTTTTTGCTTCCGTTCTCTATTTTATCTTTACCGAAACGGAAGAAAACACTCTGCGGACGCGAGAAAAGATCCTTTGCAGAACGGAAGAAAAACATCGGGGGCAGGTTTCGAGAGGAAGAAAAAAACTTCCGACAAGTTCAAGGCTACTGACGGTTCATGGGAGTGCCTAGACAAAGGGATTTTTAGAATTGAAAATTTCGATTCTCTACAAAGCGTTTGCGGTCGCGTCGCGGCTCCTGATGAGATTTTTTTAGAAGATTATAATCTTCAATAGAGTCTTGGAGTGTCCAAAATCAAATATAAGCTGAGGAGCTTCATCCAATTCCTTCATACGCGTTTGCGGTCGCGTCGCGGCTCCTGGTGTGATTTTTTTGGAAGATTATAATCTTCAATAAAGCCTTGGAGTGTCCAAAATCAAATATAAGCTGAGGAGCTTCATCCAATTCCTTCATACGCGTTTGCGGTCGCGTCGCGGCTCCTGGTGTGATTTTTTTTTTTGGAAGAATATAATCTTCAATAGAGCCTTGGAGTGTCCAAAATCAAATATAAGCTGAGGAGCTTCATCCAATTCCTTCATACGCGTTTGCGGTCGCGTCGCGGCTCCTGGTGTGATTTTTTTTTGGAAGAATATAATCTTCAATAGACCTCTGGAGTGTCCAAAATCAAATATAAGCTGAGGAGCTTCATCCAATTCCTTCATACGCGTTTGCGGTCGCGTCGCGGCTCCTGGTGTGATTTTTTTTTTTGGAAGAATATAATCTTCAATAGACCTCTGGAGTGTCCAAGATCAAATACCAGCTGAAAAGCCTCATCGAATTCCTCCATACGCGTTTGCGGTCGCGTAACGGCTTCTGTGACCGTTCGAAAAAATATAAAGTCCTTAAAACTTTTCAAATTCCACTTTAGAGCTCATAAATGTCTCAGCTTCTTCAAACGCCTTTGCGACTTCAATGATTTTTAGAAAGAGGACTGAACTTTTAAAAGTTGGTTTAACAATAACTCTGAGCTCAAAAGTGTCCTCAAAATGTCTTCAGGCGCGTCGCGGTCGCGTCACGGCTTCAGGCTCTTCTTCAAATCCATGGGTTGGGATTTATTTTTGCCTGACATGAACAGGAAAAAATCCAATTCCCAACCGTTCCAGACGCGTTTGCGGTCGCGTCGCGGCTTTCATATTTTTCCGAAGAAGCACTGACATTTTTAGAACACCTCCAATTGGCTCCGTAGCACTTTGAGCTCTCTTCAGTACCTTCTTTGCGGTTCTAGCTTCTCTTTTTGAAGTCTTTCTAATCCTGTCGCATTTTCATCTTTTTTTGGAAACTTTTCAGAATCCTAACTGTCTTTTCAACAGTTTGAGACGCGTTTGCGGTCGCGTCGCGGCTTTCATATTTTTTCCAAGAAGCACTGAATTTTTCAGGACGTCTCCAATTGGCTCCGTAGCACTTTTAAGCTCTCCTCAGTACCTTCCTTTTTTTTGAGCCCTTTCTGCGTCTTTTTTTGTCTATCCAGAAGCGTTTGCGGTCGCGTCGCGGCTTCTTCTTCAATCTTCTTTCAAATTTTCTGGGGAGTTATCTTCAAGTTCATCTCTCCCAGCCAGAAACCATCAGATCACCCAGAATATTCCGACGCGCCCGCGGTCGCGAGACGGTTCCATCATCATGATGCGGTCGCGTCGCGTCTCTCTCCGAAAATCTTATCATATATCAAAACCAGATCTCCGAAATTAGATCAATACGGCGTATGTGATAAATGACAGATAGAACCGGTAAAAGATTGGTCTTTCAGAAGACACGTGACGTCGTCGACTTTTGAAGATGTGGTCTGAGAGAGAAGACGTCTTTTCTCTCTCTCATCTCTTCTCTCCATATTTAGAATGGGGTCCAAAATAGAATCGGGTTTTTTCCCACGGTCTTCTCCTATTCACTGTGCAAACCGGTATTTTCTTCCAATAGAGATCATTTAGGGACCGCCAAAAATGGATGGATAAAGGGCCAAATATAGGCCGAGATTATTTATTTGAGGACGGAAGTTTCAGTTCTATTTTTGGAGGGCATCGTGTATGACTTGTCAGTTGTTCTTTTTGTGGACTTTTTCCGAATCTTTGGTGCTAAAATTGTGAAAATAGAGGTTTTGGGAAAAGGGAAAAGTCATGAAACTCGTAAAAAAAAATATTTAAAAAATTGAAAATCGAGGTTCGTTCAAGTTTTAAGTACCCCAGCTTCATATCACTTATAAAAAACATTTCGAAAAATTTTTCAATATCTCGTTTTTCGAATTTCGAGACAATTTCAGTATTATTTTTTTATGGTGGGCTAGGATGGTACAATCTAAGAAATTCTTCTGATTTTTCAATAAATTTTACACGTTCAAGACATCATTTTTTTTTTTTCTTTTGCTGCATCTTCCTCTGTCTAAAAACACCCAAATCACCATCGAAGCTCAAAAAGCTTACAAAAAAGCCCCACTAAACCTTGTAATGCTTTTAAAGTCTTGAATTCCGTACCTCATAAGCCATTCTTTGGGCCGTCCTTGCGAGTGTTTGTAATGATCTTGGGCAAAAGTCGTCGGGTTTTGAGAGAGCAGAAAAGGTTCCACCAAGGCCAGAGTTCCCGATTTCGAGGCTGCCGATTCGAGATCCTGAAAAATCTCAATGGAGCAAATTTTAATTCGATTTCGACGATTTCAAACAACATTGCCGCATTTGGAATGGTTCACTTTCAGCCGATTGTTTTACATTTCTCTATGGCCTCGGGCGCAAGCCGTTTTTGGTCGGGTTCGTCTCAGAGGCGCTCTAAGTCATTCTACATGCGGCCAAGGCATTTCAAGTAACGGGAAGTTGAGTATAACTAAATCTGAGATTTTTTTAAACTAAAACCCCGGAAAGAGGTATTTTCAAATATACGCCATTCACTACGATTTCAAACCCCTCTGTCGCATTTAGAATGGTTCACTTTTAGCCGATTGTTTTACACTTTTCGATGGCCTCGGGCGCAAGCCGTTTTTGGTCGGGTTCCTCTCAGAATAATGTTAGGCGCTCTAGGTTTTTCTACGTGCGACCACGGTGATATTCAAGTCACGGGAAGTTGTGAAAAACTGATCTCAAGATTTTTTGAAAGTAGAACCGCTGAAAGATGTTTTTTCCAAAATATACTTCCTTAACCACGATTTCAAACCCCTCTGTCGCATTTAGAATGGTTCACTTTTAGCCGATTGTTTTACACTTATCTATGGCCTCAGGCGCAAGCCGTTTTGAGTCGGGTTCGTCTCAGAATAATGTTAGGCGCTCTAGGTTCTTCTACGTGCGACCATGGCGTTTCAAGTCATGGGAAGTAAAGTAAAATCGATTCTGAGATTTTGAACTAAAATCGCCAGTAAAGGGGTTTTTTCAAATATACGCCCTTCACCACGACTCCAAACACCTCTTTCGCATTTTAAATGGTTCATTTTCAGCTGCTCAATTTTTCACTTTTCTTTGATCTCGGGCGAAAGCCGTTTCTGGTCCGATTTTTTCCAAAATAGCTTCACCCATTCTAGGCCATTCTACGTGCGACCACGGCAATATTCAAGTCACGGAAAGGTGTGTGAAGTGTGAAACTGAATCTGAGATGTGAAACTGAATCTGAGAATTTTTGAAACTAGAACCGCGAAAAGGGTTTTTTTTTTCTCGAAATATACGCCCTTCACCACGATCCCAAACCCCTCTGTCGCATTTGGAATGGTTCACTCTTAGCTGCTTGTTTTTACAAATCTCTATGACCGGGCGCAAGCCGTTTTTGGTCGGGCTCTAAACTTCATGCGCGCTAGGCCATTCTACATGCGGCCAAGGCGTTTCAAGTCACGGCAAGTTGGGTAAAACTGACAAGTATTTTTGAAACTGAAAACGCCAAAAAGAGAATTTTTTTCAAAATTCACTTCTTCTAGAATCATCTTCTTAAATTGAACCCCTGCTAAAAAAAATTGAATTCTAGATACTCATTTTCCAATCCAATTTCCTTCAAAAAATACTGAAAGAATGATCGGAGATCCTCCAAAGTTCAAGCCCATCGGAACAACAGCAGCAGCAGCAGCAGTGCGTGTTTTCGCGTCCTCATTTTACCCAACTGTTTTGACCACTTTTTTCTTCGATTCGAGGCCAAGATAATGCAGAGAATAGTAGCAAGAGTCACATATACACCTGGATTTTCTTCTCAGGAAATAAATTGGCCAGAAAAAGGTTCTGAAACGCTTAATATAGCCAATTTCAAAGAATTCACGAAATAAGGCCAAAAAAAACGCCTTCTTTACAAGCTTCTGAAGACGTTTTTCTCAAAAACTAGAAACTTTTGCAGGTTGAAACTTTCAGAATCTTCCCTGGGTATATCAAAGGATATTCTTTCAGAAAATTCCAGGGTACAACGCTTAATATAGCCAATTTCAAAGAATTCACGAAATAAGGCCAAAAAAAACGCCTTCTTTACAAGCTTCTGAAGACGTTTTTCTCAAAAACTAGAAACTTTTGCAGGTTGAAACTTTCAGAATCTTCCCTGGGTATATCAAAGGATATTCTTTCAGAAAATTCCAGGGTACAAAGTAAAATGACCTCCTTGTAAGGAAAAGCCATTTTTCAAGGTAATTTTTTACACAAAAATCTTTAAAAACGGGTCACTCTCTTAATCAAGATGATAAATGATATTACCTTGCTACTGGCAAGCATACAAATGGCGAGGCAGGCGTAGTATCGAGTCAGGTCATCGGGTTGACTTGCCAACAGGAACAGCCAGTCGGGTACCTGAAAATGGATAATAATCCATTTTTTTGACGCCATGATCTTTTTTTTCCAAGAACCAAGAATCTCAGAAAAGTTCCACAAATTCCAAGAAAGAAGAAATTTCTATGAATAATAAGTAAGTTACAGTCAATCTCTCCAGGAACCATCTTTTTTCAGTTGAACTAGTTTTTCTAGTCTGTTACGATGAAACAAATCAGCTGGCAAGTGGAATGGCTCATTGCGTCACGGTCGCGTTGCGGTTGGAAAATACTCGATAGTGGAGCATTTTTTGGAAGTTTTTTTTTGTCAAACCCTCTTGTCCAAGGCTTTCCAATGTTTCTGGGCGAAAGTAGCTTCAGGTCAGGCGCAGTTCAAAGAAAGCTTCATAATAACTGAAGCAATGGGCTCTAAGGTGATAGGACATTTATAAAAGCTCGTTTTTTACCAAAAAACTTGGTAAAAAGCCGCTCATGACTTCAATTTAAATTGCGAGCCATTCCACGTGCGACCACGATTTTTCGAGTAGCTTATTTTCTTTCAGCTCTTCTCGAATTTTTCAATTTTTTCGTGACAGGACCGATCTCTCGAAAACACCTTGATCCTTTGAACTTTTGTGACAACCACTAAAGTTCAAAGAAAAGGAGCCCCCCAAATTTTTCTTTGCAAACAAGTACCTAACTAAAAAAAATTCCGGTTCTTTCTCATGGTATTTCGGTCAAATTCTCGGCTATTTTTAGTCCGTTGTTTTTGACGATTCATCGGCGCTGACCTACACATTGTTTTGAGAAACTCCAGATTGCCTTCCTACACGTTTTACATGTTGTTCTAGGCTCTCATGTACTAAAAAAAGGGGAGGGGTGCCTTTTTGATAATGCAAAAGTACGTTTGAAATTCTGGAAAAAAAAGGGAAGTACTTCGAAGCTCAAGTGACCACTACAGCAACTTATTATGGGTATCAAAAGTTTTCAAGAAAAAAAATTTTTTGATCCAAGCTCAAGTGATCACATAAGTGATTTTAAAAAAACCAAAAAAAACTCGTTAAAGCTTCAGTGGTCTCTCTCGTGACCTTTTAACGGGAATATCCAAAAACAGTACTTTTTTTTGCAAAAAGGTTCTCTTTTTTTCCAGGATATTCCCTTGAGCTGAAGTTTACCCTCCCTAGCTTTTTCAGAATTTCAAAAATAATTCTGATAATTTTTTTCATTCAGAACTATAACTATGATTGTTAATTATTCTTTGAAAAAAATTCGGGTATTTTTCTGAAAAAAATTCTAAAAATCTAAGGCTTGGTTGTAAAGCTCATTTGCGCGCTATTGGACTTCAAATTTTGAAAGAGTCGTGGAAAATTTGAATTTCAAAAGTTCTCCATTAAGCGCATTTTTTGATCATTCTCCTCTTGTCAATAGGAAAAAAAAAAGAATGAAAATAAATTTTCAGACCTCTTTTTTCAATGACAAACCCTCATAAAATAATCTTATCAATTTCTGAAATAAATAGGCCTAAAACAGTCCTATCGAAAATTTCAGCGACACGGTATCAGGAAGGCTTATTTATCAGCTATTGAAAATTTGAGTGGGTTGTGTCTTTGAAAACGTTACAGATCAAAAGATCAATAACACCAAAGAATCAAAAACAAGACCTTTTTAGGGGCAATTCCCTTCAAATCATATTTTTCAAAGATATTCCTTTTATGATATTTTCAAGACTAAATCTTGAAAATCGATTATTCAGGCCCAAAATTCGAGTTCTCTGATCTAAAAACTCGCCGCCCACGGCGAGTCAACCACAAAAAACAGAAATTGATCCGCTCAAAACCCTCAAAAAAACATATCAGTCAGACGGTCGTTCGACCCGTCACACACCCAGTCTTGTGTCAAGTGATCTCTCTAGTCACGTGGTCCGAAAAAGAGTCGAAAAGCTGTTCGTTTTTGCTTTTTGGTCTGATTTTGGGGGGTTTTTTTTCAATGAAACATTGGCAATTGGGGAAAGAACTTTTCAGGTTCCACTGAAAAATTTTCCTAAAAGACGTCTGAGAACCTTTTGAGCAGTTTTTTTCTCCTTTTTCTCAACTCGATCTGTTTTTTCTTGGGCTTTCTTGTAGCCTTAGCTTCCAGACTTTTAAATATCAGCCCTTTTTTTGAAACTTTTTTTAAAAAAACTGAAAGTTAAAAAGTTAAAAAAAGATTAGAAAAATCTTTATTTTTTTGAGCTATTGAAAAACTTTCAAAGACCTTCCTTTAACTTTTTTTTGAGAAAGATTCGGAATTCCTCACTATAAAAAGTTTTTTTAATGTTTCAAAAATCTGAATTTTTATGAGTACTTTTTTTGAGAAGTTCAAAAAAAGAACTTTGAAGTTTGGAACAAAAAAATGAGTTGATTAGTCCGTAGCCTTATCTTAGTAATTTTTCATAAATTGAAGTTCAAGGTACAAAATTTAAAGTACAGCTAGTCAAAAATTGACTAAGGCATTCATTTTTCAAATGACTTGCTATTTAGCTTTAAAAAAACAGCCAGATTCAAAATTTTTCTCTCATTTTCTTCTTGATTTTGTGAAACTTTCCGAGATAAAAGGCCTTTTTTCATTTAACTGATCTCTGTTTTAAATAAATCAACAACTATGAAATCGAAGACTGAAAGCTAAAAGTTTGAGTTCAAACCCTGAAAAAGGTCATTTTTTCGTTTCTGTTGTAAAGCGATAAGGTCAAGAGGAGCGGTAAGCGAAAACAGGAAACGATTATTATTTTTGAAAACAAATGGGGATTAACTTCGGATGTTGAACTTGACCAGTACGTAAACTGTAGATTCTGAAATTTTACGTAAACTGTGAACTCCGAACTTTAACAGTACGTAAACTGTAGATTTTAAACTTTTTATTCGAAAAATTGTGTTCTTTTGATGCTTTCCACCTTCGAGTTTAATACATTATACAGATCTAAGTTGAATTGAAAAAAACTCTAACTTTTTTTACAGGATTTTTTTCACGATCTAACTTTAATCCAGGTTACACAAATCACAAAAACTAGGCTACAAAATGGCTACAAAAAATGAAAATAATAAAATCTTCTAGCAAAATTGTTCGAAACTGGAAGTTCTGTTCATCTACAAACTGTTTCTCGAAAAAACTTCAAGTTTATTAAAAAGAAGGTCCAACTTCCATTACGAAAAATGCCTGGAATCTCTTTCTTCTTTTAATTTTTCAAGTTCGCTTCGAAAGATTTTTTTTCAAAGTCACAAAGTATCCAACACTTCAACCTGCATTAAGACTACAGAAATCACAAGGACCAAGCTACAAATTGTCGAAAAACAATGGAATCAATGACACCCTCTGTATGAGAGTTAAAAAACTTTTAGCAAAAGTTATTGAAAGTGAAACATCTGTTCATCTACAAACTGTTTCTCGAAAAAACTTCAAGTTTATTAAAAAGAAGGTCCAACTTCCATTTCGGAAACGCTGTAAATCTCTACCTTCTTTTAATATCTTCAAGTGCTTCAAAATTCTTTGATTCAAAATCACAAAGTATCCAAAACTCCAACCCGCATAGAGACTACACAAATCACAAGAACTAGGCTACAAGATGGCTACAAAAGGTTGTGTTGAACCCTTTCCAGACCATAATGTGTCCTTTTAGCGCCGCCGCCCGACACAACGTTAATCACATCGTCAAATACAAGTCAGACACTGTCGGCTTTTCCGAAATGGTACAATCTTTTTCTATTTGGGGGTTTGAGATAATGATAGGAATTATGGAGGAAGAGATGAAAAGGGAAAAAAAAACATGGTTCAAATGTAATGTCGGGCAGAAAGGGGAACATACTTTTTCCAAGGATTTATGAATTTAGCTGAAAATTTCTGACCTAGCCATCATGATCTACCGTTCCGAATAAAGCGAAAAAATTTTCTAACAATGCTCTTGAAAATGATTATAATCCAGTCCTTCTTCACTAGGATGATTAAGTTAGGATTTCACCTTTTTTTTTTAGGTTCAGGATTCTTTTTCCTAGAGCATAAATCTTGGAAAATTCATAATTTCAGTGGAAAACTTCTGATCAACGCCACCATTATCTACAGTTCTGAATAAAGCAAAACTTTCTCAAAGATTCTCAAAAAATAATCTCAAAAATCTCAAAAAATGATTCAAATCCAGGCCATCAACGCCTTCTGTTACTTGGATGATCAATGTAGAAAATGTGATTTCTTCGAAATTTCAGGAATTCTTTCCTAGATCTGAAAATTGGCTTTAAAAAAGCCTACATTTAAGGTTTATGAAGCTAAAGGCTATAAACTTGTTCTTTCCATTTTTTTTTCTTCAAACATTAAAATTAGACGATCAAAGCTTTTTTAGTCGTTTCGGCATGAATTGAGGTACTAGATAACTATAACTGAATCAATTTTAAACAAGGCTGATATATCAAAACCACTTATTTTCGACCTTAGAAACACTGTAAGAATCGAAATTTTCTAAAAATTCAGCAAAAATGATAAAAATGTACCTTCTTCTGGATGATCTTCTTTTTGCCCTCGGAACAGGTGTAGAGGGCCAGGTTGGCCAAAGCCAATGCCGCATGTCGAAGTGTATCCGGAGTTCCAGTCGCCCTTTTGCACGTGAGGAGGATGTGGTCCAGTACTCCGAATTCGATCAGACTGTAAAGAAAATGAATTTGTTTCACAGTCCAAGACAGGGAAAAGTAACGTTCTTCTTCTTTTTTTTTGTTGAGGCTAACTTTTTTAATAGGAAAAAATGACAAAATTTCCTTTAAGGACCTTTAGAAAATGCTGAAAAGGTTCGCTGAAGGCTCTTAAAAAGCTGAAAAGGTTCGGCTTACGGCCCCAAAATCGACGAGGAAAAGTTCTTGAGCACCTTTTTCAGAGCCTCAAAGGGGCATTTTTGAACTTCCTGGAGCCTTTTTTTAGTTCTCTTACAGAATCTTTTCGTTAAAGGATGAAAAAAGTTGACAAGGGAAGTCGTTTTGATTTAGGAACCCCCTGAAAATTGGCCAGAATATTTCTTGATGCACCAGAAAGAGATTCTGAAAGTTTCAAACTGCACACCTTTCTAGTTCTACAGAAATAAGGAGGCCCAAAAAAGCTCATTTTAATGGATTTTGAGCGTTTTCTTCGACTTTGAGGCGTCTTCTCTCAAAAAAGAGGAAATTTTTGCAGGTTGAGACTTTTATGACCTTCTTCTGGTACATCAGGGGGCATTCTGGCCAATTTTCAGAGAAATCCTAATCTCAAAGTTAAATGACTTTCTTTGTGAGGGCCCTTGGAAGACATTTTTTTAAGCTTTTAGTGAGCTTTTCCGTTTTCCGAGTAAACATAGACAAAAATTCAAAAGAATAATAACTCTACAAGTCTTTTTTTGCCACTGAGAAATCGCCCGAATATTCCTGCAAAAAGATCCTGAAAGACTCGACCCTCGTTTTTCGATAAAGGACACCTCAAAGTCAAAAAAACCCCTCAAAATCCGTTAAAATAGGTCATTTTGGGCCTAAAATACGTTCAAAAAGGCAAAATGAGGGCTTTGAACCTTTATTACTCGAAAATGAGGAAGTTGAGGAGCTTGAGACTTCCAGAACCCTTCTCTGGTACATCAAGGAATGTTCTGGCCAATTTTCGAGAATCTCCCAGCAAAATGACCTCCCTTGTGAGTGTAAAAATCAAGCTTTCCAAAAAAATCACAAGATGATACGCACATGACCGCCAATATCTTAACAAAAAGCCGACGTGACATTCTTGAGTCCCGCCGCGCGGCTTCTGCCTTTGAACTTTTGCCAAAAAAGGCCCCCCAAAGGAAACGTGTTCCCCTCGAATGTCACCACAGACACAGATTACATGGAAAACTACTGAGGCGCAAAATGATTCGGACGGGTTTTTGTTCTGCTGTTGAGTGAGACAAAAAGTACATTTCCGGGTTTGTTTCGGTGATAAATTTTGTGCTAGTAGGAGGCGAAAATAGTCACGAGGAAGGAATCCATTGAAAGTTGGCCAGGAATTTCCCAGACATTATTCCACCTCAAAAACTTTACTTTTTGAGAAAATATTGCTCAAAGCTGAAAAAATTACCTCAAAGACGTCACACTGCTGTGTTTGAAGAGGCTTTCCATAAGTGATAAACTCAGCCGTTGTTGGTCCGGGTTTTTTGTCAATTTCATCGCCGTTCCCATCATTTTCTTCATATAGCTCTGGAAAGATCGATTTCAATACAGAACTATAGCATTTTTAAATAATAAACTAAAAAAAAATATTTTTCTCTTTTTTTTTGGGGCTTTTTTGCCTGTTGGGATACTGTATAAAACAACTTCGAATTAACATTTTTAGAGAAAATTTTGAAATTTACGATTATTTCAACGCTTCAGCTTCGAGAACCTTGTTTATCTTAAAAAAATATATTTCTGAAAAAAATATTTATTTGAAAAAAATTCAGTAAGGCTTTTGAACATATTTTTTTGAAGTTCAGGAAAAAAATATAGCTTGGAACTAAGATTTATAGAAGAAAATCAGTGAGAAAATATCGAATTTTGGATTATTTTTGATGCTGCATCTTTCAAAGACCCTGAAATCCAAAATATAAGGATTTCATAACTTGAAAAAAAAATTGTTGAAGGAAAAAATCAACAAAAAATCTCAAAAAAAGCTCTTTTTTTATCTTCCTGTTTTAGACCTGAGTAAAAAAATGCTATCGCTGGAAAAAACCAATCTCACTTTAAATAACTTTTCGGAAACGTATTTCACCTTGTTAACGATGAAGTCCCGATTGCTGCTCGACATGCACTCCTCCAGAACCTTCCCACATGCTAGTCGTACTGGAAAAACTTGAATAATTTCACAATTTACAGAAAAAATAATAATAATAAGTCGAAAAGAGAGCGCGAAAAAAAAGTCAATCATAAAGATTTGATCTACAAGGTCAGACAGGTCAGAAAACGTTGTGGTGAGTCAAAAAAAAGTTATTTTTTTGAAAAAATAAAAGAAACTCGAGTTTTCCCCATCTTTTTTGAAAACATTCTCACATTTTTAAGGATTTCCGAACTCTGAAAAGGCTTGAAAAGAATTGAAATGACCAAATGAAGATTTTTGATGAAAAATCGTTCATTTGCGAATTGAGCTGTTTTTTTGTAATTTGTTTGAAAAATAAGATTTGGAAATTGTTGCTGAAACTCAAATATCTTTTTCCAGTGTGAATTCAGTTTTTTTGTTAAGGAAGGATTTTATTTTTTTAAGTGAAATTCCCTACTTCAAATTTATCCCTTTTTAAAGTGTTATCATTTTTTTGGAAGCTCTCGCCAAGATTTGAAAAAAAGTGCTCAAATAATTTTTTTGTGGTATAAAAATGAAGTTTCGTTTGATCTTTATGTATAAGTTGGGCAGTGTAAACCTCATTTTTTTAGGAGAAACTGTGTCTTTCTTTTAACAACTTTATCACTTTTTTTCAAAAAAACTTCAAGCTTAGAAACTTTATTTATTATTTCAAAACCTTCAAATTTTTGAAAAATCACCTGGTTCACAGGTAGCCGAGCCGATGAACAGCTTGATGAGCTTGTCGAAATATTCACGATCCCGCAAGTAATCGCAGAGGGCGGATGATAGGTCATGGGAGACTTTCGGCGTCGTCCAGGCCTTCTTCATCAGTTTGGCGATTATTGTGCAGCCCTAAATATTTCAAAATTGTTTTCTTATAGACCTTTTTGAGCTAAATTCCAGTCTCTTACATGTTCAGTTGTGGTTTCTTCAAACTTTTTACTTTTTTTTATGAAAAAAATTTTATAAATGTCCAAACGCCTCAAAGCCGCCTTCGGTGTATACACTGTTTCCACCTACAGTACGCCAAAAATGTGCCTTTTTTTCAAAGTTTCAAAAACACTAGCTTTTTCCTGTAAGGAAGACCTACTTGGCCGAATTTCAAACTTCTGGCATTTTTGAAAACTTTTTCTTATACTAAACTCAGTTCTCTGGACGTTCCTATTGTATTTCTTCAAATATTCATATTTCTCATACAAAAACCCTTTTTTGATGATTACTCTAACAAAAGTTGCGGTGCACCCCGCGTTGAACTCTCCTGTACACCCCGCAGTGTAACCAGGGGTGCACCGAAAAGTCCAACGCGGGGTGCACCGAATCCTCATTTTTTTCAATTTTTTTGCTTCTTGCACTTTTTAAAAATACCTTTATACTTCTATATCCCATATATATCATCAATTGAGACCACTTTTTCAATTTATATGTTTTATTAAATGATAAATCACATAATAAGACAATGAAACAAAAATAAAAACAAAAAAATTACAGCGAATAAATAGGGAATTTGAACAATATTCGAGGATAGACAATTTCATTTACAAGATTTATAAAGAAAAAAATAACAACGTTTACAAAAATTTGAGAAAGAAAAAAAGGTCTCTAGAGCTGTTTTCTGCGCCTTCTCCCCTTTTTTTTCTAAGCATCTAGCCAACTTTAGACCAAAAATCGTGAGAGCATGTTAAAAAAAGTAGACATAAATCGAAAAAAATTGATAGAAACTGAAAAATTAAATCAGGAGAAAGAAATTGAATAATAAGAGAATACAACAGAAAGAGTGGATAGTACTGAAGAAAAATTAGGCAAAAAAACAGAACAGGCTTCATAACACTTACAAAGTTGACTGGTAATATTTAACACATGATTTCCGAGAAATTTTATGAACTGGGAAATTAATTGGTACAATAATTTTGAAAAATTATGATTTTTTTGAGCATAAATTCATATCACATACTATTAAACCTTTTTTTATTTCAGGCACCGAAACGCTCCGCACACTTTTTAGAGCTACTAAGACAAAATTACTGTAAGAAGCTAACTTTTTTTCCTCGTAAAGCGTTTCTGCTTCTAAAATGTCCTTTGGAAACATCAATTGTGTTGGCAAAATGACGACTTCCGCAGTTGTTATAGCTCTATAAAAAAACCGGGACCTCAGATGGCCTTGATTTTTTTATACACTAAATTTTTTTATACGGAGCTTTTCGGTACTTGTTTACATGAGTTTAAAAAAATTTTGCATAGTATCTTTGATATGAACTTCAGCTAAAAAAATCTTTTAAAATTATTCATCAAAAATTATCACCAACGTATATTCGAAAATTTCGGAGAACGTGTGTTCAAATTTTTTTAAAACATTGTCAGTATGTTTTCTCTTTTTTTCGAACGATACTTAAAGATGGAAATTATTTTCATAGCGAGCTAGATGTGAATAAAAAACGTCGGAAAAGCTGAAAAAGGATAAGTTGTCCAATTTGATCTTTTGACTTGTGCCAACTTCACGTTAAGCCTTCTCTAAACATATTCACTAAGAATAACTGCCAAGATAAACGCGATACACTGGCGGTTATCGACAAACTCGCAAAAAAATGTCGCATTTTTTTCTCGGCGCGACCTTGCATTTCGAACATTTTCAAATTGCGAGAGAAATGCGAGCTCGCGCCCAGAAAAATGCGAAACCGGCGAGAGAGTAGAACCTAGTGTTTGCGAGTTCGTCAATGTTGATTCCAAATGTGTTCTCAAAAACTATCGCGGATGTCTGGGAAAAAGTTACGGACCCTCAAAGCGGATAATTTCACTGTCTCCGCTTGAGCTTATTCTTGGAGGACATATAGATCTTGACCCTCTGGTCTCAAAAAAGCTTTTATTTTCGAAAAAAAAACTTTGGGCGTATTCTAAAGCTCCGCACATGATAAGAGAATGCGCGCGCGCGGTTTTCTCATATCTGGGCTTCAAAAATTTTTGAAAAAAACAGTAATTGGTTTTATGTTGTCAAAGGGACAAGATCTATAACCTCCAAAAAATGAGCGCAATCGGGGAAAAATGAAGTTTTCGACTTTTGAGGGTACATAACTTATTTCCCAAATTTCCGCGACCGTTTTCGAAAACCAGATTTTTTTGATAAGCGTGAAAAAAACTATGTCTAGAAAAACTTGGTCTCATTCCGATGCCCCACTGCGACTAGAGACCATTCCCTGGTATATTTCGACGAAATTCGCGAAGATTACTAGCATAGTCAGTTCAAAAATGAATCAATTATTTTTTTCAAACTACGCGCTCTTAAAAAAATTTAATTTTTTTCGTCTGCTAAAAAAAGGACAAACTCTTCCAATGTCAACTATTCAAACTTTTCATCAGCTATTAAAGAACAAAAACAAAAAGAATAAAAAAAGTAACGGCTAAGTTACTCTGCTCCCCTTATTCGACTGCACTCCTTCTGTTTGTCATGAATCAGGATCAAGTCGTACGGCTATCTGAAATTAATACAAAACTAAAATGCAAAGCTTTAAAAAAATTACCTTCATATTATATGCGTTTTCTCTCTCTTCCTCGATGGTCATAAATTTATTCTCTTCAAATGAACCTGAAACGCATCACAAATAATCGCGAAAAAGTTAGCGAAACAAATAAGTTTAAAAAAATATTTACTTTTAAGAACAAACCGTTTTTTTCAACTAAAAATCTACAATAGTTTTTTTAATTTTGATAGTTTCTCAAAAAAATTGCTTGCTGGACTCGAAAAAAATTGAAAAAAATATGTCGAGGCAAAAAAATAATTTTGGCTTTGCAAGATTTCTGCACATTTGAAAGACTCAAAAAAAGCATTTTCCAGCGAACTATTTAGCAAAAATCAATGCGCAAGCCTTGATTACCTGACAACTTAAAAAAATGAAATGTTCAATACAGCTTTTTTTAGACTAAATTGAACAAAAAAACCTTCAAAAAAAGGTTGGAATAAAAAAACCGATTCGAAATGTTCAATTCAAAAAGTTACATGAGCTTTTTGGAAGCAAGATTACTTTTTTTATCCATCATTTCCAGAAGTTTGCGATCGAAAAAAATATAATTAAACAACGAATTTTGTATTTCAAAAAAATGTCTCAAAAACATTTGCCAATAAGAATAATAATAATAAGAAGAAACTCATATGAAACTACTTCCATAAACTCACTAGTAATGTTAAAACATCGAATAATAGAAAAAAACACGAAAAAGCGAGTGATAATAAATTAAAACAAATAAAAAAACAAATGAAAACTTCAAATTTCGTAACTTGAAATTTGAAAAAACACGTTTTTTTCGGAACATCGTTCCAGATGACTGAGGGGTGCACCGAGTTTTCAAATTTTCGGTGCACCGAAAACATCAACGCGGGGTGCACCCAATCGCGCTGAGTTCAACGAGGGGTGCACCCCGATAGCCGGTTCGACGCGGGGTGCACCGCAACTTTTGTTAGAGTAAGAACCGCCTTCGGTGAATGCACAATTTCACCCTACAGTATTCCGATCCGATTTTTTTTTAATTGACAAGAAGTTCAATAAATACATCCAGGCACAAAAAACTTCTTTCGCTCAAAAACCGCCTTCGGTGAATGCACAATTTACAAGTACAGTATGCCAAATTGAACGAATCAAACCTCAATAACTTTCTCGTCCGACGATTGCATGATGAGCTCAAAGGCGCGGTCGACGAAACTTTGGTACTTGGATAGTTTCGTCTTCAAAGTGTGCATCATTGTGACTTGCTCCGTGTGGGAATGCTTCGTTATTGGCGCCGGATGGACGACCGAATCTTGCTGGAAATTCCGGAGTGAATAACTTTTGAAGACCTTTCCAATATAGTCTGTGTACCACGACTCGGAATTTCACGGAACGACATTCCGCTGTGCCGCTGTGCGTCTTTGCGAACTTTGGTCGCGCTTTTGATTTTTTTTTTCCTTTCATTAAGGTACTCTACTTTCATGTGCTCCCATAACAATCAATTGAAAGCGTGGCCTAGATTCTAAAGACGCTTCGCGAACGCACGCAGTGGAACAGCGGAATGTCGTTCCGTGAAATTTCAAATCGTGGCAAACAGCCTATATCTATTTTTTTGAAAACAACCGAATCTTGCTGAAAATTTCCAACTTCGACCTTTGAATATAATATTGTCTTTGACCATCTTGAGAGAGATTCACGTTGTTAAAGTCCAATTTTTTTATAAATAAAAAAATGTTCAACAATTATTAATTTTTTTGAAAGACGACTGAATCTCATTGAAATTTCTGGATGAACTCGAACTTCTGAACTTTAAAAATAGGAAAAACTTGAATTTTAATGGTTTTTGTAAAAAGTAATGAACTCTCAAAAATATGCACTTTCAGTTCGACCGAAAACAAAAAAATGCTTGGAATTGAGAACTTTTCTAAAAAGAAACTGAAGCTGGAAACTGAAAAAAATCTTCTTTTTGTAAGTCATCGTTTTCGGTTACATGTCGAAACTAACTTTTTTTCTCAAGTTTTAAATAGATCTCCCCCTCTCTCTTATTCTCACACCCATATCCTCACCTGCATCAAGCTAAACCGAGTCGTGCTCCGCCTTTGATCCACTATCGGGGAAAGTTCCTCAATGGGGACATCTGGGCCGCCTTGGGGCAAATTTGCTCCAGCCGATGAGCCTTCCGACTGAAAACGATCATTTGAAAAATAATTCACGTTCTCCTCTCGTTTTATTTTTCCAAAAGCTTTGAAAAAAAATGAAACCATGATTTCTATCGATTCAAAAAAATCCGTTTCCGTAAAAAAGTTTGCTAAATCTTCCACCTTAAACCGCCGATATTCAGAATCCTTCCGAATCGTCGTCGGATCTTCACAAGGCGTCGATAAGGACTGTTGGAGTCGACATTCGGCGACAGCCACCATCTAAAAATTGACTTTTAAGCTTCTTTTGAAAGATATTCGCCAGGAAACCGGTTTTTTAATCAAAAATCATGCAGTCCCACAGTACAGTAAATTGCCTCGTATCAGAAAAAAAAAAAACGAATTTTGAAGCTTTTTTCAAATTTTCTCTGAGGATTCTGGTCCAAATAAGTGAAAATTATACGTCTTTTTCCTTTTAGACAGATTATAAAGTCTCAAAATTAGAAATATATCAGAGCAAAATTAGAAATTTTTCAGCGTCTTCAGGACGTTAAGACTCGACTAAAAGCCAAAAGACGTCAAATTTTCAGAATCAGAATTTTCTAAAGAGCCTCTCAGCGAAATTTTATGCAACTGTATATTTTTCCCCGGCCTCGGACCTTGGTAAGGCGAACCGAGCACGCCCTGATAATTTCTAGCAACCACTCTAGGGACTTCAGTATTCTTAAGTGATCCCTAGAAGTGCTCAGAGACGTCCTGGGCTTTCCCCAAAAAGTTTTAGCGTCTTCAAGACTTTAAAACTCGAAAAAAGCCAAATTCGTGAAATTTCTATATCCAGAATTTTTTAGGGGACGTCTCAGTGAAGCCCTGATCGCATAGGCGACTCCAGCCCTTTTAAGTGATCCCTAGAATTGCTCAGAGACGTCGGGGCGCTCCCCAAAAAGTTTTTAGCGTCATCAAGACGTGAAAACTGGAATAAAAGCCAAAATTTCTAGATTCAGAAATTTCTAGAGAGCATATCAGTAAAGTTTTATCAAACTGTGTCTTTTTGCACCGCCTTAGGCCGTGGTAAGTGAAACGAACACGCCCTGATCATTTCTAGTGACCACTTTAGCAACTCCAGGCCTCTTAAGTGACCCCTAGAATTGCTCAGAGACGTCCGGGGCGTGTCCGGTTTTCTTTACCGAAGTTCAAGGCCCTTGTTAGATAGAATTTCGAAAATTTAATGGACTTTCTTCCATCTCTCAGATCTTCAAATTATTCCTAACCTTATCAAAACCGAATCAAAACTTTCAAAAAACCCAGAAGGGAAACATGAAAAAGCAACACTGAAAACCGGGAAAAAGCAGTGACTCCCACGCAAAAATCCCACGAAAAACGGGTCAACACTTTTGTGTACATTGGATCGTCCAAAAAGGAGGTCTTTCTCTGTTTTCGAAAAAAAAAATGCGCATGGGCAATGAAGCGAAAGAGCCGAGAGAATTTGCACAAAAGTCCGGGAAAAGACCAATACAGTGACTCATAATTTATTTTTGCGACTGATGACGTCAAAAAAATATGGACTTTCCTGTTCGACTGTCTAGCGGACTTTTTTTAAAATGAAATTGATTGAATTAATTTTTTTTTCTAATGTTAAATACACGCAGGGAATAAACTATTATTAATATATTCGATTTTTGTGAGAAGTCTCACCAGGTCAATTTTGAAGGGCTTCGTCTTCCGAAATGACTTTTTTTGAACTTCAACCCCTTTTTTTTTCCAATTTTTTTCTATTTAACTCAATTTTTTTGTGTCATTTCTAGAGGGCCTTGTATCAAAAAAAGAACTCGACGGAATTCTTTTCCTAAATTTATTTCTGGTCGACTTTTTTTTTCAATAGAATAATTTATTTTTTTAATAAAAAAATTTTTTTGAATTCTCTCTAGCAGACTTTCTGTCAGAAAAAAATAATTACTCGACCAGATTAAATTTTTCTGTGAAGCTGGTCAGTTTTCCGAACCCTTTTTTTACTCAAACCACTGATTTTTTTCTGATTTTTTTCAGATTGAGCAAACTTTTTTTGATTATTATTTTCTGATAACCGATTTTTTTCCCTCCAATCATACCTCTGTTCTGACAAGTCGAAAAATTACTTTAACCAGGCAAATTTGGAAAAAAAAGCATATTTCTGACGATTCCAAATCTTCTCCATCAAAATACATACAAAAATTTCATTCAGAAGTCATTTTCGCTCCAAAAAGGAAAAAAAGCTTCTTTAATCGAATAAAACCTAAGTTCGGTGAATAGTCAACTATCTGTTCGCCAAATTGGCATGCCAGGCGATGGGAAAATCGTAAAAGCTAGGGGAGATATAAAAAACCAGAAAAGAACAGTCAGAAGAAAAATCTGTTGAGAAGAAATAGCCGATTAAAAAAAGGGACGTTCGCTCCACGGATAAAAAAAAAATGAAAATGTATGATTTGAGTGAAATTTTCCGCTTCATTATCATCAAGAATGCACTCATCAATTCAAAATATCATCCAAAAACTTGTAAAAGAATAGAGAAAATTATCAATGAACTAATTTTTAATTTTAAAAGTCTCGAATTTATGAAATGAAGAATTTTTCAAGAGCAAAAAAGGTTCCTTCAAAACGAAAAAAAATCTGAATATCTTTTCAATCTCTGTGTTCTACTCATCTCGGGTCCTAACCATTTTCCAACAACTTTGCTTGTTCCAATTAAAAATCTGCAAATAATTGTTCGCCAAACTGGCTAACAATGAGAACTAGGCTTCGCCGAATCAATCATTTTGGCTAGACTAGACTACGGCAGCAAGAATTGACAGATTCCTCGGTTCATAGTATGGTCAAGTCGTTTTTTAAGGATCAAAAAATGGTTTTTTACTTTTCGATATAAGGACAGTATTCATTCCAAGGAACTTCCCAAACTCATAATTATTGCGATTCGTTAAAATACTCATTAGAAAATGCAATAATGCAATAAAAAATAGTTCGATGGGAACTTCTTTTACATAAAAAGAATACAGAAAGGCGAGTCAAATTTGAAAAACTCATAAATAATCAAAAAAAGATTATACAATTCTCTACCAAAAGTTAAAAATTCTTAATTTAAAGGCATAGGGGCAGTAAAAAAGGGGGTTTCAGGTGAAAGCAGTATATTATATAGTTTTTCTTTGCGAATCGAATGGTGTACTCAAAAAAATTAAAGATGTGACAACTTTAGAAGAAAAACGCGATTTTACTTTCCCGCCTTTAATTTTGAAAAAAGCTTTGGATCGGTATGCAGACAACTGATTACAGTAGCCGTGCACGCGATGTTGCGGACGTGTTATTAGACTCGCATTTTGTGAGAAATAACCGGATATCTGCTTCAAATTAAAGATTTCTTCTCTGAAAAACATTTAGTCAAACAAAAAACACACATTGATAATAAAGAAAAACACAAAAATATCGCTATCCCAATCGAAACCTGGGTAAAATCATCATTTTTCACCAAAGAAGCATTTTTGCGATCAAAGTTTGCAAATTATACATGAATAGAAAGTTTTTGTGACGAAAAAACTTTGGGGACAACAGAAAAAATTGAAAATTGAAAGAAACGAAGAAAAAAGCGAAAATCCGGAACTTGGCGAAGCCTGTTGTCCATTGAGCAACTTTACTGCAAAGCGCCCTTTTCGCGGGAACTCAAACTTTCCTTTCTCCGACTTTGAATTATTTTTTCTTCAAAACTAGGAAGTTTGGTACGTTTTCAAGTTCACTGTTCAATTCGCAATGAAAAGCTATACAAAGTACTGTTTTGAACTGAAACACCGTTTTTTACTGCCCCTATGCCTTTAATTGAAATGGATTTTTTTCCTGCGTAACATATCATTGAAAAAAATGTTAGATATCACTAAAATTTAAAAATGGTTTGATTGTGCTCGGACCTCTGTAACGCAAACCGGACGCATCCCGGACGTTTCTGAGCTTTTCTAGTGACCACTTTAGGGCCTTCATTAATAATATTATTTATTTACAGGCAGAAAAAAATAACATATACAAAAAAAGAAGGAAAAAAATTGGCATTCAAGCCTGAAATAAATAAATAAAAAGTTTTTTTCATTATTCTTAATTCCTATAAGAAACGCCAAAAAAACGTCCAAATGGACTAAATCTTGTAACTAAATAAATAAAAAAACAGGGAAAAACACTATTTCTTAAAAAAATCATTTCCTCCTTTCTTTTCTATTTTTTTCATTTGAACAATATACCTTTTTTTAAACTTCTGATCATAAAACTAACCGCAGCCGACGTAGCCGGAATGATGCGACACGTGTGCAGCAGATCATCGCAGTGGAGGGTCGGCGTTGTCGTCGTGCTCAGCGACACGATATCGCCGTTCTGGCACGCGATCGTCGGCTGCTGGAACTTCAATCATTCAATCAAATCAAAATTTTTTTTTCTAACACACAAGTAGTAGAATTCATGAAAGAGATGTAGGGAGAATTTGGGATTTCTCGATTTTTCATCTTCCTGATTTTTCACAGGAGAACGATCCTTCTTTGTAGAGAATCGACCTCGGAGTTCCATTTGAAGGAAAGCCCGCTTCGGCCAAGTTATTGATGAAATTTTCCAGATAAAATCAACATCAAAACCACTTTTTTATGCAAAAAATTCAGCTCAATATCACTACAGCAGTTTTCTAGGCGGCTCTATTTATGTTGAGATCGAAATTCCGGCCTAAAAAATTTTAAAAACTGAACTTTTCTGATCCCTTTTTCGAAAAAAACTCCTATTTTACAATAAATACTTCTAAGTTTCCAACGAGCCATCTTCTCGTTTCTAAATTAGTCCTAACAAGACTTCAATAAGTTATTCTTTAAAGTCTCTGGAAGATTTCAATTCATTTTCTACATTTTTCATCATTTTCAGGTTTTGCGCGGCTCCAGGGTGCCCCGTTGGCAGCTCTGAATAAATTCCTACCAAACTAGTAAATAATCAAAGCTTTTTTCTCCACTCAAAAACTATTTCACTTCATTAATCTCATTTTATCTTTCTCCAATCGAACCTGCGAGGTGATGGGACAAGGAGGCGCCGATTTTGGCGGCAGGGGAAGGGAGACTCCTGAGGTCGAACTCGGCGAGTTGGGTGATGACGGAAGGGAGCATTCGTCGTCGTCGAGCTCGAAAAACGCGTCATCTGTTCTGAAACATCGAATTTTTTTGATTTTATTTGAGGGTTTCATTATAATTTTAAGAGATTTTCTTCAGAAGGAGGGTCCTCATTTCTGTATGAATCTTCGAGTTTTTACAAAGGGGGCTTTTATTTATTTTTCTCCTCTCTATCCAGAACCGTTTTCCATAAAAGTTGATAAAAATTCTTGGACTTTTTGCGTCTCTTACCGACCCAGCCATTCCAAATGCGGACTTAACTCCACGGTAGAAGTTTCGGGAACAATATCCGAAATTTTCTTCCCCCATACGTCGGCTGGATCCCACCCCGGGGTGCGGCCTACCCCCCAAAAAGTGCGGCCTACTCCAGTACATTTTCAAATTTTTTTTTCGCGCGCAAAAGGCTGGGGTGGGATCCAGCCGATGTATGCCCCCTTCCCTAAACTATTTCTTCAAAAATTTTCCGGTCTTTAGTCATTTTTCCCAAATTTTCTAACACTCATGTCAATACACCCACCTTCAATTTTTCTATTTCATTTTGAAAACCCCTCTCAGAACTAAAAAAAAAAGCCTTCCAATATTTGCCAAACGAACCCCATATCACCACATATCGCTAGTATATTGACCTTTTTTCTTACGTATGTTGTCTAAACCAAACTTTTTTCTTAACCTGGGTAGGCACATATTTGTCGAAAGCTTTAGGATTGTTAACCGTAAGTGAGCCTAGGTTAATTGGGAAGAGAAAAAAAGGATTATCAACTTTTTGAGAGAACTTTGGTGATGGAGAGTCCGTAATTTGGTTCTAAGAAACTAGAAAAAATGAGAAAATCATTCAAATTTTTCAAATCAAATGAAAACGGCTTAACAAAATTAGTTCAAATAAACTTCTTTAGGTCAAAAAAAGCCTATCATATAAAATCTTCTGGAACATACTTGAAAGAAGTTGAAGAATATTTTTTTAGAAAAAAATTCAACGCCCCCATTTCTATTATATCACTCATATCACTTGTGCGTCAGAGCGTACTTCCACGTTATTTTTCCTTTTTTTCAACATTACCCACTTGATGATCAAATTGTGTATGTTGCGCATGGCAGAAGCCTTTTCCGGAGCCAAAAAAGCCGGAATTTTCCCTTTTCGGTGGTCTGAGACGACAACAAACAGATCAATGAACATGAAGATGAACGAAAAATCGATCGAAAAGGAAAAAAAAAAAATAGAAAATTTTCGACACGACAGCCACACACAAGCTGAGCACACGACTGAGTTGTCGGCTCGCCGCCGAGCCGATAAAAAAAAAAGAAAAAGAGCAAAGAAGAGCCAAAAAGTTAGTGGCATGTTGCATTTTTAATAACTTGATCCTTTCAAAAAAAATTCTAACGTTAAGAAATGATCAAGTAACTTTTAGTGCATTAATCGCTGACTTATATAATGAACAAAACAGTGTGAAAAAAAGAGACTTAGACGTCTAGGTCATTTCAAATAAAATAGCCTTCAAGTAGTGAGAAAGTGTGCTCCGTTGCTAACTTTTGAAAAAAGGATGAAATTCGGCTTTTTGAGTTTTTTTTGCAAGGGTCGAATTTTAGAAAAATCGCCTTCAAGTAGTGAGAAAGTGCGCTCCGTTGCTAACTTCTGAAAAATTGACAAAATTTGGCTTTTTGGGGTTTTTTTGGAGGCGGTCATTTAAAAAAAAAATAGCCTTTAAAAAGTAAGAAAGTGCGCTCCATTGCTAACTTTTGAAAAATATGGCAAAAATCGGCTTTTTGAAATTTTTTTTGCAGGCGTTTCGAAAAAAATCGCCTTCAATGAGTGAGAAAGTGCGCTCCATTGCTAACTTTCGGAAAAATAGGGCAGAATTTGGCTTTTTTTTTTTTTTTGCAGGCGGTCATTTTTTAGAAAAAAAACAGCGTTCAAGTAGTGAGAAAGTGCGCTCCGTTGCTAAATTTTTAGAAAAATGGGCCGGAATTCGACTTTTTGAACTTTTTTTTTAGAAAAATATCCTTCAAGTAGAGAAAGTGTGCTCCACGGCTAACTTTTGGAAAAATGGGGCAGAATTTGACTTTTTTCGTTTTCGAGCTTCAGCTGAATAAACTATAACTCAGAGCCTCAAATAACTTCCTAAACTTGAAAAAAACCTTATTCGAAGTTCGATCTTGTAATAGAAACTTGGAAACTCCAAAAAAAGAAGGATTAGAAAGATTGCTTCAGTATCGAAAAGCGAGGCCGGATCGAACTTTTAATAGAAAACACATCCAAAGAAGGGAGGAAAAATAGGAACGGATATCTCGTTTCCCGTGCAGCTGAAGCGTCAGAAAACGATTCCAAAGTGTCGGCGACGGGAAATTGAACGGCAAATTAGTGTTATCCGCCTTTTATGAGTAACATGAGGAAGTTTTGAGGTTACAAGATCACAAAATGTTTGCAAAAAAAAATTGTAGTTGAACTTTTTCTGTTTTTTGTTTTAAGATATTAGAAAAAAAAATTTTTTTTGACGCAAAAGGCTATCAAATTTTCTCAATTTTTCCTCAAAGCCTGAAGAAAAATAAAAACATCTTCTTATTTTTATCCGTAAACCAAGATTATTTCCTTCGAAAAGTACAGAAAGCCCATTTTTCCGAGGATAATTCGCCCCAATGCTAAAAACACTGAAAAATTATGCCTAAATTATCCAAAAGCTCTAAAAAGCGATGAAAATGCGCTCCACTGCGAAAACTTGCAAAAAGTCCATAGTCTACTAAAAATTTACCTCCAATCCTGAAGAAAATAAGAAATCTTTCAATTTTATCTTTAAAAACAGATAATTTTCTACACAAATTACAGAAAGCCTATTTTTCCGAGGATAATTCGCCCCAATGCTAAAACACTGAAAATTATGCCTAAATTATCCAAAAGCTCTAAAAAGCGATGAAAATGCGCTCCACTGCGAAAACTTGCAAAAAGTCCATAATCTACTAAAAATTTACCTCCAATCCTGAAGAAAATAAGAAATCTTTCAATTTTATCTTTAAAAACAGATAATTTTTTACACAAATTACAGAAAGCCAATTTTTCCGAGGATAATTCGCTCCAATGCGAAAATACTGAAAATCATCCCGGAAAACATCCAAAAGCTCTAAAAAGCGATGCAAATGCGCTCCACTGCAAAACTTTTAGAATCCACCAGAAAAAGCCGGAAAAAAGCAATACATCCTAGTCAAGAGCCCCTCCTGAAAATACTTCAAGATAGGGGGAACGGAATTGCAAATTGAAAAAGAAGATTAAACGAGGGTCTGGCGAAAAGAGCAGGATGGACAAGTGGATTAGTCAGGGCGGAAAGAGGAAATTGAGAGTTCAAAAAACGAGTTTTGAAGAAAAGACTAGATCACTGACCAATTAGCTCTTTTTGATAATGGCATGATTCAATTAGAACATTTTTTTGGAATTTTTTTAAAAACTTCAAAATGAAAAAAAATTTTGTTCTATGAACTTGAAGCGATGAAAAAAAAAATAAAATTTGCATAAAACTGTTTTCTACTCGAATTTCCCCATGAAGCAATTTTTGGAATATAAATAAAATCAGTTTTCAAAAAAAGAGAAAAATTTGAGTTCCGAAAAAAGAGCAAAACAAAAGAAAATTAGAAAAATTGATGGCTAATATTTCAAACTTTTCTTTCAAATTGCTTCCAAAACCTTTTTCAAAAACCTTCAAAATCAAATGTTCATCAGAAAACAGCCATAAACTTAATAATTTTTGACTTTTTTTGTTTTTTTCTATTTTGACATTGTTTGAAACGTATACCAGGCTACAATAATTACTTTTTTTAGATTTTCAAAAAGCTTGAACTTCACAAAAAAAGCCTTTTTTTCTCTAAGTTTGCAAAACACATTTGCGCTCCAATGATAACTTTTTAAAAATTGAAGATCTGATGAATTTATCACTGAAACTTCACAGAAAATGATCAAAAATATATTTTTTTAATTCTTTGCTATAAAAAAATATTAAAAACTAGGCTCAAAAATTGCAAATTTTCCGATTTTTAGGATTTTTTAGAGCAGATCTTGATGAAATTTGTCGGAATTTCCTTTTCAGAAGAGAAACAGCTCTAAATTTTCAAATCGTGGCAACCTAACCATTAAAAATCATCCAATAAAATCATGAAAAACAAGAAAAAAAAACGTGAAAGGATAAATGAAAGAAGCCGTGTTTGCATGTATGAAGGAATGCCGTCTGTTGCGTCGGTCGGGAAGCCGACGCAAAAAAGGAGGAAAAGAGAAGAAAAAAGGAAGAAGAGACTATGAGCATGAGGTAATCGGAGGAAGAGCTCCAAATGAGGAGAGATCCAGCTTTTTCTTCAGCTTCTTCCTCGTCCTTCCGTTTTCCGTTGGCCCCCCGAAAAAATCTTCATTCTCCATGTTTGCTTATACTTTTGACGTAAATTTGAACGGATGTGTAGATTTGTTACATACTGATGCGAAATCGGCTTTTTTCAAAATTTCGAAGAAAATCAAATCTTCGAATCTAAACTTTATTTGAATCTAAGAATCGAAGTTTTGAAAATCAGAAGCGCTTCAAATTTTTTTTAGAATTATTAATGAAAAAGCGCAAAACTGGTAAAATTTGCTTGATGATCACTTTTTTTCAAATTAAAAAAAGGTGGTCGCATGGAGAATGGCTCAACGCGTTACGGTTGCGACGTGGTTACTGTAAAGCTGTGCCAGACCGAGAAGCGACTCACGCGAGTTAATATAGAAAAATATCTTTTTTTTGTTTTTTTTTAAAGTTCAAAAATGTGTTACTTGAACCGCGACGCAGCCGCAACGGATTAAGCCATTCTAGGTGCGACCAATAAATGTCCAGAATAAGCTAATGATAAGCTAGAGAAACGTTCTAAGAACGGCAAAAGTTAAAAAAATCATCCAAAAAATCCTTCTAAACCAAATGAAAAAAAAAACTAAAATTGATAGAAACTTCTGTATGACAAAGGGTACAGCAGGGAAAAAAATTCATTCCAAAAATCCAGAATAAACGAGTTTTGTATTTTAAAAAAATGCTCTTTCCGAAAAATTCTATGAATGGCTACAAAATATCGAACTCTTCATTTTTCAGCGTCTTAAAAAAAAGTTCTACATTTTCAGTTTAAAATCCTTCAAAATAAACATCAAAAACCATCTGAAGAATTTTAAAAACTGAGACCTTATTCTGAAACAGGGAAGTAATTCAATAGATAGGATAAAATCGGACTTGATCTGATCAGAATAAAATCAAACGGCGATTAAACGGGTCATCGAGTACGAGGATATGCAATCCTATTGATATTGGATCATAATATCCCATAGAAATCGTTCGGCATCATTAAAACAAGACAAAAAAAGTTGAAAAATTCAAACTTAAAAGTTA